AAAAATCTCCATACCTCTGCCAACTATGGAGCAGTCAAAATCATATTTATCAAAACAACACAGCGCCAGGGATGGTCAGGGATAGTTAGTATGACTGAAAATACATGCTAAAACAATAATAAGTCGTTATAAAGGAGTATTTCCTGTCTGAGCTGAGTCGACATTTTCAGAGGTCTGACAGGCAATTTTGAAATCCACGCTATTTATACGATTCGCACTTTGCGTCACGGCTGGAAGGTTTTATCGCTTCTCTCATACCAGGGCATTACGTCAATAAACAGCTAAGAGCGATATTGACAGTAGGATACCATGCGCTAGCCTTAATAGCGTTGAAAAGCCCATATGGGCTTACCGGCGGTAGGAGGGTTTTAATCTGTTGATGTAAAAATCTGAGATAAACATGTCTAATTGTATTTAGTGTCGATACTTTTTTGTGATCTTACGAATTCGTTGTCGCCGTTAGAAAAATCTCAAAATCTGTAATAAAAATCTCCTATAGTACAATTAAATACATATGGAGTATATCAGTTAATCAAAATTACATCTTTATCGCCTCGTAAACCCCGCGGAACGACTTTTTCGACGGATAATAACAATTTTTCTGTTGTGCAAAGTAATCAATCCATGACCGATACTGCCATATTTAAAAAATGTCTTGATTTGTTATAATATACCTCCCTACCCTAAAAGCCCACGACAATCCGCTGATATAAAAATGTGTGGTAAACATCCCGGTTATATCTAGTTTTGATCCGTATTTTTGCTTTTTTGCGGATTCGACAAATCTGAGCTGTACTTGAAACAATGACACCGCTCTATAGCAATGCTGTCTCTCAGATTATTTTCAAGATGAAACGGTTAGGAAAAAAAACCATATCTGCTATAAAGTCTCACGGAGTAAAATGTATTCATACATCACCACGGACCTTATAATATGTATCATATAATATAATGGATAAAAAGGTAAAATCCGCGCACAATTGATTGTGTTTCGACTTTCGATTCTAGTGACGTTATGATTCTCAACGCCGTCCAAACTTATGTGTGCCCTGGAGCGCTAGGCACACGAAATTTCGCAATTTACAATGTCTTGAAAAACTTTTTTTCTGTCGCGGGCTTTTCACAATTGTTTAAGGTTTCATAATTTAGTATTTTATATTGACGCCTTTCAATCAAAAAATTTGCGTCTCCGATTCACTCCTTTATTTGACTTCAGCATCTCGCCGCCGATGATTGTATAATGACTCTCAGGGAATTCACAATTCTGGGCAATTACAAAAGAAAGTGATTATTATCCTTGCCGTGAAATAATTTTTATGATTCAGAGAGAATAAATATCAACTTTAAAGTGTTCACGGCCTAAATAACACGTCACGCTGACAAAAACAATCGGCGATTTAAGCAAAAAGCTGTACGAATTACCCAAAAGTATGATTTGATAAAATAATATTCAATATTTCACAATTTTTTAAAGAGCAAAAAGTAACCCAACAGTAGTAGTAGTAAGTCGTTAAACGAGTAGTTTTAGTTTAAGTAGCGAAGCGTTTCCGAAAGTAGCCAAATATGGCAACACTGCACCGCTTATGCTTATCTACACCAAAGTGATTATAGTCACTACACTGATTTCGCGTACAGATTTCGGCCTCTCGTCGATTGCAGGTAAATATTGCATGTTTTTCCAATCAATTCGTGGAATTGTTAGTTTTTGTTCAAATGTAGAATGTATGTGGCACTACAAAAATAAATATCTGAATCTGCCTCAAATCACTTGGCGTGCAATGAGAAATTCTCTCGCGTGCCACAAATGGCACGCGTGCCAGGGGTTGCCGACCCCTGCTAGCTATTGAGGCTCATGTTTTATACCGATATTCGGTGCAGTGTGGGAATCATCATTACGTTTAAACACAGAATAAGTTGTAGTCCACCTACTGACCGAGAATCTATATCGACAAAAAGTCGGGTCACATATTTTACGAGGTAATTTTTTTTTTAAATACGGCATATGGAAATTGAGATCATTATAGTAAACCTATGGCTGAGTTCATACCTAAAAAATTTACAGATGGAAAATATACTTGTCTGTAGGTTCTGTTAAGTGTCATTTACACCAAATTGATAATTTCTACAAATGGCATTACAGTATACAATTATCTGTGACTGTATCATAATCTTGCTAGCTTATGTGATGTGCAAGATTGGTTTTATTAAACCCTCATGCCTCTACCAACGCATCTGACGGTTGTCGAAGTTACTTGCTGGCTCACTTTGCCGATAGACAAAATAGACGGCAGAAAGAAAAAATATATCAAATCAAGCATCAAATTACAGCATTTAAAAGAAGTAAAAAATGACTTAAGCGTTGTCACGTGAAATCACATTGATTTCGCAAGCATGTAAAATTAATGAAAGCCGTGTTGAAGTCTCTGAGAAAGAGTGCTATATGTGGAGAAAACCTACACTTCATCAATCTTCAATACATTTTTAGTGAAGTTGGAAACAGGAAATAGGCATAAAATATTCGAAGAGCTGAAAACTTTTCCAGCACTGATTTTATAGTTTTATTCAAAAGTTTTATTTTCAAATAAAACACAAATATGTGCGCAAAATCTTTAATCTAGCTCTATCACACACAAGTGTTATAAAAAGATGGTACCAAAAGGTTCGTTTCGTTTTGGACATCTTGAATTTAGGCTTTCATTTTCATCAACTGCTTATACTGCGATAATATACAAAAGCAGTATGCTCGTCAGCTTTGCATTTTAGAGTGTTTACAGATTTAGAGAGTTGTAAATATTTTGCTATTCGCTATAAAACTATTTGTAACCCATAAAAAATGCGTTGTATATTTGACTGACCATCTGCACTTGTATACACGATATTCTAATACAATGTAGATCATAGGCATGATGTAGATCTCGTTCTTGAAAAAATGTGGTGGTTTAAGCGATTACACAATAGATATAAGTGGAAACAATTGTTTTTGAATGATCTCCTAAAAACGCAATAAACTCCACGAGAGAGATTTCACCAAAGTCTTCAGTTGGTCTCGCTCACGCTAGTTCTATTTATATGTATAGCTCGGGTACTACAGAGCCAGGCCACGCAGTGATTTTGAGATCGTCATAAAATACATACAAATACATGGAAATACATACCAAATACATGGAAATGGGAAAGCGATTCCGAAAAGCCACCTCGGGTGATGTTCTGTAGTCGTGAATGTTCGCTTTTGACTGATACATTGCCCATATTACTCATCACCGGCTTACGCAAAATAAAATAAAATAGCACGGTATGGTGGGCTCGGATCTATTAGCGTTTCATACTTTATAAGAAACGAATCCATATCAGGCGAATATGCAAGAAAAATCGACGAAAATAATTGATTTCTGTGGAATACCATAATAAATGCAATTCGCGGCACGTCTCCAAAACGAGAAAGCCTTGATCACACATAAATGAGGGAGGAGCACACTCTCTGTGGTCTCACCCCATGTGATTCTTGTATATACCCAAACATGATAAATATTGATTCGATCATTTGTTCTTTGTTGTTGATATTTTCAGTTTATGAGAATCAAACAGAAAAGACCAAAAATGGATAAATTACTCATTCGTGAAAATGACCACGTCTACCATATATATCTTGTGTTGGGGGCCTACGGCAGGCATATAAGTGAGCACAATCTTACCTTGCTGTGACACAAAATGCACAACAGGTCCACGTCGAGGAGGAGTCGATGATTGAGCAATTTCCAGCACATTAGTAAGATCGAAATTTTGAAAGTAAGGTATATAGGTGAGCTATATAGAACTCGCTAAAAAATATTCCTTTTTTTATGCTAGGTAATATTACACCATATCGGGGTTGCGGACATTCTGAGAATCTTATATAGGAAGTCCTCGACTTACGACGTTGTTCCGTTTTTGAGAAGCGGTGTAAGTTGGAACATTATACTGTACAGTACATAAATTACTCTATAGGCCTACATATCGTACTGTTTTGTAAAGTATGGTACAGTAATAAAATGTACAAATAATGCAAAAAGTAGGCGATGTAAAATACGAGAACCAATGAGCCCAACGCACTGATTTTCTTGATCACAGTGATCCAGTTTAAGGGCTTAGATATTACAGTACAGTAATATCTTTTATATTTTTTGGAGTGCGTTAGTAACCTCGAAACAGCGCAAGTCGCGACCGTCGTAACCCGAGGACTCCCTGAATAAAACTCTTCATATTACCCTTCATGAAGTAAATGGCAGAATACTACCAAACAATCTATCGCCAACGACCCAATAGCTCATTGCAAGTCATATAGTATACAAAATAAAGCATGACATTTGACATTTTACCACACGGAAGCGGAACTGATCACATAACCTTTCGCTTGAAATGTCTTATCCGTGCAATAATGTGTTTCTGTATCCTGCACAAATGTCACTAAAAACATTGCTAAAAGTATAAATTAGTCTGAAACTTGAACCTCTCAACTGCAAACTACAAATCATTTTGTACGGCACGCAGTGGCAGGTTCGCCAAATTTTACTGGCGCGTAATAATATTGAATCAAATAGGATATTGCACCCGTTTCACATTCTAGCTTTTCTTGGCGCGGTGAGAGTGCCAAGGTGACAAAGTTGCTCTTTTTAAGCATTTTTAATGAGAACCAAAATTAGATTTTTAGTAATGTGAATTTGGTATCGCGTATAATGCATTTTTAATGAGAATCATAAATAGATTATTGTAATGTGAATTTGGTATCGTGCTTTTATTTCAATTCCTAAAAGACCATCCGATTAAATCACTCGTGTACTGAATATTTCAACATACAGACATTGGCAACACTTGCACACACGCAATCTTGCCAGTCAGGTTCTATCACGCTATGAACGGCCCATCCTGACAAGTTCATATGAATTCCAAAACACTCCAAAAGATGCACTTTAGGAGGGACACACATATCACCATTGTTGGGTACAGGGCTCATCAGCTTTTTACAAGATAAATTATATTTTTAGATTGTGTAATATCGAACAAATATGCAAACCAAATTGTTGATTGTTCTTGGTCTTGTGGCGATTCTTGCCTTCGAGGGTGGTGACACCTTTTGGAGAAGAAGGCGTCGTAGAAGAAGACATCACTGTTCCTACTCGTACAAGGCTCACTACTATTCCATCCTGAGACACTACCGTACTGTCAGCTCAAGATACCACGTCATCTTGAGGCATTACAGGATTCTTGTTAATTACATACATCACGTTGGCGTCAAAGCACTCAGATACGGAGGCCACGTGACTTCTTTAGGAAGACAACTTCTTCATCAGTATTCCAGACACCAGTAAGCAATACCCGAACAATATTAGTATATATGTGTAATATGGCGATTTAATAATAATTATAGTCTTTTCGACCAAGAATGAATAGTTTCGTTACTAGAATTTTAAAAAGTTTGTAATACCATCATTTCTACAATTTAGAAATGAAAATTCCATACTGTTTGTGCTCTCTTCTACCCCAAAATTAAAAACTGTTTTTGAACTGAATTTTCGGAATTTCTACCTGGTAATCACCCAGACTAACGTTCTCAAAATAAGATCGTATTTTTCGGTTTTATATATATTTGCAAAATGAGTTGCCCTCTTTGGCGTGTGTAGTTTGATGAACGTAATTTTGCATCAACTTGATTTTAAGTATTACGAAATGCGTTGATTGAGGATAGTTATATATTCCGAGCCAATAAAATTTGAAAATTTATCATATTTCAGGCATATATCTCATGTCTACGGAGATGAAGAAGATATCGAAGAGAGTGATCTTTTTGCCGAAAAAGATGTTCGTAAATTTATTTTTATTTGAATAAAATTTGGAAATCAGTTATCGTTTCAAATAAATCGAAATAGGCCAACTTTGATCTCATGTTTGCCTAGTTTTAAATTATTGACAACAAAATCAAGATGTAACGTTATATTCACCATAATGATGTCAAATATCTTTTACTTTAAACTTTAATCACAATACTTTACTTCTTGAGTTCAAAAGAATGTGCTTACTATTTATGCCGAGTAGAACAAGTAATGATATAAAATATCATTGTACGTTAAGAATAATCGAACTTATTAAAATAAATAATATTGATCTTACATAAACTTTATTAACAGAATGATAGTTTCGAACAAGAATTGGATGACCAGAACGATGATCAGGATATGTTCGAAGACTCTGAAGATATTAGTGAAAACGAAAATGAAGAAGACCTCAAGGAACTCCCCAAAAAAGGTGAACATATTTAAGTTGTGTTACTCGTGTTGTGAAAGGTTTGATGATTGTTGTTAAGGCTTTGATTTAAATGATTTCTTATTTTAAGCTGAAGACGTCAACAAGGATCATAATCTCAACGACGAATAGTCTATTATAGGAAAACGACAAAATTTTACAACCCGACCTGGAACCGAAGCTGAAACAAATGTTGTCTATAGATAGCTCTATGCGTTCATAGACCATACTTGTTTAAACCTTTTTTTATTCTTTCACGTAAAAGTGTCATTGCTTGCATAATCATAATATACTGCATTAAGAAATATTTTGACAAAATCATTTATTAGCACAAAGATCAGTGTCAATGTTGCTTCTCAATACCATGTTATGTTCAATGAAAGGACACGTTGTAGCTTTGGATTCAGCTTTATTAATACGAATTGCATGATACAAAATTAGGTAAGATGATATCCAATACTGTATACAGCAATATACATGTCAGGTCGAGGTCTATTCGAGGCTTAGTCAGCAAATCTTCTGTGTATTTAATTTACAAAATATATTAGAAATACCAGCAAAATGTTTCAGGCAGCGTTTTCGAAATAGATGAATTACTTTTTGGTATGTTGAATAGTCCTTTTCAAACGGAATATACAACTTGCCCACGGTGATATGAAGATTTATACTGCAAAATAAAGTGAATGGTTGAATATAATTTTGATAAATATCAAAACCAATATAGAAACTACAACTTCTTACGATAGAATTGATTAAAATCATATATATGTATATGCATTTCGGAACTTACCTTAGGTAGTGCGACATGCGTTGGTCAACCAATTCAGCAACGACTACGTCTTACGATAGAAATGATTGAAATCATATATATATAAAGGTTTTTCGAAACTTACCGTAGGTTGTGCAGCATGCAGGGGTACGGCATATAGTGGAATCGGCATATTTCCAGTTGTTACTGAATTTCGAGTTTGCTTTTTACTCTTATTCGAAGAAGACGAACATTTGCAGGCATTACAGCAGCATATACAGTGAAAAACAGAAAGAACAAATGCGAAGGAAATTCCAATCCCAGCACATTTCACATACCTCGAAAGGCGAACTAAAAAAATGAAAAGGAAATCCAGATAAGAACACTTTTGTATTTAAAAATCTCATTCCCATAACTACATAGACGTGTGTTATTTTAGTTTTATCCCGTGTTAAAGACACGCTTGAAATAAAGCTAAAGACATTCATAAATTAATGGCGATAAGCAGACCCCTTTTACGCGTTCACAAAAGTATTAATATATATATGCAATATTTGCCCAGCACCTATTTAGTTGTTCTACAATGTCGGTGTCTTTGAGAACATACCCAGCACAAGTACAAAAACAATCGAATTTCGTATCTCCATTCCAGTCCCCGTACCTTTTTCTCATCGGCTCGGTTTCGCGCCAAGCTCTGTTCGCGAACAGCGTGATGATTCACCGTGGAGTTTCCGCAGTGAAATATTACAATTTAAAAATCAGTGCTGAGAGACGACGAAAACTAACCTAATCATACCCGCTTGTATTAGCTTTATAATTACCACAGTTATCCACTTCGCTTACGAGATCAAATAAACCCAGACTGATTTAATATAGGCCATTCGCAGTTTTGCTTTACTAGTACTCGTACTTGCATCTGCATGGCTTAATCTTTGAGTCAAGCATATCACTACTGGCGAGATCAAACAGATAGCTGCAGCAGCAGCGCTCGGTCCCTGCGGGGCCGCTCGTCGCTTTCGTTTGCGGCCGAAGCAATCGCCTGCGGCCGTACTCTGCTTGGACGCGATGTCCACGCACTCGCCAGGCGAGTGCTTTGCTTTCCGACTTTACTCGCCCTACCTGTACCTTGCCCTTCTGTATCCTGTTTTTCACATTGATCTATATCACCGAAACAGCAATAAAATCCACCACGGCAACAGCATCCCTCTGAAACACATGATTTACTATTCAACATTGCAATATACCAGATAAACCGAATATGCCAAATTTCATAGAGTATGGTAGCTAATGTAGTGTCACAGAATACTAGAACATCAAAAGATGTTCGTCTCGCTCTTAAGAAAATCAGAGTTTCGCAACTCCAAAATGTGGAACAAGTTTTGTGGGTGCAACTTGTTGGTACCAAGCACCCCGCTTGAAATCCTACAAAAGTTTATTTCAGCTATAACATTATAAAGTATAAAGTAGTAAAGAGCCATATTTACAAATTATATCGCATTGAGAGTTATGGAAAATTTTTGTTATGTATTCGCATTTCTATAAAACGCGAAACTAATTATTGATATATACTATATATCTATGAAGCTGAAGAAGAACTTAAATATATACTCTACCCACCTGGACAGTGGTATCCTGCTCCGCAGTAATCGTAGGCCTATAAATAAAGAGCATTGCTGAGTTTTAGAACGATATTCAGTATAAGCAGAAAACGAATTTTCTAACGCTTTATACCAGAGATCGTCAATCAATTACTTAGAAATCTGAACAAACTTTCATGAACACATAAGCGACGCAAAAATATTTCAGTTGAAAATGGTTGTGGGGGCAAAATTTATTCTTTCACGTGAAAGTGTCATTGCTTGCATAAAATAATCCTAAAAATAAAATCATAAAAAATAAATAAAACCACAAAATATTTACCCGTACCTTGGATTCTACGATGGTTGTCAACAATATTCCAACAACAAAGAAATTCATTTTGTGAATTCGACCGATATATGTCAAAACAAATACTCACTTATATATATTTATATACACTTATCCTGTAATAAAATTTTAATGACACTTCCCTGCTAATTTTGAATTATCATTATTATCTATGAATATAATCAATTTGGACGGAAAGCCATCACCAGCCTCCACTGCAATCTACTGAATGGATCAGAAATATGATAATCGTCAAAAGAAACAAATATTTCCTGATTATCATATTACAATATCACAATAATATAATATTTAGATATTGGTATATTTCTATCAGGATATCACTAGTTTATTTTTTTTTAACAATTTTACAAAGATTCAATATAATCTCAAAAACAATGTTAGAATATGTAACATAAATATTGTTTAGTGGGCTTAGATAAATTTGTTTGTGAAACATCATTTCTCACCCACGCTCGAATCCTATTCTTGATATTCTTTTGTTTCGCAGTTTCGTGGGCTATTTCCTTGTTATTGAATGACAGGGCAAAAGGCGGTTTACACCGTTGATATATCATAAATTGTTGCTAAACTGCTATCAAATATTACAAATAAAAATACTCACGATCATAACGTATATCTGCGTACAAAAAAAAACATAACACCCTCTTAAAGATCAATTGAAAACATCCTATTAAAGTATATCTTTGCACAATTCGCGATGAATCTACACTGATATACTTAATACCCTTCGTTACCGCGACGTAAAACTGCTTTATACTTCAAATTTTGCACTTCAATATATTGATAATTGAACAATCCTAAAGCGCCAGTGATATATTTGAAATAGTTTATATATATATACATTGAAAAGGCATCATAGAGCAGGGGTCCGCAACCCCCGGCACGCGTGCCAGTCATGGCACGCGACGAGATTTTATATGGCACGCGGCGTCGTGAACATTTTTCCAAAAAAAAACATGATTTAAAATGCTAAAATATTGAAAATAAATAACCGCACATGCGGTGCAAAACGCGTGGTTATTTTTGCTTTGTTTTATTGGTACGTCAATATAATTTTTTTCAATATTTTCACGACCTTATTGCCCGCTTTCATGCTGGTATTTGCGTTTTATTACCAATTTCAAGAATTGTTGATCTGCTGTGAAAATGTCGTTGACAAATTAAACGTCATTTTAAAACCTACACACAAAAAACTGACTGAGAAGAATGAAGCTTTTAAAAAGGATCTTTCTCGTTTCAAAAAAGCAAAGTAGTATTTTCAACAAAAGTCATTCTCAGTAGAATTCAAAGTACGGAAAGTGGCCATAAAATGCAGACTGTATCGCCAATTGTTGGAAGCCTTTTACCGTTGGTAATTTCATTAAAAAAGTATTTATCAATTGTTTCGAAGTTCTCTTTGAGAATGTGCCAAATAAAAATGTCATTCTCTCAAGAAATTAAAATCACCCAGTGTCTGCTCTGAGTGAGAAAAAGCAAGGGCAGGTATCTTACTAATACTTAGGGTTATTGTGAATATTTCTTTGTATATTACTCGTGTTGTTTCTCGATGATCGGTGGTAACGGTTTGATATTAAACAAGCTTCTTATTTTGAGCTGAAGACGTCAACAAAGATCAGAATCTCAACGACGAATAGTCTGCTACAAAAAGAATCCTGCAGGACAAAATCTGACCTGGAACCGAAACTGAAACAAATGTTGCCTATAGATAGCTCTATGCGTTCATAAACCATACTTATACTTTTTTTTTCATTATTTCTTAAACGTGAAAGTGTCATTGGCTGCATAATCATAAATATACTGCATAAAAAAAGTTCTGACAAGATCTTTTATTAGCTTAAAAATCAGTGTCAGTGTTGCTTCTCAATAACATGTTCTGTTCAATGAAAGGACACGTTGGATTGTTGGATTCAGCTTTATTAAAACAAATTGCACGCCACAAAATTGGGTAAGATGATATCGAATATACAGCAATATATATGTCAAATCGGGGTATATTCGTTTAGTCTTCTGTGTATTTAATTTCCAAAATACAATAGAAATAACAGCAAAATGTTTCCGGCAACGTTATCGAAATAGATGAAAAGCCTTTTGGTATGTTGGATAGTCGTTTTCAAACGGAGTTTAACACTTGCCCACGGTGATATAAAGACATTGACTGCAAAATAAAATGAATGGTTGAATATAATTTCGATGAATACCAAAACCAATTTAGCAACGACTACGTCTTACGATAGAATTGATTGAAATCATTTATATATATATAATTCTTTCGAAACTTACTGTAGGTTGTGCAGCATGCAGGGGTATGGCATGCAGTGGAATCGGCTTATTTCTATTTGTTACTGAATTTCGAGTTTGCCTTTTACTCTTATTGGAAGAAGACGAACATTTGCAGGTACCACAGCAGCATTTACAGAACACATAAACAGTAAGAAGGAATAAGAAGGCAATTCCAGATGCAAATAATTTTGCATGCCTTCGAACACGACCTAGAATAGGTAAAAAGTAAATCCAGATAAAAACACTCATGTATTTTCAAATCATCATTTTCAAGTTATTCACATAACTAAATATAGATGTGTTTTATTTTAGTTTAACCCATGTTAAAGACACGCTTGAAAAAAGGGCGAAAGAAATTCATAAATAAAGACTATGGCGATATGCAAGGCCTTCGTTTACGCGTTCACAAAAGTGTTAATATATATATATATATATATATATATATATATATATATATGCAATATTTCTCCACCACTTATTTAGCTGTTCTACAATGTCATTGTCTTTGAGGACATACCTATCTTAAGTACAAAAATAATCGAATTTAATATCTTCATACTATCCCCCGTACCTCTTGTCCATCGGCTTCGCGTTGGTTTCTCGCCTTGCTTTGTCACACGGTTTGCGAACGGCGTGGTGGTTGACCGTGGAGTTTCTGCAGTAAAATATTACAATTCAAATCGGTGCTGAGAAACCAAAACTGATTTAATGAGCCATTCTAAGTTTCGCTTTACGAGTACTCGTACTTGCACCTGCATGGCTTTATCTTTGAGTGGAGCATATAACCATTATCAACGGGATAACCGAATAGCTGCGACGCTGCGCTTGGTCCCAGTGGGGCCGCCCGGCGCATGCTCGTCGCCTTCGTGTACGCCCGAGGCAATCGCCTGCGGTCGTACTAGGCTTCGACAGTCGCTGTCCGCGACGTCCACACACTCGCCAGGCAATGCCGGCCGAAGCGCTTTGTTTTTCGACTTTGCTTTCTCATACCTGACCTTGTCCTTCGATATCCTGTATTTCACATTGATCTGGATCACCGCCGAGACAGCAATAATATCCACCGCGGCAACAACATCCCACTGAAACACATGATTTGATATTCAGCATTGTAATATACCAGATAAGCTAACTATGCCAAATTTCATAGAGCATGGCAGCTAATATTGTGTCTCAAAATACTTAACTAGAACATTGAAAGATGTTCGTTTCGCTTTTCAGAAAATCAGAATTTCGCAACTCCAAAATATGAGACAATTTGAAGCGGTATCCATTCCCGCAGTGATCGTAGGCCTATAAATAAAAACATTACTTAATTTTATAACTATATTCAATATAAACAGAGAAACGAATTTTCTAGATATTATTCTAACGGTTCATACCAGATAACTTCAACAAAATAATTGGAGATCTGAACAAAGTAAAGTAAAGTATATCTTTGCATATTTTGCGATGAATCTACACTGATATACGCAACCCCCGGCACGCGTGATATTGATACGTCAATATAATTTTTTTCAATATTTTCACGACATTATTGTCCGCTTTCATGCTGGTATTTGCGTTTTATCACAAATTTCAAGGATTGTTGATAACAGACTTTGTGTTTGTTTGTCGTAATAACCATCTGCTGTGTCGTTGTTGGCAAATTAAAAGCCATTCTGGAACCAAACACAAAAAAATTATATAAAGGTGAAGAGAATGTAGCTATTAGAAAGGAACTTTCTCGTTTCGAAAAACGAAGTATTATTTTTCAAAAAATTCATTCGCAGTACAATTCAAAGTATGGAAAGTAGCTGTAAAATGCAGAATGTATCGCCAATCGTTGGAAGCATTTTACCGTTGGTAATTTCATTAAAGAAGTATTTATAGATTGTTCCCTTTGAGGATGTGCCAAATAAAAATGTCATTCTCTGAGTGAGGAAAAGCGAGGGCAAGGATCCCACTGAAACATTGGGTTATTGTGAATATTTCTTTGTATATATAATAAAAATAACTTCAATAATTTTCGTGAAATATTACATTTAAGCATAACTTTAGGTAGTTAAACTATTGCCCCAGGTCTGATTATATAACGCAATTTTTCATCGGCCCGCAAACGTACATTTGGACATTAAATTTTAAAAATTGGCACACCGAAAAGAAAACGTAGCCGACCCCTGTCATAGAATATCTACATGACAATAAAATTTCTTCAAAAAAACTTTCACGTTTTATTAGGCCACCATAATATCTTAACGACATCTATACAGTGAAATTTTTAAAAATATGAAAAAAAATTCTAGATTTCTGTGTTTCACAATAAAAGTTCAACAACTACATTTATCATCATATGTAGTATAATCGAATATTTCAATCAATGGTATTCTTTCATGAAAGTTTTTCATTGCATTAATATCCAGTAATTAAAAATTGGGTTCTCCGAGTAAAATATTAAGCCATGAAAATATCAACAATGATTTTTGATACGTTTTCACGCCCTTTTTCACCACAAGGATTTGTAGATGTAGCCAGCCGTAATAAGATGCTAATATTATAAAGAGCAGAATTTTTAATTCATGTTAGGTATTGCGTAACTATTGTATCTCATCTCGGGTCATGCGGGACTATACAGAGAAAAATACTGAAGTAATAAATAATTGTCTTGGCCTGAAATAAAAGTCATTCCTTTCTGACGAACGCGCACATAAAGATATCTAATTAATTTTTGGTACAAATATTCTTTTTAATATTTGAGGAAAGGGGGAGGTTTGAGGCATGTTTAATAGACTAGTGGCACCTAACTACGTTGTCATTGCAAGTTGGAAGTCCACGAAAACTGTGACAAATTAGGTAAGCTGTATTTCACTGGCTGCATTTGACTACAGCTATTTCTCATGGGTGTTCTTGTTCCAACTTCCAGGTACCGTTATAGCACAAAGGACAAAATGCTGTCAAAATCAGATCCATAATGAGATACATATCATATATATATTTATGTATTGTGAAGTTAAAATTGTTCAAATATCTTGTTGGACAGGAATAATAATATACGTTAAAATTCCATAAACACAAAGCTCAATTATAATGTTTCAATTCAATATAGTATAGAGACTTAAAAAAAACTATATATAATAACATGAAATATGAGTTTAATATACATAACAGCGATGATCTTTGTTAGTCAATAGGGATATCAATAGTGGGTATATTTCTACAGAGTTGTGAGCGGGCTCATCGTATAAGGACTGATCTAAGACTGAAACCATAAATAACCTGTACCAAATCATCATCATTGTGGGAGACCCACGCGATGAAACAACTCAATCAATTTAACAGTTCATCATGTAAATTGTCAGTTATCAATTCTCGTGTTTGGATTACAACAAAATCGTATACTTAATCTGCGATAGCAACAATATCAGATAATCGTATCGTCAAATTTTCAAACCGATTAATTGATATCCATTCAACGTCCTTACCACACAAACACTAATTTACAGAAACATAAAATAGTAAAATATTAAAATAGTATGTATTTTCATAGATGATCAATTTTTCTTGAAATCAAGTCTGACGAACTGGTACTGTTTGCTGCATGAAATGAAATAGTTTACGTTAGAGAGATTAAAAGAAGTTAGAAGACTCGAAGTATACGTAAGCCTAATTAACCAAATTTACTTTCTAACCCACTGTCAACATTGGCAAAAATAATAGTATTTTGTTTTATATTAAAAGCTAACTTCGTAGTAAAAATGATGTCTAGAATTAACTTTGTGGTATCATTCAGCATAGCGTCTAGGTCGTGTTGCCAATTTGGAATTGTAAATTGTTTGTTTACAACCTTTTAAATTCGAAACTAGCATTTTAAAGTTAAGTTTGTTTCGCCTGAACTACTGCGAACATAATTTCTTTAGTATATTGTTAAACTTATATGACGTCATTCAATCATGTTTTGATGCATGGTTCGATGCACACAAATTGGTTTTATCTAATTATCGCCATGCGTTTTTTCCAGAAGCACCAAAAACCAATTGCGCATCCAGCTAGTACAAGCAGTACAACGACGATAATCCCGACCCCTAGTATAGAAATTACATATCTCAGATTCAAATAGATAAAATTGTAAAGTGAAGATTGTGATGTTATTTTTTCCAAAAAAAATATGATTAAAATTGATTCTATTTTCGGGCATTTTTGTTTTTATAAATAAGCTGTTTAATTTTTACTCGAGTTTAGAAAACTAATTTCTTTTTGAATCTCGAAAGGCGACTAATTAAATGGTAAATGATACAGATAAAATGAAAAGGTATTTACGGCGATATGGCTGAACATCCGATTACAACATTAAATTCGTTTTTTTTTAATTATATAATTAGAATGTTTATCACGTATTATATAATGTCTAACTAAATTGTAATTCAAACATATATGTTCATATTGATCACATTATTCGAGAAATAATTAGGCTGCCAAAATTGGACATGAAGCTTAAATTATATAGTAGAAAATGAGAAAAATGAATATCATTTTGACTGTTTTAATATGAGCATATAATACTGGAGGTGGCAAATAGAAATATACTATAGGAATTTAGAACAACTTTTCCCATTGCTTGTCGAACAAACACTCACACGATAAAGATCCCCCAGTACAGCAATAACCCCTGCCTGTGCAGCAATATCCGGCTGAAAGTGAGAAATTGTTACGTTATAACAAGACTGTGCACATCAATGTGTATAATTTAAATTGTGCTATGCTTTCATATTAAACAAATATTCGTACATACATGGCACAAACGGTTTTATGAATGACTTTCAAATAAATTTCAATTTATTATTATGCAGTGAAAGTGTTAACATTTTAAAGCTTTTTACATTAACTAAACTTTTTTGTGTGACGCCTATGTTAATGCATTACTATTGAGTTTGCATAACACAAATTCCAAGCGACAGAATTAAATTTATGACTGGAAGTTGAAGAATCCGACTTTTATGGTGCCATATTTGACAGTAAGCTTACATTCAGGGTATTGTATGATTTTATAAGGACGTAACATAAAACAAAAGGTTGCCACACAACTATATCTCATAACTAACATATTCATATATGCTAAAATATTAATTCTCATTACTCACAATAACAGTAAAATCCGTTGCCGCAATATTCATATGCCTGCGTACAAAATAAAAGGGTGGCTTTATTTTTTTACACATACCAAAAAATGTCACATTTATAGAGATTCCTACCTACAGGGTAATTCCAGAACGACGAAGGGCAGTTAACTTCGAAAAAATATAAAGTTTTTAAAGTTCGATTATTCATTTTTGTTTTCTGAATGTTTTAAAAGATGCCTTCTCAGTAATTGCACGCTGCTCGAGTGACATATGTAAATAAATGTACTATAGCTGATAAAATTGTTGTGTTCTCGATTTACTTTAGATATATATTTTTTGCTAGTGCATGTATATAATAAAAACATCCTACAACTAGTACATATTTCATTAGAAGCAAACGTATTATGTTTACCTGGCAAGCTACGAAGAACGTTGTTAAAAATCCGATAATACGAGAAAATATCAACCTCCCTTTCATTTTGATGCGATTCCAGTGTAAATTGTAGTGTTTTAAATCTACAAATATACCAAAAAGGCTATTGGTCGAGGGCTAGGCATTACAGATTCCCAACACTTTTCTGATTATTTGTTTCATACTATTTAATAGTATATAAGATAGCTATAATATTAAAAATATGCACTTGGTAAGGTACAGAGTTGCCCGAACACTTTTCGCATTTACACAAAAACGTGAAAAAAAATCCAGGATTATTAAGTCAGCGTTTTGATTGAGCAAACAAACATTTTTAGCTTCAATCAAAGCAATACCACGAACATAAATCTATTCAATCGTGTGAATGAAAACCTCTTGAGCTTCAGATAAATTTTTGCTGGAGTAGAACAATTATGTTGCTCGGGCTTTATCAAGAACACCCGCCACAAAATCTGGTCTTACCACTGCTAAAGGATACATCAGAGTAACGACTCAGACAGACAATACGTTCCCATCGAGTGATACTCAATAAAAATAGTCTGAGCGTATTCAGCGTCTGCAAACATATACAGAAAATGAAATCATTCCACAATCTATATGATGAAGTTGTGACACAAAGATATATTATGTTTCCTATATCTCTGTATATAATACACTGATGATAAATTCATAAATTTGTTCGTGGATTGGAAGTAAATCATTTGCCATGAACTTTGTGTCAAGTTGATATTTTACTTCTATGTAAGCACACCCCACCAACAGTTCATTCCCGAATTCCTCTCATCAGTGGTTGTACTCGAGTACTTGATAACTTAAGTGTGCAGAAAAAGTAAGTCAATTTAATTACCATTAGAGCTCGACCGATATATCGGCCAACCGATATATCGGGCCGATATTGCGTGTTTGCCGATATATCATATCGGCCCAACCGGCCGATATATCTGGCCGATATATATCAGCGTTAGTCGCTTTTCCACGTTCTAAAAAATGAGTCTTTTTCCCCGGGAAATATCTGCGGCCGAGCGTTTTCTTTTTTTCGCTTCTCTCATTTTGCCTTTCAATGAACAGAGTTCTCTTCTATATTTCTCTCTCTCTCTTTTATCTCTTCGTGCGGTGCAAAATCCTCGCCTTCGAATATCTTGCGTCCCCACTAGGCTTGCACGTAATTCCGTAATTGTGGCAAAATCGATTACGTAATTACTAATGACCCATAATTGCGATATTTTTTCACACATTTAAACCTATCATAAAAACCATTTGAATCCACTTCTTTTCCGAATGGGACATCGAAGTTTGGTTTTCATATTACCGACAGTACTATACGCCGGCGACAGATGTTAAAGACAAATACCAAGGAGTGAATTCAAATTAAATTTATTCTGATTTTTATCTTTTGTGCTGGCTTTGATTTTCCTTTATCACCTTCGCAAATTAACCGTCCCAATTTTATGCGATCAATTTTATCATTACCGACACTGGTATACGGATATTTATGAAACGATAGTTGTCTTTTTAAAATCGACTTTGTATTGAATAAAAATGTCGGGTTTCTAAGTTATTAATCAACGACGAGCGTATTCTCTCGTTTGATTATACCTGCGCTTGCCTCGCGACGAAGACTTGTTATTGCTCCGTTTTTTACATTATCCGACTTTGCTACATAGTTAGCATTTTATAATAATTATTGATGCTGAATTATTGACGATATTCTGATTACCAAGCTTCATTTTATATCAAATCATTTCGCGGCCTAAATGTTATAACATTATTTGCGATAAATTTAGATCAAATATTAATTATTTAGCTGGCGGTAAATTCTTACCTGTAACTCGTTGTAAATTAATGCTAATAAATTCTATTTTGTTTTTTTGTTTTTTAATGCGCTGTGATTTGTATTAATAAAAGTGATTGAGTCGGGAAAAGAAAGTAGCCTTCTCTCCTTTTGAGAGCCCATAGCGGCGGTAAATTCGTTTCATGTCTGTTTCACGGAGAGAAAGAAAAATACGCCTTCCGGAATTACAATCAACTATCACACATTCTTATTTATCATTATCAGCGCCGAATAAAAAAGATACCAAATCGTGAAAACAAAAAAGTCTGTCGGTCTTAATTGCGTTACGGTGATAACGCTCAAAATAATATCATTTTGACCTTGAAACCAAACGCTCAAACGGGGTGGCAACGCGTCATGCCTTCCCCCACCTGCGTAACAAGAGAGAGAAAAAAGGCTGCGAATATCGCAATTCTAACTTCTTCTACTTGTTAAACTTTCACTTTTTATAATCGACGGAATTGACTGCTTTGAAGGAGCACCTTTCAAACGCGGAAGCGCTCGACCAATAATTACGACTTTACTACGTAATTTGTAACTTCCCTCCCGTAACTCAAAAAAATTACGTAATTCCGTAAATTACGTGCAAACCTACTACTTACTGTATTGATCAAAATGGACTTCTATAAGCTTTTTACTGACTGCCATTTTTCTTTTGTGCTTGGTTTTTTCAAACATTGCCTTCTGTTTTGTGTATTAATGTGTGTTCTTATTATTTGCTGTGAAACTTTTATCGATGATACAAGCACTCTGTAGGACTGCTTTATTTTTCAACATAAACTTTTGATTGACTGAAACTGAATTTTTCTTTCTATTTGTATTTACTGCGGGTTCAGGTTGTAGATATCGGTATGTCGATATCGGTTATCGGTCACTAGTTGGCCGATATATCGTTATCGGTATCGGTGCCAAAAAGTGATATCGGTCGAGCTCTAATTACCATATATTGCTGATAGACATGCTAGAAATTGATTGTAGTACAAGTAATCAATACCGAAAATGGAATGAAATCATTACCGCCATTATTCAACAGACTTCACTTGTCATCAATGTTATCATAACCAGGAAGAAGTGTAATTCATAAGACGTTATTTTCTACAGTGTTCACGTTGTGTACAGTAATTTTGATGAATTGGTAACAAAATTTTTCATTGTTCGCAACCTCTATACTCCATATTCTATCCAATCCAATCTTGTTAGGACGAAAAGTTGAAGTCGTCCCATGCTCTCGAAATAACACGCATCTCTTTGGGCATTTACCAAACCTCCAAAAGATTTATTAACGAAAAATATCACACTTGTTCAATTAGTTATAAGAATTTGCTCAGGGTTACGGGCCCTCATCTGGATGGAGATAATACTTATATACTGTTATACTGTTACCGTCGGCAACTGGAAAGTCAAAAGTTAATGGAACTATTTAGATTAATGGTAGTACATTACATGTAAATGCCCAATACCACAAAATAGTTCAATACCAAAACTAAAATGACATTGATAAGCTAATTAATTTCACGTAACTAAGTTCTCGGTTTAATCGTGACGAAAAAAAATTAGTTATTTTCTGATTAATTTTCCAAAATTCGTGAATCGTTGATAAACTGAAAAATTCAGCATTTCATGTGTAGCACATCCTTCAAAATTTCTTCATTGACCATATCCTTAATATTATGTTTACTGTAGTTGTCAATATATCGAGTTAGTGCTGAAAAATGCATCTTATGATAGTCGCTCCCAGTCGAATAGAATACTCATTTAAATTATAACCCCGAAGAATCATGTTAAATTATTGAAATATATATATATATAGAAAAAAATATTGATACCAAGTAGAAAAAAATCCTATTGAAGTGAACTGTCAACAAAATGATTCCCGATATATTTTTTTTGCTTGCTGTAACATTTATTGTCATTTATGAACAATGACGGTCTACATATCATCCATAAACTTTTCGAAAGTGATCGTTGTGACGAAAACTACATTGCATACAAATGTTAGTTCCATGTAGACGCTGCTATTAAAGACTTTTTAATGGAGCAGCGATAGTATTGCAAATCTAGCAAAATTCTATCAAATAAAAATAGACGCTTAGATTAAAAGTTTCATTGACATTAAAATTTCAGTTACTTCACTAATTTTGTACATTGTTTTTTCTAATAACTAATATGCTAATAGATCCTGCAGGAAAATAGCGTTGTCGTATGATTCAGTCATCTTCCGTGATGATGTCATCAGATTTGTTCGTGACTAACTCAATAGATATTGGATCATATCTTAATGGTGTTTTGAATTTTGACATAATAATATTTTCTTAATTAAAAATTAATTTTCAAATAATCGTATATTATTCTAAGATATGGTTATATAGCTCTGCATTGGCCTCTCCCCATTTAGATAGACCAACTTTTAAAGACTTTAGTTTAGGGAATTATATACACCAAATTGAATTTTAATAAGAGTAAGGCATTACCGTGTGTAATTTATTAAGATTCTCAATATCCAACATTGGAATCTTGGTAAATAATATTATTTGACACAAATAGTGATAAGAATTTATTTTATACAGCGTATAGACGACAACTTGACATTGTCGCATGGATTTGAACATGATTTATCTTCGTTTCATTGTCTCGGTATCAACTTTGTTGAACTATTGCCAGGTACCTTGCTTTTGTACAATAATAAATAACGTTAAAAAAATACTAGATTTCAGTTCAATCACACATTGTTAATGACTTATTCTAAGAAAACAAAAAAATTTATTTTTTCACTAAACTCTTAGTGAAAGTTACCACACTATGATACAACACTATGTTGAAGCGAAAAAGAAACTTTTTTATTGCCATACACCTGTCTTGTTCTGTTCCAACATGCTTGTATTCATGATCATATAGCGAGCGGTATCACAGGAGTAGCCAAATGCTCACACGACTGGATTGGTTATGGTTTAAAAAGAACTAATATTTTAATTTTCTCCATAGGCGTATGAAAGTTGTGGCGGAGGATATTACTGTAACAGTGAGTACGAAATTAAATGCCAGAAAATCCTGCATTTTTGCTGATTTCAAATCATACATTCAAATGCACTCAATTTTTAAATATATTAATTATTCGGATTTAAAAAAAAAAATGGCTCGGATTTCAGAGAGCCAATTTGTGATTTTTGTAGAATCTATCAATGAAGTGCTAGCTACGTGTACACTCTACACTCATAGTGTTAACCGCTTCCCCATACTCCGTTTGCTTCTTTTGAAGAACCTCCGCTTGGATGAATCTCTAATGTGTTCGTCGTTACAAAGTATTAATAAAGTTCCACTTTACGATATTCTACGGCTACGCTTATGTAAAAAGTACTCTATTTTTAGCCGGATACTGCTGCAGGGGCGGAGTCTATTGCTGCACATACAACACTGGAACGTCTGGAGGATCTCTGTGGTGTAAGATGTTATATATTGGCCAAACAGTGACTACGCTTTTAAACAATCCATATTTTGCAGCAACTCGTATATAAACATTAAATGTTATTAATTGATATAGTTGGTCGCTCAGTGATGGTTGATTTTGAATTTGAATAGGGCTTTCCAAGTGTTATTTGTGCATCGATAACAACAAACAAACGGAATTTCTAATGGGTAATATATAACCCTGTATCTGGAAGCACCAACTTCGCATCAACCCAATACTTTTTTTTTAATCTGTTGTCATAGTTATACGAATCATTTTTATTTAACAGGGGTTAGTCTTATCGTCTTTTTTCTGCTGGCAATATGTGCCGTAGTTGGATGGTGGTGCCGACGAAGAAGAAATGCGGTTCCCGTTCAGGTTCCAACTACCGCCGTCTTCACGACATCTCAACCTTATAACCCTGCACCGCCGTATGTTGCAACGGTATGGGATATATTTTGACAAACATATTTTCTATTGAATAAGTAAAAAGTGGGAATGCAGCCTCGGGTTAAGTATCGTTTGATATAGATGCTGCAGTTCAGATAAATCTTCGTATAATTATTATAAAAGCGCATGGGTATTGATGTATGAAATCGACAAACAAAAGTGCTATTCGTGTCATAGAGATTATTTATGTCTTTTTTTCAGCAAACAACAACTACTGCTCAGACCTGATCATTGACGTGACAAATGATTGTTAACAAAAAAGAGATGAATTTTACTAATTTTCATTATCCGTATTTAATTAAATGAACATAATTTTATGTGAATGCAATAATTATACCCCTATATATATTTTCTTCATTTTTACTCCTCGCTAAGTGGTTTTATCAACGTCATAACGTACCGCAGTTTTCAAAGTGGACAATGCCATCTCGATATTAACTACATGGTGTTTGTTGTTTCCTAGAGTGTTTTTTAAACATGCATTGCTTAAGACAAATACGCCACGCATATATGTATATATAATTCTTGGGTGGACTTTGTTCTGATTCTATATTGCAAGGTATAAAATGTGGAATGTTTTGTGACAACTTGTAAGATAATTTTGGCACTGGGACTCCGGTACTGAGTTGACCAATTCTATGTGTATCAGAAGTCAGTATATTATCAAAATTTATTTCGAATCAGATACAATGTGATTAATTTTTTACTTTTTCTTAACATATAAGTTGAAACAGCAAATATAAATGTATTAAGCTATTATAACAATAAAAAGAAATGAAAAATTGAAGACGTGTTTTTCACTGAGAGTTTAAATCCAGGATTTTATTTAGTCAAATCGTAGCCAGCCTTTTGTCAATTCCACATAGCAAAATTTCTATAATAATATATGAAATCACGTTAACAAGTGACTATAACATAAATCCGTTCACGTCAGATACTGGTATTAAAACTCGTCGTGCTTGTTGCCGCTAAATTCCCATATTGAGATAAATCCATCTTTGTTGAAATCTTCCAGTTCGAAAATATCGTTCGTAAGTTTCATCTCTTCCGCTGACGACATTGTGTGGCCTTTAGCCTTCTCTACCTCCATGCGTAAGTAGTGAACAAATTCAAACTTTGAAAGATGTTTGTCGGCATCCAAATCCATTTCTTTAAATACATCGGGATGACGAGGTCCCTGCTCTGCGTGGACTAATTCAACTTCGAAAATTATTGTGCCACCAGGCATTTGTGGCACGCTGCCTCCATCCACGCCATATGCCATATTAGGAGGCACTGTTAGCCTTCGTTTCTCTCCGGGACACATGTCAATAAGACCTTCTTCGAAGCCTTCAATAACTTCGCCAATTCCTAACTGAAATCTGAACGGCTTATCGGGGTGGCTTTTGTCGAAAAGTTCACCAGTGTCAAACTTTGTTCCATTGAAGTGAACGAAAACTTGGTCGCCATATTTGCTAAGCCTTTCGCATTGATCCGGCTTTTGTAATACTTCAACCTTAAACTGAAGGGATCCACAAGTAACGCCTACATATAAAGTTAGCACAGAAGTTAAAATCCAAACTGATGTATTACCCATATCCATCTCACAAAGGCACCCTCAGACCCTACAGAGCATTCAATTATTGCCGACAGCAGCGATTCGCAGACAGATGACGTGAAACTAGGGCAACAACGCAAAAGCGTTGAAGTGCGAAATGAGTTTCTTTTTTCTGTCTGGCGGATTTAACGTTTTTGCTTTCGCCCGCAGAGCGCGTGACCCAAAAATCTCGCTTGGGAATCGCGCAAACACGATCGATTTGAACCAAATGATCAACATAGGCTTGTTTAGCAAGCGTCGCATAGGTTTAATCACCGTCAACCACTGCACTGTATAATATGTAAAAACTAAAGTATATACATAGTATAACAATCATTGTCGACGTTTATCGAGTTAATGGGATTGATTTATATTTGATTCAAAACTGGCTGTGCGCATAATTAAGCAATAATGTTTAATCTATTTTACGACTCGATATTCTAGGTCAGTTTCGTTTTCGTAGCACGTAGAACTAACTTATAGGGGAGTGGCACATTGAAATTAATTTTGAATGTGTTTTGAATACATGGCATGCGTCGGCGGTTAAAGTTATTCTACTCAAATTACTTACAATAATAAAAATATTTCTGAATGTAGGCGGAAACCGAAACAGTTGTTGGAAACTCTAGAATTGCTTCAGCCCACTCCAAATACTCATTTTAAAACTGCAAAATTCGTAAACTTCATCAAATATTATGGCAAATACCATTATGTTGTTTCATTCAAGTTCTGTGTAACGATGGTTACTTAATAAATGGTTTCTTAAATAAATTGGCGAGTATGGATCGCGAGGGGGTTAAAGTTTGGAGTTCGAACACATTCAATTGCGAACAACAGTAAACATGAGTATCGATTACACCGTCTTCAATTGAAGTGTCTTCATAGTATTTTTCACGTACAGAAAATAAATGAAGACAATCTCTATAATATCACATATATACATTTCACAATTTGTTTCGCATTTTTAACAATTGCGAGTGGGAAAAATGTATTTGTATTTTTTGTCTTTAATTTGTTTCCCATTGCATAATATCTTAGTTTCGACAATACTTTGACATGTGTTTAATTATTTTTATGAATGTTTGATCAAAACGGCATAGCGATGGCTCATCAATGAATCGAGCCAAATTAACTTCTCAAGAGTTAAGCTGCAAGTGACCACTATTATTCCATTATCCGTATTCAATTAAATGAACATAATTTTATGTGCATGCAATAATTATACCTCTTTATATATTTTCTTTAATTTTATTCCTCGCTAACTGGCTTCACTGGCGTCATAACGTACGTAGTTTTCAAAATGGACAATACCATTTCGATATTAACTACATGGTGTTTTCTAGTATGTTTTAAATATGCATTTCTCTAAACCCTCAAAACAAATACACCACGCATATATATATATATAATTCTCGAGTGGATATTGTTCTGAGTCTGTATTGCAAGATATCAAATGTGGGATGTTATGTGATATTCAAAAATCAATACACATCTTGTAAGATAGTTTAGGCACTGGGACTCCCGTACTGAGATGACCAATTTTATGTGTATCAGAAGTCAGTATATGTATTATTGAAATTTATTTCGAATCAAATACAAAGTGATTTATTTTTTACTCTTCCTAACATATAAGTTAAAACAGCAAAAAAATATGTATTAAGCTATTAAAATGAAAAAAATAAAAAAAAATGAGGACGTGTTTCTGATTGAGCTTTTAAATCCAGGAATAACTATTTGTGCTGATTATTTGGTTTCTGCGAGACTAACTACTTATCCTTCTTCTATGTTTTTGTGCCGGTGGATCCGTATGCATATACTGCAAGGATGCTGTAGCATGAGAGTATAGTAAAGATAACTATCCTAAGTGATTCAGGAGTCTTGCTGCTCACTAACACAAATATATTTCTGTAACGTTTCGTCTGACCAAGGTCAGACTTCTTCAGACATACATAGTGGAACTCACAAGGAAGTGACACATTAAAATTTATTCTGAATGTGTTTCGAATACATGACATGCGTCGGCGGTTAAAGTTATTCTACTCAAATTACTTTACAACATATTTCTGAACGTAGGCGAAAACCAAAACGATTTTCAGATCTTCTAGAATTGCTTCAGCCCACTCCAAATACTCATTTTAAAACAGCAATATTCGTGAAATTCATCAAATTTTATGACAAATAGCCATATATATGTTGTTTTATTCAAGTTCTGTGTAACGATGGTTACTTCGGAAATTAGAAGTTGGCGAGTATGGATCGCGAGAGAGTTTGGAGGTCGAACACATTCTATTACGAACAACTGTAAACATGAGTATCGATTCAATTGAAGTCTCACTACAGTATTTTTCACGTACAGGAAATAAATGAAGACAATCACATATATATATACATTTCACACTTTGTGTTGCATTTTTGACAATTGTTATTCCGACATATATATATTTGTATTAAGTTGCAGGTGACCACTAATAGTAATGAGGTTCGAACAGATTTTCATGTACTAACTAGAGCTAGTGAGAACGTGCATAACTCATGAAGTCCCAAACATTTGAGATATAAAACGGAAAATTGAAAAACTTTGTACATTAAAAAGTTTATCGTGGATTTCCCGATCATGAGAAATTGTACATTGTGCTTTCATATATATAACTTCGAGAAATCAAAATACGCATTCTTATGAAAACATGATTCATCAGTAAAATATCTGTATGTCCAAAATCCAAACAACACAGCCAGGTCCAAAAGATTGAATAAAACTGTAGCGAGTACCGCCACTGGTTATACCCAGCTAAAATAACTTTAATAATAATGGGGAGAAGAAGAACATGTTGACCAAGGAACAATCTATCCTAACATATTTTCATTTTTGTGGAATGTAACGGTTAGAATTAACTTCTGAGCGAGCAGATAAATAGTCTTGTTTAAGATAAAGAACGGTTGAGAATATGTTTTAGAAATCGTATTTTTTTTTAATATTGTTGCTCTTAAATTCGATAAATTGTGCGCTGGAAATTTCATTTTTATGGAGAGGGTAATTGAGCTGTTGGCAATTCGATTTGGGTATCTTCTTTGGGCATGGAATAGTTAATCAATACGGTTAGTAGTTTAGAATTTGTGTACAGATGTCTTATGTTTGGGATGGGCGAAAATGCGCAAAAAAAAGGTGGACTCGAGCCTGTTTTCAGATTTTGCTAATTGCTATGATCTGGCCCAGTGATTTTCAACCTTTTTTTGAACTGCGCAACACTTTATCATAATCTTTTGCAGAACTCTCACAGTTGATTCTAATTATCAAGCAACAGATTCGTGAAATGCGTGATATTTGATTCTTGATTTTTTTTTTTTATATCATAAAATATGCTAATCAGAAAAAAGTGAAACATCATTCTGTGGAGGAACACCCGAAACAGCGAAAGGCTTTCGTGGAACCGTAGTAGTATATATTTACGGTGGAACACTAGTAGAGAACCACTCATCTAGCCCAGTGGTTCCCAACCCCCGGTCCGCGGAGCTTTTTTGCCGGTCCGCGAGAAATTTTGTTGTTGGACACGTAGTGGACATAACGATCGTTTCAATATTATGTTGTTGTTGTTGTTGTTCTTGTTCTTGTTCTTTGACACGTTTTTAAAAAGTCGCTTTTCTCTTTGATTACTGGACTAATTGCTTTGAAATTTTCAGTGGTTGAAGATGAAATTTTTCTCCAGAAGGCTATTACTTTTATTTATTTCAAATATTTCTGTTAGCTCTGTAAGATTTGTTTTTGTTTGCTATGACGTCACTAAACGTTCTGCGGATATCGGACGCCATTTTGTGTCCAACGGACCATCTTGCAATTTCAATTCACGCTGTCACAAGACAGGACCTTCTAAAGATAGAGAAGTTCTGGTACCGTAACACAGCGCGGTGACACTGAACTAACTCGTAGCTGTCAAAAGCTTGAAAATCCATACAAATATGAGAAATAAAAAGATGAAACTTGACAGGTGGGTAGAGTTGTGTTTCTTTTAACCATATTTGAAAGTTTCGCGTTTCTACATTTGAAGGAGGGGGAATAGGGGGTGTGCATTTCCGATACGTCGATAATATCTTTGTCAACCAATTTGCGGCCACCGTGTTTTCGTCTGTTTGATTGCTGTGATGTGGTGCTTTGTTTATAATTTAACGAGTTTTGTTCGAAATAACCGTGTTCTTGAAATATATGACGGTCAGAAATGCAATTAGAAGCCCAATGTTTTCACGCTGTCACAAGACCAACAATTGTCAACCAATTTGCGACCACCGTGTTTTGTCTGTTGTCTGTCTGTTTGATTGCTGTATGGCTGCGTATGCCATAGTCTCGACGCAGCAGAAACGATGATCAAGGCTTGAAATCCGTGGTCGCACACTGGTCGTTCGGTCGCAAATACGTCTTTCGAGTGCCGTACTTTGGGGATTTGTATAGCTTTAACCCTTTGTCGTAGAAAGTTAATACGAGGTTTAGCGTGTAGAATAAATGTCGCCAATGCACCCACGGTGAAAAAATTAACGGGTTAGATATATTGGTTTTTGTTTTATAGCGGTTTGAATGAAATTGTCCGCAGACTGGCTACACCACCCTAGGCCTGGTGAGTTGTCCGTGTAGTCGAATTGTCCATCAGCCCTAAACGGCTATGACAGTCACTGTACCAAAAATTGTACCCCGATTCGGCTGGTGTTAAGTTGACGCATGTTATTTAGTAACGTTTTTATGTGAAATGTTTGACTGTGGTTCGGTACCTGATCCGATAATACGGTACATAATTGACTCATATCACGAGATATTTCAACTGGTGTTTCAATTGTCACAGGACCTAAAATATCTATGACAGTCCTTGTACCGTCACGTAACCCCGATACAGGTACTGGTAAGTCACCGCCGGTATGTTAGTCGTTGGTCACCGCAGATGATTTTTGGGGAATTGTTCTGCGTGTCCATATATTTGAGCATTGCTCTCTTGTTTTGTTGTGTTTATGCCGTCTCAATCGCTTTACCGAATACGAGGTTACGTTACGCCCTCATATTGCGGCATCTTGAAGACGTCTTGGCGTCGAGTAATCACACTTTTCGCTTTTTCGGCTCCGATTCGTCGCGAAAGCGCTTCATCAAAACTCGCAAGAGAAACCTAGAAGTCGGCACGCGTGCTTTTTCTGTTCTGCCGTTGGTTCTGCATGCCTTTCCTGATTAATATGATCCATACTAAACGTTATGCATATTTCTTTGTTTAAAACTAGAAAACATTATAATATTTCAGAAATTTTTTGCTGGTGCCAGGTGATAGTTACTAACTGTGATAATTCATATAAAAAAAGTTCTTAAATGTACAATACCTGTCATACTACACTATGAAAATGAAACACTTTCTAAACATCTGCGGCCATGGAGTGAAGACATTCGCAACAGTTGCAAATCAGCAATCGGTTCAAAGATGTCTTGGGCAGCCGACAGCATACAGTCATCCTTTCTTGATGAAAACGGGTATGACGACTATGTTTTTTTGTTGTGACATTTCTGGGTATTTTTCCTGTTGGTGAATGAATTTTATTTTGCATGACAGATGAAGTTACTCCAGGATTGACAAAAGAAAACTATAGAACTCGAAGACACAATCTTATTGAATTAATATGCAATGAAAAAGTTACCACACCTCAACAAGATAAAGTAAGGTCTAACTATTGCCTACATAAGGAAAATCATACCTGAACTGTAATAAAATAGTTGATATAGTCTGTCAGTCAGTATTTTATTTTCGAGTGGAAGTGGTGACTCCTCTTCGGCCCATGGCCGGGGCCACGGCCCATCAAATTGGGCCTCGGCCCATCAGGCTATGGGCCGCGGCCCATCAAGTTGTGTAAAGAAACTATTCACTTGGCTAACACAGACTGTCCCCAAACTCATAATAGAACTATAATGTAAAAAATCTGAACAAAATTTTGCCCTAACCCTAACCTGGTACACATACTACAGGAGTTTATTTTTTGGTTCGAATATTGACAATTTTGTAAAAATTGAAAATTTTGGTAAGATAATTGAATTTTTCCTGACGGGGCCGCGGCCCATAGCTTGATAGGCCACGGCCCATGTGGCCCAATTAGATGGGCCGTGGCCCCGGCCCATGGGTCGTAGAGGAGTCACCACCCCTGTAGTTATTTTCACCAAAATGAACATACACTAGATGCAAACAAACACTAGAAAAAAAAACATGAAAATGGCATTTTATGGTGAAGGGTGACGCGAAAAAACATTGTTGGTTATCGAGTAGCGACACTTGTGATAAAATTCTAACACTAATACAGGTAGAATAGAAAGAAGTTGAACAGATATGTGTAATTAAAAAAATGAATATACTGATATGCAAATACAATAAACATTTTTGTCTTGGACCTACCAGAAAAACTGTGCATTTAAAATATAGACTAAATATGCAAATTGTTACTAGAAATCCTCTAAAAACGGACATTTTTGAATGACCCAAATGTATGAATCATAACTTTTATAATAGCTGCCTCACTCCACGCCTCTCTTCAATCTATTTACGTTCCTTGTGTCTTGATGTGTATTGATTGTTGTTGTTATTTCAGATTTCCAACAAACATATTATAGTTGTTCTGGGTAATCCAGTCAATTATATGAGTCAAGATATACCATACCAGTTCCATCAGAACACAAACTTCTCTTACCTCACAGGATTCCAGGTATTCAACTTGTGTCTCCTCTCGTTGCATGTAATCTGTTGTGCATATTTTTTGTTGATTTAATAACCAGCAACGTTATTTTTATATATATGGAACATCATAAAAAATCATAATAGAATTTATACGAATTTTTATTCTTAAAAGCACCGTGTTGCCTGAATTCGAAAGAGTGGTTGGCCTAAAACTAGCATCAGGATTACAAAATCTTTCCCTTTGAGAAACTGTGGCTTCACTTAGTTTATTTCTTGTATATTTTACCTGACTAGATTTGTTTATGAACTTTTTGTCATTTCTCAATATTAGCAGCTAGTTCTCATCCACGCACACTGTAGAACATCTGACTTTTCATGCTAAAAGGTTTTTTTCCAAGAGTGTTCACTATGGGAAATTCACTTCATTTAAGCTATTTCCTTGACAGTGTTGACTTGATCTGTTACAAATTTTGTGTCATCTGCTTATATAGCTATTAGTTGCTCCTCTATTAGTATTATATTTCTTTTAATTGATGACTCTTGACTTTGCCAATTGTTGCTAGTGGCCAAAATGATAGAGGATTATTAACATCAGTTCATCTATTTTTTAAACTGAATTATGACCTCCCAATTCAGTTTGGCAGCTGCTTTGACTGAAAATCTATTTTTATGTTGAAGGAGCCAGATAGCTGTTTAGTAATGGAATCAATGCCTGGATGTGAATATCCAAATCATAAGTCTACTTTATTTGTTCAAAAACGTGACCCAGTAAAAGAACTTTGGAATGGAATAAGAGCAGGAACCGATGGAGCACTCGAACATACAGGTGCATAAATGATCTGCCAAGGATTTTATTTCGATTCATTGCACCATTCAATACAACGACTTTGAAGGCTGATATTTGTGATATATCAATATTTCAGACTGTGAAAACAGTAGTAGCCTACTAACTGAAGTGCCACAATACTGAAAAACAATGGGATGATACTTTAGCTCTCCTGAAATCTCAAATTATATTTTTACTTCTGCAATAAATTGATAAATACATGAGTTATATGTAACCACTCGAATGCAATAAATTTAGCCCCTCAAGAAAAGGATTGCACTCAATTAAATAAAAAAGATTCAAATTTTTTTACTTACAATATATTTTGAAATAGAATGAGCGTTGCATAATATAAATCAGGGTGGTACAAGGTTGTCGGATCCGGGGGCCACAAAATTATTTTTACATTGTTCGCGGGCCACAATAGTGCCAAGAATAGGTAAACAGTGCAAAAAAAACACCCGGCATGAATTATATTGTTAGGCCATTACATTAATTAACATTTAGTTATCGGGCATAGCCAACTTAGGCTAATAGAATCCGCATTAGGTTTTTCGTTTTCCATGATGCCAAAATTGTTAGCATATATTCCTGACCAAAACGATATAAAGCCAGATAACAATTTAGACTACCAAGCACATTATTCAACTTCGCTAGTTGCCCCAGCAAGCCATAACACTAGTCAATTCAGTGACATTAGTGATGTTACAAAATGTTATAAGTTTTTTTCGTTTTAATTTTATAACGAAACAACACGAAATGCGATTTTTCGATATTTTCACTTTGAATGCAATGCGGGCCACAGATAATGAGGTGGCGGGCCATGGTTTGGACCACCCTGATATAAATGATACCTCATCATCTCTATGCTGTTTGACAAAGTATCTATTTTAATTGCTAGGTGTTGATTACACAGAAGAAATAGAAAGCCTTGGACAGTTTTTGACTAATCATATCTCTGAACAGAATACAATTTGGTTTGATTTTCATAGGATGACAAATTTACAACTGCATTTGAATCATGTAAGGTACAACATTATAGACTTGTTATATTGAAGAGTTGTTATTTTTTTTCCACTTGCCGTGACAAATATGAATTCAATTGAATTGTTTATTCTTATATGTGCTCTAATAATTAACATATATATGCAAATGTACTCGCCCACATTAACTAAGCTACGAATTTAAACTGGTTATGAAAAACCATCATCTTTTTCTCTATCCAAAATATAGCACTATATATATACCACAGTTGAATGTTAGTTCTTTAATCTGGTCACGGGTCGACCATAGCACCGATTCAATCATTTGGTTAAATTTTGCTTTCATAATTTTCTTTTTTCATTATCAGCATTTTATGTTTTAGGGGTTTCTTGCAAACAGCACACAAACAAGGTATCCAAATTCGCCAAGTTGAAGCTCCCATATACGAGCAGAGGAATATCAAATCTTCAGAAGAACGTACATTAATGTTGAAATCTTGTGATGTTATTTCGGAAGTATGTACTTGGATTATGGTTCTGCTGCTGAGATTCTTAACAAATTATAATGTTATATATCAGGTTTCCATTTTATGCAGTTCTTTTGCAGTTTTTTATTACAAAAAAATCTACAAATAATCGGTTGTCCGAAGCCTTGTTCTGAACAAAATGTGAAACATCTAGTATAAGAATGATATTTGATTATAAATTTGAACCGCAACCAAACATTTGTTAATGAAATTTGAAGATTTTGAAACATCAGTTATATAAATTTCTGTATTGCAAAATATGAGGAGATTAATTTCCTATAGTGCCTATTTCAATTTTTTTTCAGTGTTATCAGAGAAATAGTCTGGTATCCCAAAACGAATGATAATTAAGTATATATTCTGTATGCGTCTTTTTCCATTTGAATTTCCTCAAAAAAATGTACATCACCAATTTCTTGTCTTATCTCTTCTAATTGTACTCTGCATAACAGTTTGTTAATAATATAGATATACATACGGTTTCAGAATCCCTTTCCAATTTTCAGGCAATCTCCGATACAATGGCTTATTGCAAGCCAGGTATGAATGAAATTGAATTAAATGCCAGAATAGAGTTTGTTGCCAAGAAGAATGGGGCTCAAATGCTTGCTTTTCCTCCTGTTGTGGCATCGGGAAACAGGGCAAATACCCTACATTATGTTGACAATGATCAAATAATTGAGGAGGGTTCATTAGTATTAGTCGATGCAGGTGCTCGTTACCATGGTTATGTTTCAGATGTAACAAGGACATTTCCAATTAATGGAAAGTGAGTTTGTGGCTTTGATCTTAAATTTTAAGAAGACATTGAACTAGCACTTCGTTTCAAACAATAAACCCCTATTATATGAGGGGTAGCTTTGAGTTTAATAAAACCAGACTTTGAGAAAAATTTAGGAAATCTTGTACCATTGAGATTATGTCCAATAAAAATAATAATCATTATGGGTTGATAACGAGGTCTCCTCAAATGAGCATTATATCAATTTTTAGTACCCAGTTGTAAATGTAATAAGAGCTTTAACCACTTGAAAGCAATAAAGCATGTTATATGCGTAGAAACCAGGTCCACGCAATTCATTCCCCTATATGATTACTCTATACAAGATTATCATGCAAGCATTTTGCAAAAGGAAGCTTGGTATTCCCACCCTGCTCAAGAATTGCTTGTCTTTGTTTCATTGCTTAATTCAGGTGTATTCATAATTTCGTATTATTTAGGTTATTCATTCATTAATATTTTCCATTCATTCAAATCATTACAGCATGTGAGCTTACAGCGTACATGGGCTTTTTACTTCGTTGGAAATGTATTTTTTAGTTGTGAATCGATTTGTTTATATATGTATATTCTAAATATTATATGTTACTTGCTATAGATTTACAGAAGTACAGAGAACATTATATGAAGCAGTACTCAGGGTCCAAGAAATATGTATAAGATTATGTACTATTGGTCAATCAATTGATGACATTTATAATGTTATGACAATGACTCTCGGGAAGGAATTATACGATACTGGAGTCTTTAAAGAAAAATTGAAACCTACCGAACTAATGCAGGTACGTTTCGTAAACATTATTTGGATTTGTCCATCTTTTCAATCATTGTCTTTATATGAAACGTTCTCATTATGTGATTGTGATTTGGGAAATATTTTCATGATGTCGTTAGATTATTACGAGTTAATTTTCATACTACACTTTACAAAATCGTTCTCAATCAATTTTTGACATAATTCAAGTTTAAAGAGAGATGTTTTCAAGAGTGATACTATTGTTATTTTTCTGTTCTTGAGATTTTTTTTCTATGTTTATGAGGTAAATTTGTCATTTTGCTTAAAATATTTAGATATTCTAAATCAGACTAAATCTCGAAATGGATTTCTAGGATATGGACTTTGGATTTTTTTAATAAATATATTAATATTCTTTTTTTTTTATACATTTTTCAGCATGTGAGAGAATTATGTCCTCACCATGTTGGTCACTGGTTAGGTATGGATGTTCATGATACACCGGATATTAATAGATCAATGAAATTTTTACCAGGGATGGTGATTACCATTGAACCAGGTATTTTATTCAAAGATAAATTTATTGGTTTGTTGGACTAGCATGAATGTAAACACTGCTCTTTCTATCTGTCTTTATGATCATGGAGTCGTATGCACTGACTGCAAGAACACTTTCCGAACATTCGAAACTGTTATGTCAAGTAGTTTAAACTGCTTGTCTAAGTCTGACCTTGTCAGTCAGGCTAGATGTTACAGATTATAATTTATTGTTCAACAATCTGAATTTCATACATTTAATAGTAAAACGTTCAATTTAAAATTCTTATATCACAGACAGGTTTCGAGTCCCACTGCCTGCCACAAGCTATATTTGGGCTGATCTTTTGTGGTAGTGGTCACACCCCAAAACTGGCTATGAAGCCAGAGCTGGAGCCACAAGCTCACGACGATTACTAACCAACCTCCCAGCCCTGGTTGTGATGTCATAAACAAACCTTTCAATAAAATTTGCTGATTCTTATTAATAATTGTGTCATGTGGGGAGAATTAAGTTTTGTGTACCAAATTATCTCTCACCAGATTTGAAAACATTACTCATGCGACAAGAGACCAGTTGCAAATGATTTACAGATGTAACATCTCTTTTTCATTTAGAATTTGTTCTGTTTTTATAACATGTTAGTCTGCAACATTACCATCTGCTTTGACTGATGTTAACATCATCCTTTCACAGGCTTATATATTCGAGAAGACAACGAAAAAGTTGATTCAAAATACAGAGGAATAGGAATTAGAATTGAAGACGATATTTTAATCACGGAAGGAGAACCAATTGTTTTGTCATCCAAATGTCCAAAATCTGTAGAAGATATTGAACGAATTATGGCTAAAGGTTAACTGGATGTGTATGCCATACTGCTTACTCCTCTCTTTCCGTCTTTGCGTTAGTGGTTCCTCATGTATTTGCTGCAAGAATACTCCTGCAACACTGAAACTACTGTATTGATTGGTTCGAAAAACAATGCATCAAACTTTGCAAGTGTTGTTCTGTAATATTTTGTCTAACCAAAGACTTCCATAAGAGTTTACAACAATCATCAGCATAAAATTTGTGAATGTATGATGCAATACCTTTGAATCACTCAATTTAAGGAGATCTTCTACTACACTTAGTTTTCCAGTCGTTCCCCTTATCGTCAGAAAACTGTATATTGGGACCTTGTTGCATGGGAAAGACATTTTCACTTTTATTTCTTGTGAGTTTAGAGTAAACCTACCATTTCGAATCTGTGATTGCTACATGGCTCATGATTGTGATTTATCAGTTGCAAATTGATGTATAGTTGTTTGATACCTTTTTAGGTTCTATTTTGTACTACAATACTTAGGTATCTTGAAACTCTTGTGCATGATCAGTTTGTTTTCAAAATAATTTATACTTTCCACAAGCTTGGAAATGTGTTTGTTCGATAACTTGATTTATCTAGTTATATCCCCTGCATTCACTTTTTATGAGGGCCAAGATTAAACTAGTAAATGGAGTCTGATATAATGAATTGATTCGTTGTAGTGTTTTGTTGCCAAATTAGCATTGTGGTACCATGCTTTGTCATATTTTTCTTTGATTTTACCTATCTTTCTGCCTAATTCCAGTGAATTAAAGTCTAATAATTTTGACAAACAGTTGTGGTCTTTCGTTTTTTTTCGGCGCAAGTACAGTTGTTGGAAAATGCCACGAATTCGGGACTAACCTCCTATAATGGACAAAATTTAAACAGCTTACAACATCACATGGCAACCAGTTAGGGTCGTTTGAAACAGGTCTGAATAATCCACCTTGAAATATATTTGTATTATGTCAAAGACTCGAAAATATTTATCTCTATTGCTAAAACGCAAATTAGATAAACCACATCTTGATGGAGTTACGCAACGAAGTCTTTCAGAAATCCTCCCGCCATGGCCGGCGGGTCGTATGTTGAATGCCGATGTTCTGTCAATTATTCGCATCTTGCGCGTAAGATTTGTGAGCGTCAGGTGGTAAGTTTTGAAGTCGCTTTTATTCGACTTCCGATTGCAATAAAAAGGAAAGCTAATCAGTGGTAGGCATGTTTAATCAATTTTCTGTTGCGGTTTATATAAATTATACGTCTTCAATATTTTTTTTCGCAGATTTTGGTTTTTAATAACAAGAGTTTTATAAATTTCAAAAAATCTGAATGGAGGTTATTGCCGACCATGAAGTAAATTCGTAAAAAGTCAACTCTTCCAACGAGTAGTGCAATCGCGACGACTTTTTCAGAAGCCGTTCCGCGAATATCTTGGATCTGGAAGCTCCAGAGTCCAGACCCATTATGAATCTTGGCTGTGGTACTTAGCCTGAATGGATAGGGTAGTGGGATCATCTGCACTTAGCGAAGTTGGAGGGGAAAATACATAATTTTGAAGTTGGCCATACCTTGTTTGTAAGGACATTAAACGTTTGGACTATTCTCCCAATAGACCCCTGACCCTGAGTGTAACATGTTTTAGTTCGTTGCTGAGAAAATTGGCCCACTTATTCCAATATCTGTCAAAAAAATGAGGCCATTGAAAAAGTTGTTGGAGTAGGCTACGGCTATATTAAATCTTTAGCTTCATAGGTAAATACAGTATATAGGAAACACTCAATTGTGAAATACAATAATATATTTATAAAAATTTCGTAAGCATAAAAATCAAAAATATTTTGCACCTTATAAGCACAGATAATTTATTATAAGTATAACACAATGTTTATGAAATACTCGCATGCTGCAAATAGTTCTCAACACAAAATATGCATAAAAAATAGCACAAAAAGCAAATCAAAACAGCCTTAGTCATTAGACTCTGGGATTGCACATGTCACTAGCACGCTGATAATGAGAAGCTAAGGCACAGCAGCACCAGTGTGGAACATTTGTTTGCAGTTCGACTGTATTTACTACCAGTCGATACGCTGTCTGTATGGGACAATGGCACGACAGTTCGGATACGGAATGTCGGATTCCAGTGACAGCGTCTGTCAGTAAAGACGCTGTTGATGAACAAAACAGAGTAGAAAAATTCCTCAATGCCTTTGCTTTGCATAGTGCACCTTATGACTGTATCAAATTATTTGCGAGCTGATTAACCTCTCATCACACGCACCGACATTTCATATCCGAAAAATAACGCAGCACTCTGTGGAAATCCACGCAAGGCATTTACACCCAGTCCTCGAAAAAACACCGGCAACCCTTCTTTACGGTACATATTCCATGCGCATTCGAACACGCCAGTTTTTCCACCTTGTAGTTGAATTCTAAAAGCAGATGAATAATTAATTCAATCGAGTACTTACGTACGTATTTCAAGGGGATTTCAAACTCTTTTGACCGCGGCCAGGTATGACTCAAACTGTGTTGAAACGGGTCGGACAAATATGTTTGTCAATGCATTACAATAAATTCCCAAAAGTTGGGAAATCCATTCAAATTATTCAACAATATAAATTCTACATTTCTGAAGTCTTGAATAATGAATTCGATATCGCAGAATAGAGATCAAGAACATAATAGCAAAACAAATACCGTATTTGCTCGTTTTGTAGCCCGGGCCAATATTTTTTAACCAAACGCACTAACCGGGCCCTTATTTAACGGGCGCTTGTTATTCTTAGAGTTAAATTATACAAAAAAATATATGAGAAAAACATATATATACATGGAGATAAGATAGATTGTTACAATAATTAATATATTGTTATTTCCAGTTCTCAAGTATGATTTGAACAAGGATAACAACAATTTAGACTTTTTCTACGCACCGCAGGTACAAATCCGCAAAAGAAGAAAAGCTTTACCACGCCCTATCAATATTGAAACGACGCACTTGGGCGTCGCGACGCCCAGTTTGAGAACCACGGTGTCTGTTATGTAATATGACGCCCAAGGCGTGAGGGTTATCTACCACCGGCGCTTAAAATTCAACAGCGCTGTGACAAAAGCGCTTCTTATTTTCATTGTTCCCTACCACTGAAAAATCAGCTTTTACATCGGGCGAGTGTTCAAGCACCGGCCCTTATTTATTTTTATGTTCTTTTCACACGGGCGGCTATTCAAACGGGCTGAAGATCGGGCGGTAAACCGAGCATATACCACGAGAAACGTACATAGCAACAGTTTCGCCGAGAACACGCGCCACGACTTCCTTCGCAGAAAACGATGCGTAGCGGTAGAGAATTTTAGCCTATTTTATCACACTTATTTCTAGACAATTTTTGATTACTGCAATTAAACTACAACTCCTAAGAAGGCGAAATGATAATTGATTTATTTGATTCATACTTAGATTTCCGAATCACGACTGAAAACTAACGAATAGCATTCAAAATCGCGAAAACTAGGTATTGCTTGAAACTAGAACTGGAAATCTGTCCGAGTGACAAAAGTGTCTGAGCGGTTACGAAAGGGTCTATTATTACGTCACTTTTTGCATCTTGCTGATTAGCCAATGTTACGAAATGAACAAGGAAGTCGATGCTCGGGGAAACATCTCTTGAAAAAAAATCCGCTATTTTTTCGTGTTATTGTGGACCAGATGAAAAGACGCCACGGACCGGATCTGGCCCGCAGGCCGTAGTTTGGTGACCCCTGATTTAACTCAAATGCAAATGTACAGGAATCGCCAACACGCCGGTTGTTCTCGAAAACAGATATCGGATTTGATCATGTGGAACAGTCACGGGTTTCCCCAAATCCGTTAAAATTGCTAGTTACATAAACATGTTTTGTTTTATTCCATAGACCGTATGCTAAAAGAGATATCAAACGTATGGGCAGCTATGTAACTGATATACAATACATTTCTGTCGACAATCGCATTACGTCACGGAAAATTCTGAATTTGGTAGGAAAATTACAAAAAAGACCGGAGGAATTTGATTATTGGCAGCATTTTTTCGAAAAGGAATGTACTTCAAAAACTTTCTTTTTCGCTATTCGAGAGCGCAATTTCTCTCTCGTCTGATCTATAAACAGACTAATGTAGTAATAAAATTCAAGTTGACATCTTTATTGCCATAATACAATTATACGCCATTTTGTTCAAAAGCCTGCGAAACAAATATCGGATATCTATAAATACACAGACATAATGTTAAGCACCATAAAAACGATATAGCGAAGTTCCAAGAAATTTTCATCTATATGATATAGTTTTAAACCAACTTACCTGCTTTTTACTGTATCAACTGGATGCATTATACCCCAAGACAAAACACCTGCAAGTCCACCAGCAAGAATAAGGCCGATTGGTCCTGTCCGTGATTCATTTCTGCTTTTAAAAGCATTACAAAGGATAGTGTATGGGAGAAAGTACACCACGTATCCTGGTATATCTCGAATCAACATGGCAGGTCCACCACCTTTATAAAAGCCTCTTAGTCCATCTTTTTTGTATATTTTTAGCAGGCAGTCCATGACCCCTCGGTATTGTTCAGGCTGATTAGAACGGATAGGTATCAAGTTGGCACTATCTGACGACCTCACCAAAAATGACTCTGTTTGCGAGACGATTGGTAGCGGGTTAGGCTTTAGAAATCCTGAAGTAAATAAAATAGATTAGGAAAAATGCATGAAATTTTTTCACAGCCATTGCCCCAAAAAGCACGTTGTGGATTTTGGTGAATATATCACAACAACAATGCTGATATGGGGCAGCGGGGGTCTCCTAAGTCTAATAAAGTGTTTTAAATTATGATTTCACGTATTAGTGATTAGTTTTCATGCCCACCCGTGCCATTTAAAGGTTAATAGATCGGGCTGGTTGCGAATGCTTGAAAGAATTAGGAAATCCGTTTAATAAACAATATAATTTCCTGGCGCCGCCTGTAGTTTTGTTTGGGCCTGCTTAGTCAATATTATAAACTCTTTGAAAACCGATCAAGTGGAATATCAGTAATCACATGGCGAACATAAATTAGTCCGTAGCCATTATGTGCTGAAGTTGATGCCAATTTAATTAGGGCATGAATTGAATAAATTTTCGAGTCGAACTGGAATTATACACAAGTTGTTGTGTGTGCAGTAAAATTGACATTTGCATCTCGGACATTTGATCGTATCTCAATTGGAAAAACAATGCGGAACGATCCATATAAGACAAACAAAGTTGCGTTCGTTATATTTTGATATTTTTAAATCAAATTTCGTGTATTGATAATCTACCCAACAATCACAAATAATTATAATATGGCATGACTTTTCCAGTTATGGAGATTAGTTGACGCACCAAAAAGGGTCACCGTAGAACCACAATGTGGCCTAGACTTGATTCCGTGATACAAACATTTGAATAATGACATGATACAAAAAATATTCGATTTGACTCTCAAAAATCTCCATTTATGAAGTTTTTATTTTCAATAAAACCTCATTTTTCAGTTATTCGAGTACACGGAGTTAGTTCTAGATATTTTGCTTGTCAAGAAGAATAGTTAAGTATCAGAAGATGACGCCTGATGAAGCGATGCAACTTGAGACGTATCCAATTTGAGCTTCATCAGCCATCTCGAAAATCAAAGCCCATATCGTAATTTTAAATAAAATCATTTTCCAATAAAGAGAATTGTTATTTGGCATTTTGACTTGCTAATAATTTGACATTGACATTTTTCGAGGTTATTATATATAGACTAATTTTAACTTTCAGCCCTGAAATATATTTAAATTGAAAATCAATACTATTTAAAATTATTACGAGCATTGATTGCGAAAAAAAACAATTGAAGCAAGAGAAAATTAAATTTCATACATTTTAATAAAAAAAATAAGATTACATGGAATAAAATAACAAAGGTTTAATCTTATACAACCTATATACCTCCGATACTCACCTCCCAACGAAAGGCGAGGAATGCCTTGAATTGGTTTAACGTTTTATTTCCATGGGCTGACGTGGCGCGGCCAGCCAAACTAAAGATAAAAATTCACGTGAAACTAAACAGGGAAAACTTACTGCATTAAAGTTCTTTCATTTAAAAGAATATCATTGCAAGAATTCCGTTATTTAAAGTCTGAGATTTTTTAGACTTTTCCAAGCACAAAACAAAATATGCGTTTATATCCGAAAATGTACTTTAGGGCTTACAGAAATAAATACCCAATGATTTGAAATTGTATGAAATTATATTTTTGAATTGAATTAAATACCGCCTATTCGATATTTTTATAGTAAATTAGGTGATGAATGAATTATAAAATTAGTTATGATCACGATACAAAAATTTGAGAATGTGCGATTAATTCAGGACCTAGAACGACAACTATTAGCGAACCTAATTTTTTGATTTGCCTTGGTCTATATTTGTAAGACTGGGAGATTTAAGCTTAAATTGGGGCCAAAATCCAGGCTGCAAAAAGTTACAAGCTCATTCCCCGTCCTCATTGAAATGAAAACCCCATCATAATATTTCATAGTTTTCGGATATACAAAGTATTATTTTGGGATTAGGGGTAATTTAGTGAAATTCTTCGCAAATACCAAAATTAAAACCCTTAATGAAGTCATAGGTAATTTTATCGAATATAAAAATCATTTTTTATCTGGTCGTGTCACTTTGTACAGGAAAATGAGACAGGAACAAAATTTTGGATGACACGATGTACATGAATATTTGATGGATAACGATCGATATACAAATGAAATATATAACTGAAAAAAGATATAAAACCTGCATGGCACACAAACAGAAATACTTTGCCGATGAGTGAAAATTCGCATGGTGAAAATGCCGGAAGTTTGCATCCTTGAAATATTCTAATAAAGCAACAATGAATAATTGTATTCGATTGACAATTGGAAAAGAGCGCTCCCGAAGTATGTGCACCATAATGACGCACAACCTGAACTTTAATCTGGTACACATACTAAGTTAAAGTTGTGCGCCATCTTGGTGCACATACTTCGGGAACTCCGAAAAAAAGTCATTTGGTTTAATTTCGGGAATTGAAAAACCTTTTTTCAATTTATTTCAGCTTCAATTTTTGTGATATAATTGAAATGCAAATCAAATCATTGTCATTTTCAAACATTTGTTGAGATTTAGCAACTGTCCTATTATTGGAAAATCATCAATCACATGTGAAGAATCATAGTATTATGTTTACCTCTTTTTTCCACTTTCCTCGTCACATTGGTTTTTACATCATTGAGTCGTATGGGTTCGACAGATCCTGTTTGTGTTTGTAAACGAATTTTGACCAGATCAACAGGTGCTCCAATTGACACCGACACTGCCCCTGCTATCATTGACGCGAACGTGATATCAGAATACCTAGCTTGGTGGTTCGCATCATTGTACCGCCACTGGCATATTAACTTCGTAGTATTGCTGTAAAAATGTATTTTTGTGAGATCGTGCCGCTGAATTTAACAGAATGTCTGTGCTCAGGATGGAACATAAATTCTAAATTAGAAAATGGCCTATTGACACGAGTTCTGCCACTAAATATATGAGATATCGTAGGAAACTCAATATTAACAAGGTCATTCATTCTTTTCATTGCTTAATTACTATGAAATCAAATATAATTACGGTAATAGTGTTGTATGTGAAGACACAAACATAGTTATGAAACAATGCCGTTCTCACCTAATGCTTGCAATGAGAAACGCTTATCAAACGAAGAGATTACTGATTTTGACTCATTTAACAAAATCTTGTGACGTTTGATGGGTGGTTCCAAACAGATATTATATATTATGACCTCCTGTCCTTTTATGTAATATGTCATAATACGGAGGTAAAGATAATATGATTAAACGCTATTAATCATCTTCTAAATATTATATTTGAGTAATTAATTACGTCATAAAAATATGGTTGCTGTCATCTGTTGCTACACAGTGAACTATGACTGAATTAAAAAACAACTATTACTTTTAAACGCAAGTTTACCTGTATACTCCGAATACTAACGCGTTGTACCCAGCTACAGACAATAATGGAAAGGACATTCCTTTGAAAAATCCCTTTGGTCCTTCTTTATGCATAATTTTGATGCAGCAATCAATTGTCCCCTTGTAGGCGTTTGATGTTTGCAAGCGCACCTGAAGTATTGATAAAAACTCTTATTAGGAGATGCAATGCAGCCGATCAATAACTCCCTGCTTGTGTGTCCGGCGCATTATACTTTATAAATTTTTAGGAACCTGTGTGTTAACAACATGTATATTGAATCTAGTATGATATCTGTAATGTTATTTTTGTTTTTGGAAAACAATTTTAAGCTCTGGAAGAGCGCTCCCATTATTATGCGACTACAATAACCGACCATGAAATTCTTCTTTTGTTCAAAACTAAGCCGAGTGAAAATGAATATCAAAAAATATTTTCAGCACGGGACTAGTTTGATCAAATTGAATTTGTGTTTCGGATAATAGTCGAAATAGCAACTGTTTATGCATTTGTATTTATGTTTTGAATAACTGATAGAAGTTAAGGTAGCCTACAAAACATGTTCAATATAGTTGTGCCCCATGATCCAATTTCAAGTCATGTAATTTATGCATAATATTAACAAGGAACTAAAAATGTATCCAATGGATATTGTTATTCCAATATAAACGGATGTATTTATTTAGGTGACCGTACATTTGAACCCACGTACATTTGAACCCATGTGTATATTCACGGGTTTAAACTATATACGGGTGCTAAAACCCATGGGTTAGGGTTAGTATGAGTTCAACTATCCGAAAAACAAAAAGAAATCCGTAGGTGCAATAGCATACAGGTACAATTGTCATGGGTTCAAATGTACGTGGGTTCAAATGTAATGGAACCATTTATTTACATTACACAATATGTAATCGTTTCTCACAAATAAGAGGAAATTTGCGTCGAAGAGAAAATAAATATAAACTTGTGTGAACTTGAAACTGCTATGTCTGATACATTTTACGAGTAAAAAGGTGTGGTTTGCATTTGAAAATAACAAATACGTTTTAGCTTCGAGGTACAGACATTCGGAAATTTGGAATTCATGATTCCCGCCAGAAAACACCAGTATTTTTCCACGAGACGGGGATTTTTCCCCAAGCGCTGGGATGTATCCGGCGCCTCCATTCATAACTGGTCACGCCTACATTACGCCGGTATACGACATTGTATACATTCCGCGACTCTGAATGACGTTGAATGTATTTCGTTTCTCGGATACCAAAGGCGACGCGTTCATCTTAGCAGATGGATTTTTGAGTGCCGGTAAATACCGTACGTCATAATCATGGTTGAAATGCAAAATGCCTTACTTTAACGGTGTCCAATGGGTGGCTTGATTTAACACCAGCTGCACCTGCGAAGGGAAAACAGGTTTAAATTTCCTCACTTAAACACTCTGAATTGTCCAATTTTACTAACAAATAAAGCAATAAAGTATATACAAAATATAGTAAATACAATTTTCAAGGGCATTAAAACACTATTGGATTTAAACAGTGTAAGACTGCAGGTTAATTATTTACATTGGATCATTTAATTTAAAAAAATATTGCGTTTAACTATGTTATGCGTAGGTAAACATATCCGAAGAACCCAGAGTGAACCCTGGCTACGCTTCTATATGCGGTATTGAATAAACATGCTTGCAATACAGCGCCCACCAAAGTGGGCCAATGGCGACAGCGGATGTACAAATGCTTACAAAAATATGGGTGAGTGACCGACCCTAGGCGGGAATGGGCGGTTACAACCAGACTTAACCTAGCATGCACCGGATACGTAACTATTTCAGTGAAAATATACATTTTCCGATATGCGCCAAACTGGATGACATGGAATTAAAGCAAATTTATTGCATTTGCTTGGAATATACATATTGATATTCGCTTATGTGCATAATTTACAACTTGACAAATAAAAAAAAATGGATTTTTTATTCTGATTGTTTAGACTTAGAGATATCCATATTTGTCTCGATATACATAAAATATTGTAAGATTAGTAGCAACAAAACTGAATAACTCTCCATCTTAGTTTTTATTGTACATGCGCAAAACATCGCAAATAGCGCTGAAACTGGAAAATCGTTATATTTTTTCGGGAAATTTTTTTAACCGAAATTTTCATGTAAAAAAGCTTCAAAAAACGCACAAGTATGAATTTTTCGTAAAATGAGAAATGTGGAAGCTCGTGTAGGTAAAATAAAAATATAAACAACCTCTCGTCGAAAACGAAACTACTCCTTTCCGATACCTCAGTGTTTCGGATATACGTAAACGTCATACGCAAGCTTAAATATCACCATTTCAGCTAAAACAAATAATATGGACATGGAATTTGAATAATTTTTACGTTCATCATCAAGGCATAAAAGTGACCATTGAATGATAATGTATTGTCTCGTAATCAGAAAAACACTGTAACCTCGCAATTATCATAAACAACCACTCTAACAACGACGATGTCTGGAATTAGCTCGTTTATAAAGCCTGAAAATGACAAGGACAAACCATGCTATGAGGAACTTCACGGATTATACACATTATACATATTGCTTTCACAGAACGGATAAATAACGATTATTTTCGATTTTCTGGTGATCGATATCGATGATAGACGAGATCAAACGCATTGAAAATGATTTTTACTAAGCATCAAATTTAGTACACGACTAGTTCAGACTGTCCCATCCATATTTCACACTCAATCATGTCTCAGTTAAAAATATACATTTTCGACAAATAGACTAAAATACAAAATGTCTGTGATTGTGGTTAAATAAATATAAAACTCACCCCCGATCCATCCCGCCAGAAAATCACATGCGTCCACAGATGGCATATTTTCTGTTGAAAAAATACGCCTTCAGCTAAGTGACAGAATAAATAAAATAGTATACCCAGCTTCAAATACCGTGCACATATACCAGTGTCAGTAACTGAATAACTATGAATCAAAATAGAGAGAAGTATAAAGCATCAAACGGATGAGTGCATTACGTCATACAAGAATGGCAGTATTCTGTTCAAACGAAACAACAGCTATTTACCGCCGATCGATGTATTGCGTGACTCAGGGTTTACGTGGAATTTGTTACGTACGATTCATTCCCCCATGCCTGCATTTTCTCCCAGAACGCGACTCCCATGTTTGTGATATTTATACTAGGGTGCATTGGAATTCTGATTCATTCTTCAAATTTTATTGAGTCATAAAATTTTGTAAACAAAAATTCTGTGGAAGTTCCGTATTTGGATAGTACAAAGGCGAATCACAACCGTCAAAGCTGAAATATATATATACCAAATCGCAAAACGCCAAAAAATTGATTGTCACACAATCAGACAGACACATGACGCAAGATTTTTTTCCGCTAAAACAAACATGGTCAAGGTAAATGCGTCTTAAGCCTAGGATTCGTTCACTTCTTTTGCTCTGTAACTTATCCTAAACTAACCTAGAAAATAAAATGAAAAATCGAATAAAATTAGTGGCGGAGCAATAACATGAAGAGCTACTAAGTCAATATTAGTTATCAAATTATAGAAATTATCTGAGATTTGAACACTTGGAAAGGATTTGAAACAAATCCCTAGAATATCATGAATTCCCTAACATTAACACCTTTGTCCTGTCTATTTACTCATATTCAATGGAGTGGAGTGGTATAGTAGTCCAAAGTGGAGAAAGTATAGTAAAGTTTAAAAGTTGTTTCTGATATGCCACTTCTCCTCGCATCATATTACTGCTAGTCAACGATTCGACGCATGCTAATGACGTGAGCAGAGGCGTTAATCATTGTGAGTGAGAATAATGTGGTTAGTTAGGTGTGAACAAATGATAGCGACATCGTGACAAAGCGTTCATCGTTTATGTGCCAAACCTGATAAGAAATGATTTTCTCGAGTAAAGCTGCTTCGACACTGCCGGTCATACGGGTGCTTGGCTAATTCTTATTGCGTCACATATTTAAACATATTCAAGACTTTATTGCCTTTTTCAAACTACTTGAGGGCGATTCACAAAAAAAAAACGAATAACATCAATAATACCACTGCCTTCTGGAGTCTGCCTTTCGACAAAAACATCAACCGCGTATATAGATAAAATCAAATACACGACAAAAAGCGCCGTGTCTCTCATTCTTCGTATAATATGATACATTTACTCGCGTATTTCATTTAAATGTTTGGCAAAGGATCATACATAAGCCAGACGAGTTTATTAAATATGCATGTGGTTTAATTAAAATGAATTGAACTTGAGATACATGTTATATACTGTTTTAGTACACATACAAATATTTTCTACTTGGTTGCCGAACGCACTGTAATACACATTACAAAGTATTAAAAAGTGTGAACATTTACAATATTCAATAATTCAAACTGCACAACCTCTCAAGCACGAATATGACTTCAATTATGTGCGGTTATTCACCAGTCATGTCGGAACTCGACAATCAGGAAATCTTCTTATCCCACAATCCCACTTTCTAGCGATTATAACTAATGAGATATACAATAATATCACTCGTAATGTTTTTGGAAATACATTCAACGATCTATCCAATAGCAAGTAATTTCAGTAGTGTTATTCAGAAAATCGATGAAATCACTTTATAGAAAACGTAAGGAACTTCTTCGCTTGGTACCACGGCAGATACCCAATTCAAACGATTATGGGTCAGGAAGATACATCTAAAGAATTTTACAGTTCCTGAATGTTTTATTACACCTTTCATAACTTAACTATAAATCTACGGCTGTTTTTTTCTAATCATTTATCCACTGTAACCTGATATCAAAAGCAGACAAACGATTATTTAACAGACTCCGATTTCCTGTTCGATCACAATAACTATATGAAATGAGTTCGATTGTTCAGTAAACAAAGTAGTACTGGACAATCGAACTCATTTCATGTATGGTCATAGATGCTTTATGAAGATCTGGACAATGAATGACCTACTTCTGAGCAAATACCAAACCTGTTCAAAAGTATTACAATCATGCTTGACCTAGAATATCTTGTTGTGTATCATCTATTGCGCTTTGACCAATGGTCAATACAACGCATACATTTATTGTAAGTGCTACCTTTGAGCCCTAAGGGCCGGGCATTGTAAATGGCGATTGCCTGTTGTCATATAATTAACACATTTTACAAATGATTTACGTCCCCTAATCATTAGTCAATAAAACTAAGCCTTTAATTGGCATATTCGAGTTTTATTTATTATTACATTCAAATTTAATTCCACCCTAACGTATAAATACACTTAAAGTATCTCAATATTTTTTTCTATATTAACCTGAAGGAGGCAAAGGCTAAAATAACGTTGGAAAGAAGTACTGGGAGTATCTAGTGCCCATCAAGAGCCTACACATAAAACAATTACATCGTTGTAATATATATAATTTATATATCGTTATAACCATCTATAACCTCCCCGAGTCATCTAATTTCATCTCAACTATTAGCACTAAATCTGCCTATGTATATTAAATATAACAACTTGTAATATATAATTTATTCACCAGCATAGTAAAATATAACAGCAAGACAAATAGCACTATTGAACAAATTAACGCCAAACACACTAAGAAAATGGCAACTTTTGTATTGATATACTTTATTCTCTCTATTTTTTGTTATATTGTTTGTTCTTTCTCTTCTTTCTCACTTATTTATAAGCCTTTTTCTCTCTTTCTAAACTTTCACTTCGTCATCTTGACATTTTTCTCCTTCTTTTCTCCTTACCTGGCCAAGACGAAATACTCGTCACTGGAGGGCTCAATGAGTGTGCATCAAGGTGCATTTCTCCCAGTGATGGGAACTTCTGTTAACTTTTTATTTTGTTTTATAGAAAAAGAAAAACCATCTGACAGCCTCCCCTGAAAAAACGTAAGTATGAAAAAAAGGTATCTCAATTTCTGTGTATATCTGCGGCTATGATTATTATGGCAATTTATTGGTAAATTTTTTCACCATCTTCCGAGAAAAAAGTGGGTATATCAATAATATAAATTGTGGAAGTTTAAAATTTGTCCGCATAAATGTGATCCTGTGTGGGCAATCCACGTGTTAGGGCAATCAAAATAATACATCGAGTAAACTCGTGGGAGCAGTAAAATCAAATCAAGTTTTTACGTTTAAAAATACGGAATTAATTATTAAAATATTGCGTTTCTTCAGTATTTATTAACAATATTTAAATACACACAAAGCTTTGAAGGAGGAATTTATTAATTGTGGTACCTGTGAGTGATACGACTGTACTTATCGGTTTGCAAAATTCTTGTTATTATTGTTGAGATGGTTTGGTCTGGTCATAATCCAGTAAAAGAATCGGGACATGATTTCGTCAAAGTCTGAATATAGTATAGGCCTACGGATACAAAATTAAGATTTCCTAATCTATTTTATTTTTTGAATTACTTCAACCTGCACCTGACAACGTCTTGATGAATGAAAAAATCAAACTAAACAAAGTTATTCAACGTTTTGAGAATACTACTATGCGACTTATATTGAGATTCTTTAAATTTTCTAATGAAAATTATCATATATACACAATTACCGTACAATGTATTATTTTCTGTTAATTTGGTCGGTCAATCTATTTACATTAGTTCTTGTAAATAAATAACTAATGAGCGAAGTACTTGGATATTTATATAATATTTTGCCTTCTTGCTCAATGTTGCACCTGACTGATACCACAACCAAAATCAACATCATTTAGTAATTATTGTACTGTATATCATGAACACGCGCTAGCAGTGCTTATTATCCTGTTTAATCTTTTCAATGCAATTGGAAAATGATAAAGACCCAAACACTTAGGTACATGTAGTGCAACAAATTGATTTTTACAAATACCAAATCAATGGAATAGCTGGACATCATTTTTATGATGGAATCATATTCTACCCATTCATGACATCCAACGATAGTATGCACATCGAGGTTTTCATGGATTTTTTTAAATGGCATAGATCGATTGGTCCACGGTCAAAGTGATCTGAAACGTTCAACTATCGTGATTTGAAAAATGATTATGATGTTTTCGGAAAAAGTTTTCAAGGTTGTTTAACCGCCTTACTTCTCCTCGGGGTAGACATGAAAACATATTTTTGTATACCTCAAATTATATGCAAATAATCGTCATCCTCTTCCGATGCCATAGACGTGCGTGTCGTGTGCGGTCAACTTGCAAGAAAATATTTAAGATGGGATTTACATATTTATCCCGAGGGAGAAGGAAACTGATAAGACGGCTTAATCATGTGACGAACCACTGCCTACATTTTACCACAACAGCCCCATGTCGATAGATCGCGCGAGAACAAACTTTTGTGCATATGTTGCTTTTCAAGAACAGGCTTTTGCCATAATGATATTTGGTGAACATGGATTATGCAAATATGCAAAGTATGTATTTTTCCAAAAACAAACATCTGTGCGACTCAATTTTGCGACATTATTGTCGAAATATTGTTTTGCGAGAATAAACTATTTTCAAGCGTTTTTCAGCGAAGGACTTCCCAAAACTTTCGAAATGAAACTGCCAGAAAAAAGCCAGTTCTTGCAAAATCACATTCTCATAATTACTCACGAATATTTCCACTCAAATTTACCCATTCTTTTAATCACTACTGACATCTAACGATTGTTTGGACCGAGTCATCGACACTGTTTTTTGTTTTGGTAAATTGTCTTAGAATCTGAGTTACGTTAACTCAGCTGTAAGTTACCTTCTTGGTTTTCAGTGAGAATTGGGAGACATGGGTAATCATCTTGCTGCAACAGCTCCTTCTCAGATATTGAGCGTGGATAGTTATTTGGGAGATGCAACGGATTATCAATTCGATAAAAGCTTGGGAAGTACACGGTTCATGAAGGTGAGTCATTCTGTCATTAGAAAACTAAAAATAAAATATTATCAATAAGGTCATAGCCATGACTTTCTGACATGAATATTATCATTTTTCAAAGGTTGCAAGGGTCAAGCATCAAGAAGGACTTGCTGTTGTCAAAGTTTTTGCAATTCATGACCCAAACTTAGATTTAGAAACTTACAAACAACATGTTGAAAACATCAGAAGTAAACTCAAACATGCATCTAATTGTTCTCCATTTCAAAATATCATGCTCACAGACAAAGCAGCATTGCTGTTTCGGTAAGCTATTTTGCTATAAAGTTTCACATATTTATGAGGTTGTTTGTGTAACCATCGGCTTCTTGTAATTCGTAATAACCTATTATTACCTGCTTTAAAAGAATCAAAACATGATTATCAGCCAAAGTATCATGTGAATTCTTTGCTTTGATAAAACTATGGTATAGTTTAGTACCGCATGTATTTCTAGAAGCTATACCTCCACAATTTTTGCATATGTCTGTTTGTCATTCCTAACCCCCACCTGACTACGTCATCCAAAGAGTTACAGTGGCGACCATCCAAAACGCTTAGACAATCACCCAAAATCGAGCATGCTACATCGTATACAAAGTCATACTTCTTCATTTTTTTCATTGTGACAATCTTGCCTAGAAGTACTTGTGGCACTAAACCAGTGGTTCCCAACCTTTCTACCCTGGCGGACCGGTAAAAATAAATTAAATGTACTCGCGGACCTTAAAAAATTGAAATGACCGAAACAGAAAAGAATAACATATATTTGCGTAATACAATACAATGTCGGGCACTCAATATGCATCTAGACAAAAAAGGCACTTAAAAACAGCTCACACGAAGAAAAACTATCAAATGTGGCGGCCAAAAATTGAAATAGGTGAAACATACATATTTGCGTAATGAAATGCAGTGCTGGGCACCCATCATGCGTAAGTAAGGCACACATAAAACATCTCACATAAAAAACATGTACATGCCAAATCATGTACAAACGCAATTAACTCTAGTGATAATTTTGCTGCTGTTTAGTTTCCAATATAGGATTGCAAACGATGCCGCAAGGAAGTTTCTGCAACACGTAGCTCTGCAGAGGCGTGCAGCCAATTTCCTTACTTCGTTTTAATTAAAGCTAGCGATGAAAATATTTTTATATATAAGTAATAAAAATATAAGTAACTCCTGGACTGTAAAGTAGAATCACAATTCGAATCAAGCCTTTTCTTTTTCATCTGGTTTATCACATTAATCCCTCTGCAGTTGATCGATGCTTCAAACGAAATGAATTTACATTACAATGACAAAGTCGTCGCAAACTTGGCACCAGGCTTAAAATCTTACTTTGTCTGCTCAAGATACTGGAAAAGATCTCAGCGGCCCATGCTTTTTTGCGCGCCTCGTGACCACCTGCCATATTTTACTGGAGTATTATACTTTTCTTGACTGTTTTCGGGTTTGAACAAAGAAATATGCATAACGTTTTATTTGGATGGTCATATTAATCAGGAAAAGCAGCATGCAGAACAGAAAAAGCACGCGTGCCAATTATTAGGTTTCTGAATTTTGCGAGATTTGATGGAGCGCATTCACGAAGAATCGGAGCCGAAAAAGCAAAAAGTGTGATTACTCGGCGCCATGATGTCGCGAAAGACGTCACAATATGACGGCGGAAGAGAAATTGCGTAATAAACCAACGCAACCTCCTCTTCGGTAAAGAGATCGGAGCGGAGCCGAAAAAGCGAAAAGTATGATTACTGGGCGCCAAGTTGTCACAATATGACGGCGGAGAGAAATTGCGTAATAAACCAACGCAACCTCCTCTTCGGTACAGCGATTTAGACGGCATAAAAACAACAAAACACTGAAATTTCTCGCGGACCGGCAAAAATGCTTCGCGGACCGGCGCCGGTCCGCGGACCGGCGGTTGGGAACCAATGCACTAAACTACACTAGACCAAAACTATGCATAACTTTTTATTTTTATAAAATAGCATACTTCCATTTTCCAAATTGTAGTAGGCTATTTAAAATATACTGATAATCCAGTTCTAGTTGAGCAATTTTGATATTTAACATCAGAAATATTCGGTTTGTTTTTATCGAGCGAAAATTGCTGTCTAATAACCAAATAACTGATGCTCATTCTGATGAAAAGATGTTTTTGGTAGAATTATAGTAGAATTTAGATATCAATTTTCTAGTTTTATCTCTGAGCCATCAGAAATTGTATGCTGTGTACAGTTTTTGTGAGTGTAGAGATTTGCCAAAACATGTTTTTGATGCTCACCTAGATTTTGAATGTATCATAGATAACTGAACTCCGTTAAATATTTTCTATTTTTCTATTTGAGAATGATCCGAGTGAACAATTTCTTATTAAATTCATTTTCAGACAATTTGTCAAACACAATTTGTATGATCGAATCAGTACAAGGCCTTTCTATAATATGATTGAACGGAAATGGGTGGCGTTTCAACTCCTATGTGCTCTAAATCAGATGGCAAAACTTGAAATGTGCCACGGAGACATTAAAAGTGAAAATGTAATGATTACATCGTGGAATTGGCTGCTTTTAACTGACTTTGCAAGGTGAGACTAACGTATATCAATTATCCAACCAACGTACTACAACAATAAAATTTAATTTACATCCATTTTACCTTCAACTGTATTTTTATTGCATTATTTTGTGATCCGCTGATTTAAATGGTAAATGACTATGTCAGTCTTCACAATTTATTTTCATTTTTAACCTATTTTTATCTCTCTTTCTTCACATGTGATAACTGCAGACTGTTATATTTATTTGGCAAAAACTTGATTTTCACCATTGCCTTTACTTTTATGATGTGTATTAGGTTTTTACGCTAATTTGTTTACTCAAAGCATTGTTTGAGAATATAGACAAGATAGAAGTTTATTATGTATGAGCTGTCAAGTACAATCGCTGCTAAATCTTAAGGTCACTAGTAGGCTACATATCTGCTTGTGTGTGCTATATATTTAGATTCTAATACTTTTTTCTTTCTTCTATAATATTAGTTACAAACCAACGTACATTCCTGATGACAATCCAGCTGATTTCAATTATTTCTTCGATACATCTCGACGTAGAGTATGTTACATTGCTCCAGAAAGATTTGTTGAAATGTCTCTTGTAACAGAAGATGCAGCAACTAAAGAAACGCAAGGACTTGATCATTCTATGGATATATTTTCTGCTGGATGTGTCATTGCTGAGTTGTTCACAGATGGGACACCGCCTTTCGATTTCTCCCAGTTGTTGGCATTCAGGTAATAGAATATAATTGTAAAAAGGAGTACCTTTACAATGTTCATGGAAGGATATATTGCTCTCTTGGAACACTAGTCGTAGTCCATAGGGCAGTGGTTCCCAACCACCGTGGAATGATTATTGGTGTGCCACGGTGTGCAAACTGGGAAAGAAGATGAGGGTAAACTAAGTGGCTCAGGTATGTAGTTATATTGTAAGCCAAGCACTGAAAACGCTTTTTACATTGGTTGACGCCGTGAACCCTACCTGCAACTGTTTATTTACATTTTCTGGAATAAATTAACTAGTCGCTGATACTTAGTTTCCAGGCTTGTTTAATAAAAGAAGCATTCGTTATCATATTTTAGCATGTAGATGTGTGTGCAGAACTTCAGGTATGCACGCAAGACAATCGACACCGAACCAGCCAGGGTTGACACTTTTCATAATTTTGGGGCGCGAACTTGGGTGACCAACCAAAAAAACACTGTGCCATGTATCGTTACATAACAATAACCTTTCGATGTCATTCTATTAAGTATTAGCTTGTCATTTTACTAGTATATCCAGTACCTAGGCCGCTTTGCTTTGGCAGGGAACTCACGCGTCACTGAACCGATCTCTTGAATTGAGTTGAGTATTGGCTTTATGAGTAGAAAATGTTCATGTTTTGTGATAGAGCTTAATAGTGTGCCGCAGTATAAAAAAGGTTGGGAACCACTGCCATGGGGAGTACAACCGAACTGGTTGGAAATGTACTAAAATGGAATTCGAAATAGCTCAAAGCTTGTTTTAAAAGTACTTTGATCAGTTGATCGTGCAGAAAGTGTTTGCTTAATTCAAATTTTTTATTTTTGTATCAATATACAATCATTCCTTTCTACTATCTTAGGACTCTCAAGGCTAGTAGTAGTTACAAATTCATCCCCCTCTGATATTTGCATTGCTAAAAGCAGGGCAGTTGGAATTGGATTTTCTTCAACCTGAAGTCAAAAATCCGTCATCCAGAAGTCAGAGTTGAAGTCGTTTTTAAATGGCTTAGGATCGAAGTTGAATGAAAATTAAACCATATTCTTTTATCTCTGGTTGAAAGAATGACAATGACAGAAATATTTTTACCCAGACAAAAGAAGTATTACCCAACTGCATGTTTAGCTAAAATTGACGATCCTCATATCAAATCACTGGTTGAACACATGATTCAGAGAGATCCACATAAAAGATTTACAGCTGAACAGTACTTGACAAAATGGAAGGTAATTGACTTAATTTGTATCCTTAAACACATGCGCATGAATGGGCCTTCCTTTTTGATTTTCCCCTGGTTGCAACTTTTATCGGATATTTGGTGAAGCAATGACACATTTGGGACAGAAATCCTATCTTCCAGTATAATTTGTAGATATGTGATAAAAGTTTACTACGCCTTTAAAATTGAAGAAAAATTGCCAATAGACTCCAAGTGTGAGAAAAAGCTTATTCCTCATAATCTGGAACAATAAACATGGCCTATTGTTGGTAGACAATCGAGATACCTGATCAGTCTATAATCCGACACGTACTGTCTGCGTGATTTTTCATGGTATTTCATATTTCAGGGCAAAGCATTTCCTGTTGAATTTTATTCTCATTTAAAGAAATACTTGGGTAGATTCTGCGAACCTCCTTTGTTATCTGCTGATCAGACGATAAATACATTACATAGTGATCTATCAACTATTCTTCAGAACCTAGTCGAAAAGGTGAACACTTTTTTTTTGCTAGCATACTTGAGTTGTTACCTTGCAGGTAAATATGGCTTGTTCACAGAGTTTATTCGACAAAATTTAAAATTGGTGGCTGGAGGATTGTTTAAACTATGTTGAGATGTGAAATTAAAGCCTGATCTCAAGGACCCAGTCAATTCCTTGTTTCATGCAATCAGTGGTAAGATATTGGGTATGGTTCGTCAAATTTAAATTTACTAATAGTTGATTGAATTTGGGTATTTATCAGTGAAATAAATCCAATGAAGAATTTCAAGTCTACTCTCAGTAGAGTTTATTCAGTGCAAACTTCAGTGATTTTCCTCATACCAAACATCTTTGCTTATGGAAGTGACTGAAAATATGACAAATATCAGTTTGATCGTCAAGAGTCGAGAATTTCCATCTCATCTTATTTATTCTTTGTACAATAATTTAGCCTGGAACGTCAGAATCTCTCATCATCGTCGCAACAATAGCCTTATCTTGTTTACGCAGACTGAAGTATTGTAATTGTAAACTGAGAGCTCTTGGAATAATCACTGAATTTTCCAAATATCTTTCTTCAATTGATATTCTGGAAAGGTATAGTCATTGAGATTTTACATACAAATATACCTTGATTCTTGAAATTCAAAATTGCTCGAAAAGTCGTATCCCACATTAACAAGATATAACTTTCAGTAGAAATTGACATTTCAGTGAGATGGCTTGAATGACCTATTCGAGAAAATTCCATTTTAAAAAACTTCATTCCAAGGATAATTGGGCAACATATTACTAATGTAAGCCACTCTTTCTACTGGTTGACACTTGCCAGTCCATGTCATTTATAAATGTATTGTCGGTTGGTTTAGGAATCCATTATCACTGACTATGGTAATAATCTCAGATTTATTATGCTCCTTTCCTCATATTTTCGTCCCACAGTCGATTTAAATATGTTTGATTTAGGGGGCTGTGTTAATCTTATAAATGTCTATAAATTTGGCGTTGGAGTCTTCTGATTCTTCAGCCATTCTCAGCACAGTAATTAGTTTTATATTATCAGGTTCAGGTAGCAACAAATTGTTTTTTATAGAACTAATTTTTCGTCTTACAGAATTGTTCCATACTTGATGGAATCAATAGAAGATAAGATGCCTCGTGTTCGAGCTGAAGCATTTCATGCTCTTGCAATATGTACTTCATATGTTCATTACGTACCTCAAGCAGAAGTCAATATTTTTTCTGAGTTTATTTTTCCCGGAACATCAGCTTTGGCACAAGATAAAGCTGTGTTAGTCAGGTTAGTTAATATATTTTCCTCATATATATTTACATCTTTAATACAAACTTTCCTTTTTTTTCAGACAAACTTATGCAGAAAACTTGTCACTGCTGGCTGAAACCGCTCTAAGATTTTTAAACAGTTCTAAATTTGATCAAAGCAGTAATTATATTTCCACTGGAAGTAATTATCAACCTGGTTACGATAACCAACTACAGAACTTACATGAAACTGTTCAGGTTAGTGAAATTATTTGCAATCTGTTAAGCGGTGATCACTTCTTTTTTTATGCCAGAATAAATTGTATATCCCTTTGTTTTTACTGTGAAATTGTAGTAAATTTATTGCTTTTTTCAGCAAAAACTAGGACTGCTGATATTTGCATACTTTGGTTTCTGGTATTCTTACAAACAATTATTAATATTGATTTTCAATAATCTATGTAGATCACATTACGGCAACCTCCTTTGCTCTACCTTACAATTGAATTTGCCATTGAATATTTGAACCATTATGTCAACCCTATAAATTCAAGCGATATTTAAAATAATTTGAATTATATTTTCGAAAAATAATTAACTTTCATTTAAACAGGCAAAATTTTTATTTAGGAAAGCGTTCAGGCTCTTTTCAGTGACAATGACAGTACTGTTCGACAATGTTTACTAGAACACTCTGTTGCGAAGCTTTGTAATTTCTTCGGTCGGCAAAGATGCAACGATGTCATTTTGAGTCACATGATCACTTTTCTCAATGATAAACAAGATTGGCAATTGCGATCTGCATTTTTTGACAGTCTCGTACAGGTTGCAATGTATATCGGATGGCAATGTACTGTTATACTGAAACCGCTATTACAACAAGGCACGGTAGTTTTTATTGCTTATTAAACATGGAGATGGAGTGGACATACAGTTTGGTTTGTTAAACTGTAATTCTTGGGGTGATTATGGTTGTTCTTTTTGCGGAAAAAATGGTACTCCCGTAGTGTACCAGGTTAGGGTTAGGCCATAATTTTTATTCCGATTTTCCTTATTTTAGTTCTATTACGAGTTCGGGGACTGTCTGTGTTAGCCAAGATAATGTACCCCTGCCCAAAGTTTCAGTCCCTTTACACAACTTGATGTAAAATAGTCAAACAAAAATAGTTACCTCCATTTTTGCTATGTTTTGAAACACCCTGATGGTTTAGTGTTCGTTAAACGATACTCAAGTTACTATGGAAATTATTTTTTTATATCTAATTAAAAGCTTTTTTCAAATAGGAAGCAGTTCTATGTTGACAACTTTTGTAATACATAATTAGATCATAATAGATGGAAATTTTGGTCTGCTTTTTTGGTGTGACCTTAGACTAATTTACAATATAGAAAATTGTTATTACTATTTTTTTACCTTTTCAGGTCTGAATGACAGCGAAGAATTTGTGATTGGTCAAACACTAAATGCTTTAACATCTCTGACTAAAGTTAAATTGTTATCGAAACAAATGACATTCGAGTTACTGCGTGAAACAATTCCATTGCTTCAACATCCTTGCAAATGGATTCGATTTGTAAGTATGAACCACTATAGGGTTTTAATTAACCATCTCACTGAGAAGTGTTTTTATATTGCCAATTGAAGGTTGAGTTTCAGATTGGATTTTTCACTGTACCGAAGTATGTTAAGTTCACATTGTGAACCAAGATGGCTTACACTGGAATGTAGTATGTGTACCACGTTAGGGTCAGGCCATAATTTTATTCCAATTTTCCTCATTTTAGTTCTATTACGAGTTCGGGGACTAGCTAAGTGGCTCCCGTTAGTCCCGTAGTATTTGTACCTAAAATTATGGCCTAACCCTAACTTGGTACACACCGGTTTCCGCCATCTTGATTCACATTCTTCAGGTGTACCGGGAAAACGGCCCAATCATATGGAAAATCGCGGCCTCTCGTCCCTTGTTTCAGATGCATGGAATTGAAGGTGAAGGAAGCTTTAACTTACATGTGATTACATGAAACCCCCTATTTTGGTGAGGATTCTAGAAATCCTCTCATACATGACTTTCTTCGAAAGAATTCTGCGAATTCGCTCAGGGTAATTGGACGTGTAATGGCAATTTTGTATCACATGCCAATTGTCCATTGTCCATGTCAAGTTGTTCATATGGGTATATAATGAGTTTACATGATATGATAGAGGCTTTGATCTTCTGAATGTTCTGATTATTTCATTATATGAGAAAAATAACAATTTATTACAAATCCCAAGAAATTTGTATTTCAAATGTTTTCAAAGTAAAGCATAAAGTCGCATTATCCATTTACACTAAGCACATTTTGATGAGTACCTGTTTTACAGAACACTGTTGGTTTCATATCTGCAAGTTCTAAATCAATGAATATTGTTGATCTACATTGTCATGTACTGCCAAAACTTGATGCATACTTAACAGATCCCATTATCCAGGTACCTGATATTTTTTACTTTCTTTTACATCAACCATCCAGTTTGATTTACTTTAAGTTGTGTTTATATGACATTCAAATGCTAGGCATTCAAAAAATGTTGGATATTCAGTATTACTATTTTTTCGTGTTTGGCGTGAGGCCAAAATTCCTGAAAACTGTAAAACTATGAAACCCATCCAAGAATTCTTTTTTTTTTAAACTTTCCTGTATTTCCAGATTGAAAAGCAATATATGAATACAGGATACGCACAGACTTCTGTACGTTCTTCTTTAATTAAACGTTGTAAACATGACCCAATATAAAGTGTATTTAATGAGCCTTATTCGAAAATATAACTTTCCAATGTATTAGGAATGGTAAAAATATTCGGTTTTGGCCATCCCTGCTCCAGACTTTTATTTTTGGTTTTCTTATTCAACCTGCATTAGAACCTACAAATTGAACCTCACTTAAAGCATTAAAAAAAATACTTTCAGCCTGACAGTGAATCTAGTTTATTATCAGTTCTTAAACCTGGTGTTCAAAGACAGTTGTATGAACTAGTGCTTTCATCCTCTCACATCGGAACATTTCTAAATCACCTGCAAGCTAGAAAAATGCAAAGGTATATTAACCTAACTATAACTAGAAGAATATGGTGCTTTTTTACGATCATTTTTTAGACATGCGACCCTAATTTTATTTCCTGGCCACAGGAACACCTCAGATGACAGTAGGTAGAAGATTTAAATTCTCAATTGCCTCGTTCATACAATTCACCTTGGTAGTTGTTACACCGTAGATATTTGTATTTGAGACCTCATTTATTATATGTCAATGTCACCCATATATATTATTGTAAATCTTGACTGAAAGTGTTCTATCACTGTTATAACTAAGCTCACATTAACATACCATCCAAGTTTGATTTAGCATCCAATTTGTGTATAGGTCCTACTACAAATTTATTTTTATAAATTGTGTTTTTCATGCTTCAGACATTCATATCGTAAAGGTGAAGAAGTAATCTATGATGATGTACCAGAAGGTATTGTTTCACAAACATTCCATAAACTAAAATCTCACGTAAGTTGAATCACTTTAAATTTTAATTCAAAAATTTTTGGTGATTCTAATTTAGCTACTGACTTTTCCAGTGGGGGGAAGATTAGAAATTATTCGGAATATATAATTCACGATGCATAAAAATTTTCATCATACTTGGTTTCATCATGATATTAGTCAGCCAGAAGTGTATTTTTTCACATGCACATTGTACAAACATATTTAAGAAGAAAAAAAAATAACTGCATTTCATTGTCAAGGGAAACTCGATAAACCAATGATGGTTATCGAACAGCATCACCTATGAGGGAGTGAGTCTAACATTAAATCATACTTAGGAAAAAAGTCAAACATAGAAAACTAACAAAAGCCGTACTTTGAGATACATTTGAGCGACCTGGTATTCTGCTGTCACTCTTGTTAATGGGAGAAAAAGGCTCCAAACACGAAAGGCGTAATAACCATGGCAACCGCAGTTCATAGAATAACAAACTGAAGGGTGGTTATTCCATGGCTGCAGTTACAAATTATGATTTAACCTACTTATGATGCTGATTGAGGAACTTAATGAGAATAACTGGCGGTCTGGTAAGCAGAGTGTACAAAGTATCCACAAAGCTAGGGATTGGATTTGATTGGATTTACATGGATACCTATGATATTCAAAAGGACCTGGCGGCACGATCAGTATGTGTAACCTTTTTCAGCATTGTTTTTATTTCAATGTATTTCAGGGTTTAGAACATGAAGATGAAGAAAAATTGTTGAATTTGTGTGAATTTTTACAAAGACAAAGTCGACATCGAGCAACACTAGCTGGTATTAATACAATCGATTCCAATAGTTTTCATTCCAAGATGACACAGATGGGTCAACTAGATGTTGCATTACTAGGTTTGTTCCAAGTTGTATTAATTAAGCGTAGCGTTTTATTATAGTCATAGGTGTTGATACTCTTGTTAGAAATATCTATAAAATTTAGACTGTTGGTTGTAATGTTACTCAAATATGTATGCAAACTTTTGCTTCAGATTTTTTTTCTCCTGGTGAATCTTATTTATATTTTAAGAATGTATTCATTAGCTGTTTTCTAGTATTTTTTTATCCGAGTTTTTAGTACTCATATTCCAATCATGAGAACAATCTCCTAACTTCAATCCCTAACTTGTTAATATATTGTGTGAGACAAACTATTGTCTTTGGTCGTTGTCTGACTTTCAGACTTTCAACGGCTTTGACTTTTAATTGAAGTGAAATTTTCCAACAGAAACTAAAAAAGTTAACTATGCGCATACTTTGCACTTAGAGTAGGCTTGCACAGTCCAAAGTTTTTGTGGTTAAAATTTGGGTTTTGATTCGTCAATCAGTCGGAGATTGAGTAATTTTTTCAAATGACTTGTAGTCCTACTCGGCCAATTTTAAACCCAGTTTACATAATCAGTGAGTGCCGGAGTTTTAGGCTTTTAAACTAATATGACTAGGCCACCACAACAATAACTACTCCTCAATCTCCATTTTTCTTACTCAGGGGAGGTTACAAGAAGACATGCTGAATTAGTGAAACCAGCTGATGAAATCAGTGCAAAACAAAGTAAGAAAACACCTGTGAGAAAGAAACCTGCTCAAGATGAAACCTTCCAGGTAGGTTAGGGTTTTTATTTACACAAGGTATTTTCAAAATGAAAAAAATTGAATATTCCAATTGGATTCAATATTCGAATATATTCAAAACTGGTTATAATCAAAATTCTACACTTTGATTTATAGAAAAACTTGATCATTTATTCGAAAACTTGACCCCATATCATCAAACCAAAAACCAGCTCATTTAAGTTCTTATTGTCGTAGAAAGTACTGTAGTGATATGAAAATAAAAACGATGTTTGCCCTTTCTCTAAATGCTGGTTCGTGTATCCCATTAGTTGACTGTCAAATACTTGCAATTTAAAGATTTATTCTTCATCATTCTTGGCTGATAATAATGAAAATTGTGTAATTAATTTTGAATTCAGGGGCTACTTCAATCTGTATAGAATATTCAATTTTATTTTGTTCCTTCCCTAATCCAAACTCGATGAAATTTCATGCGTTTAATATGAACAACAGAGTGGAATGAATGAAGAATGGAAAAGTATGTTTGGTGAAAACGCTCGTCCTGCAACAGAAAATACAGGAAAGAAGAAAGCAGAGCTAAAGAAACAAAATTTAGCGGATGCTCCCATTTCTATGTCACAGGTTTGATTTATCATTACCAAGTCAAGACAGCACTAAGTCAGCACTAACCTATGAAAACTTAGCAATAGTACTCGCATTCATAGATGTCAAAAAAGTAATAGATTATTCAAATACTTGGAATTATAGTTATTTGTTATGGTAGATTTTTTATTTTGGGAATAATTCATGTTAATTTCATTGAAAATTTTGTCATTTAGTCGGGACTAAAATCCCTCATGATACTCTATATGTAAAAATAGAGATCAGTTGAAACAAATGATATCTCAACTTTTCTGCTTTACATAACTTCTATTTATAACTGGTAAATTTTGTTTGTCTGAGGAAGTCTGACTTTGGTCAGGCAGCTAACTTACAGAGATATATTTTTGATGCGACTTTTAAATATCTTAGAATCATAATCATTAATGGATTATTTTTAGCTGGAAGGTGTTCCAGTACCGGCTATAAAACAGGCAAAAGTGAAGCCACCAAATATTCAGCTAAAATATACAAGTTGCAAACTGAATCTCAGAAAGTTAGTTCATCATAAAAGAAATATGTACCTGGAAGATGTGAAACAAAGGTAGATTGGTTTGAAATTAAAATTGTTCAATTTTTCTACCGCCATGCATACATTTTAGAATTTCTTATTCACTATCCACATACAAACTGTAATGTAACTGTGTTCTTGCTTGTTGGCTTGTTGAATGTACATTTCGACCAGGGATGTGTAAAATAAATCGAATATTAAAATTATTTCGGAATTTTTCATGCTTTATATAGTAACTTATTGATTGGAATAAATGAAAACATTTTATTTTAAAATTGAAAATTTTGAGTAAATAAACTATCAAGGGCACACAAAAAATATTTTTTATGAAACCGTAAAGAATGCTGAAAATTGAATAGAAGTTGTATTTTTCGATATATGCTAGATACAAATCCCTATGAAATTACCTAATTTCAACCGTTTCAACCGTTTTTCTAAACTTTCAGTGTCATCCAAGCATCAGTACACTTTTTTGCCGATTCAATTTTTACCACTTATCCTATTTTCTTCATTGATTTATCAAGGGAATTGGAAGAGAGCATTTCCAACAGTAGCATCATACCTGAAGTATGGAGACCTCGTGGTCAGTTGATTGCACATATGGTTGAGCACCATGGACCAATTCACCGTATTGCGGTCAGTCCTTCCAATGACCATTTTGCCACTGTATCTTCCGACAAAACATTGAAATTATGGGATTGTGAAAAACTTGCTGGGAAAGCTGTCATAAACCAATCTAAAGCGACATATGGAAGGATAGGTAAGTTTCAATAAGGTTTCCATTTGCTATTTAAATATCACCTCCAATTTGTATATAATTATAATTAATATGTTTACCGGATAATAAGTCTGGCCAGCTAATGAGAGATGTCTATTTTTAGCACTCAAAAAGAGGGTTTTTCCATATAGCCGTCCAATAAGACGGGTGGAAAACTTGCTTCTCTGTTGGTCGGCTAAACACTAATATGGCTAATAATTTTATATGGTTAGAAAGAAGTACTTAGAACCTATTTGGTAGAATCATACTCCTAGAATTAACTATTCTCAAAAATAAAGGCGGTAATCATTTTGAATAACATATAATTTTATATGGTTAGAACCAGATCATGTTCGTTTGGTAGAATTATGCTCACAGAATTAATATTTCTTCAACAATGAAGCAGTAATTTTAAGTTAAAAAGCGCAATCATTTTGAACAACCTATTAACCCGAACATTGAAATAACCTTTGAATAATGTGTGATAAGGAATACACTGTATGTCCATGAGTTTGTTCACAGCTTTGTTTTCTAGTCTGTGTCCTTTTTTGTTGAATGGGCAAAACCTAAGGGTAATAAATCATTTTATCTCAGTGGCTGTGGATAACAGCGGGCATAGATAGGGAGGAGTGCTTCATGACACCAGCCAGTTATTATTACAAGGGAGTTTTTAAAAAGAATATAGCAAATAACATCTGCCAGTACAAAGTCAATTAAATATCATGATTAGATCCCCTTTGGTGTGATCAAGTACATAATAAATAATATCAAACTAAATATAAGGTTCACACAAATAATCTTTCAAGCTTACCTGCCCAATAAGACAACCCCCCCAAAATTGGGTCTAGAAAAGCGACTTATTAGACGGAAAATACGGTATATTTGGTTTTCAACTAAGCATTAAGAAAACACCTATAATCTCGTGCTCGATCACACTCTCATTCTTTTCGTGTCCACATATCTGGAACTGGTTAGTTCATGGTTTCCCAAACATTTCAAACTCGCAACACGTTCACTTCTGTAATATAAATTACGTTGTTTTAGAAAGAAATTTTACTTTAATAACATTGAATTTTGCAAAGAAAAAGATAATATAAGATTTGAATCTAGCGAATCAAACTTCCTTTCCAGCGTTAAATGAAAGCGATTTAATTATTTTATATAAATTCTAAACGTGGACAGATGAGAAGGAATTTTTAAGAAATGGGTAGTGCTCTCGGAATATTGTGTGATTGCTGGTGTGTCGCGTAAGTTCGAAAACCAGTTAATTCTATTCACATGGTTAAATTACGCACTGGTTTAGGTGTTTCAAATCCATGTTCATATATGCACAATTTTATACTTTATTACATATTTTAGGTGAAAAACTATATCGCGTCACATTTTGCGGCGATGACAAAGTTGTCTGTTCAACGGAGAGTGGAGGAATTCATTGCATAGATATTGAAACATTGACGTCAAGGACAGCAGCAAACGCATCTGAGAACGTTTTTTCACCGAACATGAATGACATGAGCAGAGTAATGGATATAACTGCATTTTACAAATGTGAGGTTTTCTATTTGGAAATTGTTAGCTTAATTGGATGAACTGGTAGGTACTAGGTTACAGCTTCTCCAGCCAGTAATATGCAGCGGCAGTTCGACATCTTTTTCTTGAAAACTTTATGAAATTCTAAGTTTATATTCCCAGCCTTTTAAATATAGTAGAACGTCTCCTATTATGATTTCTCTATAAAGCTTTGTTCGTACTGTAGTTGTGAAAACACCTGGATTTTTGGAACTATGTAACGTTCCTGATTTAACATTATAAAAATGTGAATATTCCAATATAATTGAATAATAAAAATTTCATGAAAGTCTTTCAGACTTAAACCGAGTGTTTATTATACACAGCACCCGTTATTGTTTGCATCACTGCCCATGGAAGTATAGATATCTGGGACATGAGGGAGAAAAGCTTGTCTTGCACCCTGCAGCATGATTTGCATGATGGTCTAATGACATCATTGGTGGTCGATCCAAAGCAGCATTGGTTATGTGTGGCAACTGTCAGGTGAGTTATTACTGTATTGTTATAAAATATATATATTGAGAATGTTCACTAATTCGTTTTGGGACATGGGTTTATTGAGAATATTTATCTAGTAGAGGAAACTACGTAAGTGTGAAAACCATAGCAAGATATTGTCTTTGCGATGATCTGTAAATAAAAGTGGTCATATTTTTTTTGTCAGCCATATTTTGCGTAATTAGAACTTTTTCTAGAAAGTGGCAGTTGGAAAAGTTGTGTTCTAGTAGCGATGTACACTATTGAGTATTGATTACACATAAAATATTTCATACTTGTTAATAATATTTTGCTCTGACTATATCTTTACAGTGGGAAGCACATTTGCTGGGACTTGAGATTTTGTTTGCCAATTACCCATGTTACTCACCCATCAGCAGCTGGTGTACGAAGAATGGCAATTCACCCTTCCCAGCCATCCTGTGTGATATCTGCTGTTACAGGAAATAATGAAGTTACTTTGTGGGATCTTGAAACTTCCTCACGAAACATGACATTGTGGGCAAGTACGGCACCTGCCATGTCATTGCGGCAGGTATGTCATAAATAGGTAATTCTGTCTGAAAAGAACAAAAATTGTAAAATGGAAAAAGGTGACTTGGCCAATTAGTTAAAATAACTTTTCACAGCCACAAAAAAATCTTAACTTAAAGAATTACAGTTATTTACGGAAGAGTTCGGTAAACCCCAATAGTTAAATTTTTCTTTCAACTAATCTAAGTCTAATTTTCAGTAATTACCAACGCTTTCTTGGAATATACCGTATACTAAATTCCCATTGATTAAATTTTGTCATCTTCTATTGCAATTGTCATTAGTGCTAGACATCCAAAATTATTTTGATTTTCCAACTACTGAGTATTTCACTTCATTCACTAAGTATTTAAAATTATTTAACACTTTCTGACATCAATCATATTAAAATTATTTCAGAAAAGCCAGGATTCTGTTAATGGATTACTTGTTACGCAACATGAAAATGATGTTAATATATATACTGCAGGAACAGATTCTGTTATAAGGTGAACTTTGATTTTTCATGCATTATTTCTCGGCTCTTGATTAAAATATTAATAATAATTACCGTAATAAATATGGTTTCTGCTGTTTATGACTATTTCATTGTTATGATCCATAAACTTTAAGACGTGTACAAGGCTACATAAATATGATTGCCAATTGCAATTTATTTTTGAATTCGAGAAACAAATAAGAGTACTTGAAGGGTATTATAGCATTTGTATGTGGTTACTTAACTTGATCCAATGCAAATATAGAAAGCCACATTACGTTTTCAGTGGCATGATAGTAAATTCTTACATGACCGACATTCACGTGATCAACATTTTTTTAATGCAATTTTGCGGCATTTGCATTAAGACTATTTCAACACCACTTTGCTCTTTTCTTGAATCATCTACTGAAAACCAGACATTTTCTGGCCTAATCCTTTCATTGAGTGAAACAGACAAGATAAATAAAAATGTTCGCTTATAAGTTGCTTATATGTAGTGCTTCACAGCATTCTAAAATATATCTACACACAGTGTCGCATGAGATTTCAACATCATTCATAGCTGCTAGCAATTCATGATTTAAGTATTTGTACTCCTCTGTGTGAGGTCCCACCATCAAGTACAAATTGTATTGCCCTCTTTTTTGGAAATGTATTATTAAATTTCCTAATAGTGCTAATGTAGTTTTTATCCGGTAATAAGATTTCCCAATTTGTTTTTAGGTTGTGGGACATGAACAAACCAGTTAATTCCAAAATATTGTCTGAACCTTCTCATCAGTCAACAACATCTGTTAGTTATGATTTGAGAAGAGTTGAAGGAACAGATGTCATTCAGGTTCGCTATTATTGCTAATATTATACTGATTATCGTTATTAACCGGAGTAATACAGCACTTTAGTTATGGTCCGATTGAATGCAAGGCATATCACAATTATTTTAAAGTCCATTTTATTATTTATGCAAAAACGTCAAGTTATTTTTCAATTATGGTTAAAGTCAAGTCGTCTCAAGTAAAATAGATTTCTTTAAAGTAAAATATGACACTTTTGAGGTATAATTCAGAAATGTTCATCATGTGGTCTGTAGCAGAGTCTGTAGTCGAGTCAATCTCTGTGTTATCATCAGCAGTTAGCTCAGTATGAGTTAGTTCAGCTAAAAGGCTCAATGCTTTAATAAATGACGTCTCGAATCGATTCATCGACTCGACCCTCCCCACCATTCTCAGTAGTTTTGCCGGTGTGGCGCATCTTGCAAAGCATTAGGAATACGCTCGCCACCGCACCTCTGGTTACTCTGTGTGAGTTCACAGGTTCGATTACCATGCGGGGTAAATTATGTGCAAGAGGATTGCTGAACTCTGTAGAGTGGTACCACTGGTCATTTACAGCTTCTTCCGCCAAGTCCATGCAGAAAACAAATAACTGGCTAACTAATCCCATACCCGATACGCGGCATGGATGGGTAACCGGATAAGATGCATGGTTCACCATATAATATATCATCTTCTTCTCCCCCGGGATAAATATTAAATCCTATTCTATCCTAGTAGATTTATTTTGGCATAAGAATATTTTTTAGATATCCTTTGTTTTTAGGAACATGTAACCAAAGCAAAAAGCGCTGGAGGTTCTACAGCATCAGCAGCAGAATCTGGACCTGAGCTTCGCAGTAATGGCGTTGAAACTTGTCATCGTGATGTGATTACAGACATGGCAATGTTCAGAGTGAATCAAACAATGCTTGTGTCTGCATCTCGTGATGGTGTTGTAAAGATATGGAAGTGATTGCAATGATTTCTTAACTTGGCATTTGAACTGTGGTGTTTTTTACATACATTATAGAACTGAGAATAAAGAGTTGAAAGAAGCCCATGTTCCTAAATGCTGTTTAATAATCAGCAGTTATAATGACTAAGTTTTCACTTAAAGAAGAAATCAGAAATTAGTACCATGCGATACTAAATTATCAATAATAATATTTCCGTTGGTCAGCAATTTATTGCAGGTATGGGCTATTATCTAGCTTAATTTTGGCTATGTTGTGTTTGTATATTGACATTATGTTGTTGCGATTTTCATGATTCTCTGAATTAGTGCAATATTATTATTTTAATCCAAAACGTTGATTTAGTGTACTTTTTCTCCAGAATACATTATTGTACCTTATGCCAGTTATTGTATACCACTATTCTGTAGCGTTTGTAGATTAGGCTTGCATGAGCCGAGCGCAAATACTTGGAAACGCTCTTGAGCGTTAGGTACGAAGCGAACCAGCCTTGATATCTATTCGTAGCATCAAACTAATTGGGAATAACAGTTATTCAAATCGGTAGGTGACTCTGTTAATTTTGAAAGTTGTGTTTTAATAAAGCGTGAATTTAAACTATGCTAAATAGTAGGCAATTAAATTTCAGTTACATAGTTTGTATTGGCTCCTTCGTTTCCTCACAAAAATAGATTAAATGAGTATTAACGTTTGTCAAGCGGAAAACAGATTATAAATCGACATATGTGTTTGTCCATACTCTCTGAAGTGGCGGACATATTTGTAAGACGCTTATATTTGGTGGAGAACCATGATTTTTGGCTATTATTCATAATTTATTGCCATTGAAGGGTTCTTTATGGTGGTATTTTGGGGGCTAAATTGATGGATCTACTTTCAGCCCCTAAATCAGTTCTTGAGTTGGCAAAGTGTAAGAAAATTAGGCGTCAAAATAATTTAGCATGTCTGCCAAAAACAACCTAAGTTGCAGAGTAAACTTCTAATGGGAAAAGTCCAAGTTCCAGAATGAGGATTTCGGAAGCAATTCAGAGGAAAGTGAACAACGGTAGATATTGAAGTTAATTTGATACTATTTATTAGTTTTTTCCAGACATCTGTTGGAATTGAAAATCCAACTTCTATAAATAATGTTGCCTAATAATATTACCACATAAACTGAAAAACGACTAATTGTAATATTTCTGTTCGCTATGTTATGTACATACTGTATACTGTATTATTGTTTGCTACGGGCTATCTTAGATTCTATACCTCACTTTTGGTCTCTTAAATTGCTTTTTTATAACTCGTTTTTGAGCCTTACTGTGAATCTGATTGTCATATCAGTTATTTTATGTATTTATTGCGTTATTTTTGTTTTGCTTATGTTTATTTGTTGTGTTGTTTTTATATGGACCACAGCGGTCTGGAGTAATAAACGAATTGAATTGAATTATTCATTTGATTTTCCCGGTGAACTTCTCAGTGAGAAATATCCGATTTAGTTCTCAGATGCGCGTCACGGAACCCACTTTCTAGGCGTTTTTCATGGCATCGTCTCATGGCCTAGGTCAGGGTGGTCCAAACGCAGGGCGCATGTGGCCAGCCGCTACATATCCGTGTGTCCCGCGTTAGTTGGGGAAACTAGCGAAGTTGAATATTGTGCTTGGCTAGTTTAAATTGTTAAGAACTGGCTTTCTATTTTTGGTCGGAAATATATGCTGACAAAATAGGCTTTATAGAAAGCTAAAAATTGAATTAGGAATCTCTTTGCCTAGGTTAGGTATGCCTGATAATTAAATATTAATGTAATGGCCGAACAATATAATTTCCCCTGGGTGTTTATTTGCAACCAGCCTAAACAGTATTACAAGAAAAGCGCCTATATGTCAAAAAATTTAGTAATTACCCCACTTATCGCAAAATTTGGTAATATTCGACAATTAATCAATCTGCAGTTATTTGTAAGTTTGCAATTTGTAGTAACAAGACTTGAAAAGTAAGCTGACCAACAGTGTTGATTTGTGACTGGATATAAAATACAACATTGCTTGCTAACATTGCTAATGCTAACATTGCTTAATATGCCTGCAAGTTGTGTTGGTGACAATCTCAAACGGCATTTTCACTTTATGGCACTTTTTCCGATATATATAGTAAGATTTTTGCTCATTTTATTGAGTTTTTTGCATGTTTTAGATTGGTAAATAAATAGATAGTCATCAATGTGTTTATACAACAAAAATTTGTTTTCTATTGCACTGTTTACCTATTATTGGCACTAATGATGTGGCCCGCGAGGCCGACAACCTTGGACCATCCTGGCATAGGTAATTGCATCAAATTGGAACATATATTCCTTTCTACTGCTGCAACAACCTTACAACAGCAGCGCAGGCTGTCATGATAAATTTATAGTCTATTGTTGAAATTTGGTCACAAGGATCGGACAGCGTTGTAAATGCACACGTTTGAACTGCAATTTAAATCATTAATTTTTTTGTAAACCTTAGTAAATCGTGAGGGTGGCTCTAAAAAGAGCCGTTTGATTTGTGGATAAGATTCCGCTTAACCGCCGAATCCGTAAAGAGTGCGTCCTTGGCGTTTGAGAGCGTAGACGACATCTAGAGCGGTGACGGTCTTTCTCTTTGCATGCTCGGTGTACGTGACTGCATCACGAATCACATTTTCCAAGAATACTTTCAAGACACCTCTAGTTTCTTCGTAAATCAATCCCGAGATGCGCTTAACACCACCTCTTCTTGCAAGACGGCGAATAGCGGGCTTTGTGATTCCTTGGATATTATCACGTAAAACCTTGCGATGGCGCTTCGCTCCTCCTTTTCCAAGACCTTTGCCTCCCTTACCGCGTCCAGACATTTTTAACTGGGATGATAACAACGAGTTGAAATCGAATGAAGCTTAGTCGAAGCGTCAAGATTTATAACACTGATGTTTCAGACGTCGTCGAAATAAAAGTGCGGCTTTGACTTCGATAAACTTGGCGCGTCCTGTACGGTACAAAATGGACCAATCGCAATGTAGCTACGAAAAGGTGGCGTAGTTGTCAACATCGGTGTTGGCAAGTAAAACAGATGTTATTTTCAAAACCCAACCATTTACTGTAACATTTGCAAAACACGTATTTGTGACTTCTGTAAATGAGCCCCTAAAGCTCGCTCAGTAATCAATTTAAAAGAGTAAATACAAGAAACAAAATATCCCGTAGTGAGCTCATATTTTGTTGGGCGATTAAATTTGGCGATTTTTGACATAACTAGCATTTATCGGTTCAGGCACATATTATCGAGGTAAACTCATTTGTAAGAAAATAGGCGTGAGCGCAAATATTTTACTTTATGCAAAATTCTTGGCTTGGCTATTACCAAACTTTTTGGTTAAAATGTCTGGCTTACGGTATGGAATGTGATAGAAAACCAATATCATTTTCACTACCTTGTGTTTTAGATACAACATAAACACGTCGTGCATGTCTGATTCACGCCGACCCCCTGACATGAATATCAGTACCACGTTAGGCCAGGAAATAGATAAGTCGAATATTGATACAGAAGTGTGGCATCTAACAAGCTTGAGGGGATCCACACATCGGAATACTCTCAAAAATACATCGGTAAAAACGTTCGTTTATTAATTGCTGCGAAACGACAGCGACTATTTTCCGACTCTTGAAAAGAATAACGCAAGTACGCAGTTAAGAGGCCAAAAATTCTATCACCAGCTAATAACACCACGCAGATAGACGCATTTAATATCCATTTTAGGGACATACAACCAACCTATTAACAGTGCAAGATTTTCTCTGATAGCGAAATCGATGGTGCCTATAGCTACCTAAAACATCACGCCATCTAAAAAATCAATTGTGAATTCGTACACTGTCGGCTACGACCAAGCGATACCACGTAAATTCACCATAACTGCACACGTCTCAAAATTGAGCTGAAGAGGTTAGCTTTTAATAACCAGTGAAATTCACTGTAGAAAGAAGGTAGCTGCGCATTTCCACACCTGGTCAACACGGCCGGGCGCTTTTGTTTGAAAGTGGAATAGAGTGTTTGTAAAATGAAACATGGTAATATATTATACAATAATTTTGCCCCTCATCCAATATTTCGTATAGCTTCATCTCCCTTGTCTGCATCACAGAGTTTATATTTTACTCAAATACCATAATGTAATACAAAATTGAATTACAAAAGAACTTGCAAGCAACTTATTTGTCAACTTAAAAATTTTTGATTCAAGAAAACGAAAAATAATGCGAAAGTGCCTCGCAGTTTTCACACAAAAAGGTCGCTAACAGTGAAGACTTACTTATTGTAAAAGTCATCAAATGCACATCTAAAGTAGTTCAATCAAATAAATAATGAAAATAAACAATGAAAAAGGTTGTGATACAGAAACTCATTGGTATACAGACTTTGTGCATGAAACGAGAATATTAGTCATCCAATCCCGCTTCAAAATAAGAGCATTAATTTTGCATATACAGGATTCTACAGCTTGCTAGTGGCTGATGTTTTTAAATCCACACTTAATCGCTGAGAATGAGGCTTCTTACGTGGTATCATCGCAGCCCTTTAGGATGTTTACAACAATTGGTCTTTTTCGCCAGATTAATTTCCTGCTTGCTACGAGGGAACCGAACATATTATTCTCAAAATGAGGCAATAAAAAACTTTTTCAGCTTTCTTCGCTTGGTCGCTTAATAAAACTTTTACCAATTTGACAACAAAAATTCCTGGTCTCTTTCTGCTCATTAGTGTCTACCCCTGGAAAATAAGTTATCTATTACCGTACATGCAATGTATCTAAAGTGCATACTTTTCATAGATTAAAAAGGCAGTTCAAATTTCATTGAAATATGTTTCAAAAATATATTTTATTTTGGAGGTTAGTAAAATTAACAATATATGCTTACCAAAACTTCGAAATTTCTTTGGTTTTATAACAGCAGTCTTCGTAAATTGATGTAGCTTATGTTTATTCCGATAATTATCCTTATTCTTAGGGTATTGCATTTCCAACATATCTATCGATCTGTCATGTTTTGTATTCTAAAATGAAATAGATATATTTCATCTGATGAACAACAGAATAAAAAATAGTGCTTCAGCATATACCTGACAACTTGTTTTTTTATACAGGAATAGTAATTTCACAATTTTTTAAGACACCTCAGTGACCTCATGCAGAGATTAAAAATTTGATGAACATACTCTAGATGGCTGAATATATATAAAACCACCTATACAGATGTAGTTTTCGTTTTAAGCTATCAGCAAAATGCATATTTCCTTAATAAAAAACATTTCGTAATTCAAGCAAAATGATCAGATTCTAGGGAACTCTTCTCCGCCATTTCCCTAAAAGAATCCATACCATGACTAAAGAGCTTGGATTTATGAATAAACACTATACTAGCTTACAGATGATTCATCCAACGAAGAAAGCGACTGTGGTGACAATAATTTAGGTGGAAGAAACCTGCATGGTATAGATCCCCGTACTAAGCGTCTTCTGGGAGGATCTACCTCTGGAAGAGTATCTGTAATTTAAAAGAAATAATCACTTTGGTATCGTTCTCGATAATTACCAAAGTGCAAATAACATGTAGAGGTAATATGGTTAATGTGGAGATTGCTCTTATTCATTTTTTTTTCAGTAGTTATATAGTTAAACTTTGAACAAATATTTCAACTATGAAAATTACTAAAGCCACAAGCAACAATAACACATTCATCGGAAACAATTTAAACATTTAATACATCAGGACATATTGTGATTCACATTATTCTTACAGGTTTCAACATCGCTAGTCCTGAAATGTTTTTCACATATTCGTATTGTTCCATTTTGTATATGTTCCTGAAGTTCTGCATCACCTTCACGACCTTGTAATACCTTAATTATTCTTTTCCTCCACGAAGATTGTTTTTTAAAATCGCTCGGTAACTTAAATATTCCCACACCTCTGATATGGCGAGTTGTATTACATCCATATATAGAACAATTTTCCCAAGGCATACCGGTAGTCCAATGCCACCAGAAACAAAGTATGTTGAGTGGAAAATGCAATCAGTAAAATATTATCAAAAGTTTACTGTAGAGCATGACAGAGTGGTAGAAGTCTGGATCAAAAAAATGGATGCTTGAAAAATTAATTTTAGAAGGCCTATCGCCATCTGTGTACAAGCCCATTTTGGGTATAGAATCATGCCAGCCAGTTGTTTGTTTTAGATGCTTAAACTTGACTTTAAAACCCAGCCAAACACAAATCTGCCAGACTGCCACTGATTGAAATACTTCTTGATTAGAATAAGTTTATCAGGCATAAATGTGAGGGCAGGGCCTGTACGTACCATTACAGTACAGTACTAGGCATTTCATTCTCACAAAAATTACAAAACTACGGCCGTACCCATGCTTTGGCCATTATCAGAGAAGAGAAATTAACACAGAACTCAAAATGTCTCCCTTGCTAAAAGGTTTTTATGATTTACTAAGACATCTTGAGAAAAAATAAAAAAAATTTCTACTCTGCTAGTCAATTTTAATATCAATATTTATGAAACTTGCTATACAAAACATATTTCATTCATATCCAAACACTACCCCTTGCTGATGCCTGCAAATTCAATTCAGGAATATCCGGGTGTAATCATAATACATATATGAAACATGGCATACTTTATGATTTCTGCGGATTGGATTCATTCAGATATATAAAACTGAATGTATTTGTTAGCATCGGTATACACATCAAATTTGATGTCAGAATACTTTCACCGCTTAATAGTTAATACCACATGATTGAAGGGCAGGTTCGTAACCGATATCGAATCACACTAACTTGAGATATACAGACCTTAGTCTCCTTTAACTTGAAGAAATCTTAATCCTATCCTAACAGGTCTATAAATCTTCCACAGATCAATCTCATCATCAAATAACCTCTTATTGCCTGCAATTTTATGAGCAATTTGGAACATGCTGTCATAACTTTATCACTCGTGCTACCTGGATATCCGTTACTCATGAAAATGATAGCACAATTATGTGCAGTTCCGACTAAATATTCGGTGTCAGTCTATGTTTCTAATTACTGTAGCTGACAGAAGCTTCCTGCAAATCACATCGCGGTGTTTCAAAAAGAAATTCTGTGCAGTCCAATGTAATCTTGCAATTTGGAATTGTTGAAAAACACTGTGGCAGGGTGCATTCCGTTTTTGTCAAAGGAGGCAGTTGGCACATAAAGATAATGCCAATAAAAAATATCTCGTGAAATGCTTGAAAATGTCAAAAAAATATTCTGCATCGTGATGGTACTTATTAAATGATAATGTTGCCAATATAAAAATAAGGCAGCTTGAGCTTCATCAAAAAAAATAAGAAATTGATCAAAGCTATACTAATTGAATTTACTGTTTTTCCACTCCAATAGTGTAGTGGCTCGAATCTATCAATCACTGCCATCAACATATCAATTACATCTTTCTGCAACCCGTATAACTTTGCAAATTCATCTTTTGATAGTGAGCTATAAAACCTTCAATTTTAATCCTTGAATAATTTTGTTAGCAGTTTCTAATTCATTTTTCAATTGTTTGGGATTTACCTTCTTTTGAAGATGGTCCTTGTAGAATGGATGGAGCAGAGAGGGCAAGGCTTTCAGTAGAGGTGTCTGTTGGACTGCATTCGATTGGTAGCATAGCACAAAGAGATGTAGTTCTTGTGCGCTTTGAAACATCACCTCTGAGATTCCAACAGGGCAAGGCTCCTCTTTTTAATACTTTTCTCTGGAATTTTAGTGGTCGATCTGATGTCCTTTTTGTGCCATAGTCTTCACTACTGAAGTGGTACGAGCAAACGCGATCACTTGTAGATGGCACAAAATTTTCTCTGCTGACACGAATTATCCAAGCCTTCCAAAGCTTTGGATCCTTTGGAAATTCATGGAGAGATCTGTCTGGCTGTTTCTCAGACGTTGCAGAGCACCTGTATACGACACAGTACACCATAGTCCGCTAGTCAGTATTTTTGATTTGGAAGCAAGCTCTGCAGTTTCATAAATTACGGTACTCATACAGTTATGCAGCGTGTTCTACAGTATTCTGCAATCTGGCAATGGTAAAACTTACATTGTTGCAAGCTGCTGTAGCAGAATACAAACTGAAAGAATGCTCAATACAGCTGTACAGTGTTCTTCAAACCTTTCACAATTTTTCAAGAACTTGCATACCTGTATACGGTACCGGTACCTAACAAATACCAAGGTTTTAAGGCCTAAATAAACATTAAATTTTTAGCACAGAGATTGTATAAAAACTAAAACTGACGATATTGTAATGTCACCCTGCATTTTAATTAATGGTCTACCGGTACTGCTGTACTGTAGGCAAGTTGTAAATGGTCTAAATTTGACAAGCGACGTTCATGGCCGCGTTTTCATGATTGTCTTCGATTGATTAATTTAATATATTGGAGTTATAATCCCCGGCTTTGGCTGTACACCCTTCGTATACCGTTTATCAGTACTGTACCGGTACCGTACCTACTGTGTTCGGGTTGTGCGCCATCTTGGTGCACATACTTCTGGAGCTTCAGAATAGAATCGGCTAAAATAAAATAATTGCAAAATATTTCCAATCAAAAACATCATTGACGTCGTATAAAGCACTTCCAAGTCGACGTTAATTGAAATCCTTTCATGTCGGGTGTAATTTAATGGCGTGCAAGTCTGCGTTTGATTACGATAAAAAATGAAATAATTGTGAAATGTTTTAAATCAAGCGGGATAGGATTTGCGTACCATATTCGTTGTTCTTATAAACACGAAAAACAATTTTCGAAAGTGGCGATATTTGAATATTATTTCAATTGGACTTCCCTGCTTCAAGCACTGCATTAACCTAAAACATTGCATTGACCTAAAACAAATAAATATCACAACACGCGCTTTTCATTTTCGCTTGTCGGTCCTTACGTGTGTCGAAGCAATATTTTTACGATAAGAATTTTCGAAAGTTGGATTTTTCGTAACCAGAGCCGTTCGTAGGTAGAGTTTCCAATCAAATTATTTAATTAAAATTTCCCGGACGCTAATAAATAATGAAAGAAAAATGTTTTCCTCTCTTCTGCGCTCTGTTCAGTAAGTAGTAAGACCCGCGCGGAATCGTTGCAACGGGTTTACTTTTACACCGTCAAGCTGGAGAGAGCCTGGTTCACTGCCGTTTTTTTCTACAAGTTATAATTTTGTAATCGTGAGTATTTATGTATTCCAGTCGCCACGGGATGTAGAAGAAACTCGATAGAATTGCTTTTGGTGGCTCTAAAAAGAGCCGTTTTGTTTGGTATAAAATTTAAGCTCGCTCGCCACGGATTCTACGTGCCAGCTGAATGTCTTTTGGCATGATTGTGACTCTCCTGGCGTGAATTGCACACAAGTTTGTGTCTTCAAACAGACCAACCAAGTAAGATTCACTCGCTTCTTGCAGGGCCATCACAGAGCTGCTTTGGAAGCGCAGGTCAGTTTTGAAGTCTTGAGCGATTTCACGAACTAAACGCTGGAATGGTAGTTTGCGGAGCAACAGCTCTGTTGACTTTTGGTAGCGACGAATCTCTCTCAGAGCGACGGTTCCTGGCCTGTACCTGTGTGGTTTCTTCACTCCACCAGTGGCGGGCGCACTCTTACGAGCGGCTTTAGTTGCCAACTGTTTGCGGGGGGCCTTGCCACCCGTGCTCTTCCTTGCGGTTTGCTTTGTTCTCGCCATCTTAGAAGTGACAGATCTATCGATGTGATAACACTGATGCGGTTGAAGAAAGAATTTGAAATATATAGTCTATATCCGGCGTTCTCATTGGCTAGTAGAACAATTGATGGTTAGTGATTGAATTTCGCCCAATCACAAGCCCCTAATCATTGCCTTTAAAAGATAAGGATTGGCGCCTTTGTTAAACCCTCCGGCGAATATAAATACGACGACCAAAATAGTAATCGCATGGTATTTTGCTTGTTGATATCACTACAATCATAATACAATGTCTGGAAGAGGAAAAGGCGGAAAATCTAAAGCAAAGAGCAAGTCACGCTCATCAAGGGCCGGACTGCAGTTCCCAGTTGGTCGCGTTCATCGCCTACTCCGCAAAGGAAACTACGCCGAACGTGTCGGAGCCGGCGCACCAGTTTACCTTGCTGCCGTTCTCGAATACTTAAGTGCGGAAGTGTTGGAGTTGGCAGGAAATGCTGCTCGTGACAACAAGAAATCTAGAATTATCCCTAGACATCTTCAGCTGGCAATCAGAAACGACGAGGAGTTGAATAAACTTCTTGGCGGAGTCACCATTGCACAAGGAGGAGTTCTTCCTAATATTCAAGCAGTTCTCCTGCCTAAAAAAACTGCCAAAAGTTCCCAAGCATAAATTCAGAGATAACTTTACAAAACGGCACTTTTCAGTGCCACCCATAATATTCAAATAGCAGAGTTTGAATGCAGAAAGCACGGTATTTTAAACATGCGAATAAAACCTGTTGGTGGATTGCCTAGCTTGTTATTGCTTTAACGGATTTCCAGGGAAACAAATTAGGCCTACTGCGAAAATAGTATATAGAATGCTCAATATATATATGTGCGCCTATTTGTGTATGTATAAATTTGAACGCTGCTATATTTCCTCTTTGGTAGCACTAGCCAAGGGTCTTCGAAATGACACGTTATAAACCAGAATTACACACGAGGCAGGAAACGTATCCAGCCATTTTTTAGCCCTCAATGGTGCGTCGTTGCTCTCTACACACAATGTCTAAACAAATATTTAACTGGTGTTGTGACTGCATGTTGTTTTTTTCAGATATCTTAGTCACTTATCCAAAAATGATACCACGGCGACGTATCTATGATATGGCATCGGCTAATCTTACGAGTATTCATGCAGGTAGTTCCTAATGAAGTAGATAGTTACTTGCAACATAAGAAGGAATATATATATAGGAAATGAGGAGCTGGTGTGGAGTTTTCGCAAAATTCAAGTGTGAGGCAGTTTAGATTACTTTGTCTTAGGAGTTAACTTACCCATATATAGGAACAAAAGCAGCACATATACTTTCTCGTGAATACGAGGTGCTCATAACCCGTTTTTTCCTTAACTGACCAGAATTCATGCCCGCTGGAAGAATATTAGACAATCATCATTTTCTACGAACAATTTCGATGATTTAGTACAATAGCAATTATTTACCACCATGTCGGATCAAAGTTCACCCATTCCAATACCCGAACCAAGTGCTGATCCTATTCGCGAAAATATACAAGACGATGAGCAAACTCTTCCGGCACTACAGCCACCACCTTACGTACCTACGGATCCATACCCCGATGCAAAGTTTATGAATCAAGGTACTTTTCAGGTTTTAAAATTTGTAAATCTTTTTATATATTATTGTTTTCGAACTTCCATACACTCCCACTTAGAGGAAGCCAATGACATTGTTTTTATGATACAGTCATCTCTCTCGGTCCCTTTCCGTAAATACGATACTTGGATTACGCTCACTCATCTAAATTTCAACTAATTTAAAAAAATACAGATAATCTGCCAAAAATATTTTTATCCATGACTCTGTGTCGAGAGATTCCAAAAACGGTAAATTTATACCTAGTTTTCATCACCATATTATTTCAATTTTGCTATTTCGAATTCCAGATATATATACAAAATGGCTATCACAATCTCAATGATATATTATACGATTTTTTAGAATTTATTGCATCGTATACAATCACTACACAGCCAATGACACACCCTTATGTGGCTAATGCTGATCAAGCCCCGGTTACGTTTCAGAACAGAAATTATTATCCACCTGGGGTGACAACATATTCAGCAGAACCGAATTCAGGGTCAACGGTTTTATTTCACACTGCAGGATATAACGACGTACCTGTTGTGGTGAGTTGAAACTTATAAATATTTCATATTATGTCATTGATTCCCGATTTGAATTTGTATATATATATATTTTGAAATAGGAGATTGCAAATTAACAAACCAAATATATATACTATATATAAGAAATTGTAATGTTGAAATTGTACGAATTATTACTAGTCCTGTGATCAGTAATGATATTTAGCTATAATGTTCAATAGTAAAACCTCGCTAAGTTTTTCTTAGTCCAAGCATTAAGTTTTATGAATAATATCTAATCTTTCTTTTATCAATACCAAGACGAATCGTGACGCTCTTATAATAAAAACCTAAAACGATAGTGATTTATCTGATTTTTCCAAAGTCCGTTTAACATTTGCCACCAAATGATAACAGCAAAACTTTTTTACTTTGTGTTTACTCAGGTAACGTGTGTAAACTGCCGTAAAGTCGTGACATCACGTATTGATTTTGTATCGGGAGGTTTTACCTGGTTGATGTGCTGTTTTATATGCATCATATGGTGAGTTTCGTGTGATGTTATTGTTAATTGGAAATTTCGGTGATGAACGGGAAATCGACGTTCCCCGACCCTCAGCCCCAAGAAGCGTCTTACTCTGTTTTATCACCACAAAGAGCGTTTTTACGAGTTGGCTTTACAAACTAGTTTATTTCTACATAATCATCATTTAATATATTCAACTACCTGCCATTTAAAAATAGTGGCAGGCCGCAGAGACTATCACATCTTTTTAGGGGGTAATTTTTGGTTTTTGCAACTATACCAAAACTTCTCGGGAGACAAAATTACCATCTTATCATATAATCTATACTTACATTTTAAACACACAAATAAACACGAAAACAAACCATAGTTCCCTCCTTGCATTAAAATCTGTCTGAGCACCCCCGAAAATTTCAGTTGTTCATCACCTCTATAACTCATTGCTGATTGACCATTGCTAGTCAAGAAAATCGATGTTCATGGAATCGAAACATTCATTGAATCTATCCGTGAGATTTCAGAACAATACAATGAGCAGATTCGTCGCTCATTCTGTCGAAAATTGTCATTATCTATGGAAAAATGCTCGTCCAAGCCTACAATTTTCATTATGGATATATTTATCGAAAATATTTCTTCTTTTCAGTCCCCTATTTTGTTGGCTGATTCCATTTTGTATTCCGGGAACGAAAGACGTTTATCATTACTGTCCCGAATGCAATCAAATGATGGGAGTGTGCAAACGTATGTGAAAATCGCACCACCGAATTGAACTTTACATGACACCTCCGCAATATGTACCTATTCTTAGAAAATAATTAATAGTAGCCTACTTCGAACGTAATACAGCCAAATGTATTGAGGCCGAACAATAAAAATAGTGTTTCATGAAAATATTGTTTTTTTGACCTATTTTCTATGCAATCGATTATTTTTATCACTTTAATTTTTTTGCTTATACTCTTGCCTATCGGGTTTCGTTTGTGTATATAAATAAATGACTAATTTTGAAGTTCTGTATAGCATTCTGGATGAAAATATTTGTTTGCAAAGACTAATTCAAGACTTTTGCTGGCAGTTAGTTTGGGCCCTGAATTATGAAAGTCGAAAAGACAACATATAGTTCACCATCCTGTTGTCAACGATATGAACAATGGGTTTACAAAGCTGTGAAGGCAAGACATAGCCGTTAACGCGATTCTGAGACTTTCTAACACCACCTCGTAGATGTCAATAGCATAACATCATTATACTAACAAACAAAAGAAATGTGACAATTTAATCGGTTTTGAAGATTTTATTGCACAAGAAAAAGCGATGCAGGACAACGAATGAATGAAAAAAAAAAGCTAAATGAAATAAGGTAAAGAACATGAACCCAAACACTCACTAAGTTCTGAACTTCTTCTAATAAACATTAACAATCACTGTTGAATTATTCCGAACAGATAGCCTCAGCGGGGATTCGAAAGTTCCGCATACTAAAATTCACTTCAATCCCGATATTCAAATACAATAAATAACATGGATGAAAATAGTGGTATAGTCCCGAACAGAGCAACTTGGGCAAAAAAGTTATAGACTTTTCAAAGTTATAGACGGATTTCCAAATCCAATAATAAAGCTGTTAATATGGTATTGAAAATGGGAAGAAAATTCCAAAAACAATCAAATTAAAACCCACTAGTTAAAAAAATCATTTCAGGAGAGTGACACTGCAGTAGATGATCCAACAAAAAAGCAAAACAAGCAAATGCAAAAATATGTGCGATATTATGTCATAGAACAAAAACGACTAAATTGAAAATAAAACAAAAAGTTGTAAATGAGTAAGATAACATAGGATTATGAAAAATGAAACATTTTGATAACTTGAAGGAACTGACCGAAAATTTGAGCAATATATTAGACAGCAATTGCCACAAATACTTTGGTGCAGTCAAACACAAAACATAATATTATATATGTTCGGTGTAGGATTCTAGCAGTTACGTCAGAGGAAAAAACTCAAAAATATGGCAAACTGAAGATGCACCATAGCTCCAAATGAGCCAGTATCTATTTGCGTGAAAAGGAGGTGTTAGGTATTTGAATGATTGCAATTTTTTATTAAGCAAAGCCCACCATATTTATTAATACCATCTTGAGTGAGATGAAATCCAAGGGAAAATAATTACCATTTCAAGCTTAGTATGAAAATAATTCCAACAAATAGATACTCACAAGAACATACACAATTTTACTGGTGATCAAATCAGTGGGAATGCAATTTCGTGAAAAGGAATGCCAAATTGAACGTGACCATGTGATGTGCCAAACACAAAATACATACAGTGGCTTTAAGAGTCCAAATGAACACACATTTGGGTCTATATTACCCCAATACGATTAATCGATCAAATACCATGTTTGGGACAAGCCTCAATAGCCAAAGTTAGTCAGGACTGAATGATTTGTGAAGAGATTGAAAACATGCGCACTTATCTTCTCCCAAAAAAGTGAAGAAAAGGGTTTGAACTTGAATTACTAACATATATGTGGATGATATATACTCGCAGAGATGAAAACTGAAATAGCGTTACAATTGTTAATCATACCCTGTCTTAAAAAAACAGCGCAGTGGTTATCTTAATTCACACCAAGACCAAGTGTTTCTATCCTATATTATTCTTTCCTCAGAGTTTGAGAGAAGGCTTAATTCAATCTTCAAAAACATTTGATGAATTTAAAAAAAAATGCAAATTGAATGTCTAATTTAATAATAGAGTTGTCTTTGATATACTGCAGAGATTCTGATACATTGGAAATTCCAGCCGTAGAAATTTTTTTCCATGTGATATTTGACCCGGGAAATAATGAGGTTATACATCCCTAAGCTCCATAAAGATGCCTTTTTAAATTAATTAATTGTATAACGTCTTGTTTTTTAAAATTTCTTCCGAATTTTCTAGGTAGAATTTTCATGGCTGAAACCTTCCATATAACGAAAACCTATGTTTTGTCGTAACAACAATGCTATTAAAAATGAATTTCAAACCAAACCAAGCAGATAAGAAACAACAACCCATTCTATAGACATACTTAATTGTAGATTTTTCACAAACGTGTATTTAAATACAACGCAAACCAAATATCATATCTGTACATAAACTGTACAATATAATGCCCTTCTCGGCTATATTAGTATTTAAAAATAAAAGCCAACATAGAAAATAACAAAAACACATGAGTCCCTGCTTCTGTATGTGTAAAGCACAATGGAAATTTTGTTATCTTGTTTATAAGAAACAAAAAATTTAATACTGATTCGGGCTTAATATTAATGTAAAATCTGATGTGTATATGCTTTGTTAGTGTTCACCTTGTACCAATGTTCCCATCTGATGCTAGTAATAAAATAGGTAGGACTTTTCAACCAAATTTTGTGGCCGACGACGATTTGCTTGTTGCAGCCAAACCAAACTTTACATTTTGCAAAATGTATGAACCAATCCCATTGCATTTTTTACGATTTTGAGTCTGGGTCAAAATCCAGCACGAGAAGTTTAGTTTCTTCTGTACCGTTCCGGCTTCCGACAGCACATACTAGTTTTGTTGGTGAAGCTCTTATTCGCCACACAACACCACCAGATCCTCGCGAATCTAATGACACTAAGTCTCGGATGGCCTGAACAAAACAAAAGTCACCATTATTGTAATTAACAGAAGACATTTGCATGTTACCGCTGTATAGAAGAGTACCACCAGGTATAGATGGTATTCTTGCTGTCAGTGAATACAAATCCACTGAGAACTGAACTGAATTAACCACATGACATGTATTTATACTATCATTAAAATACATGAATGAATACATTAACTCAATGATAATCACATGACAGAAATATGTTTTTTAAAGTTGGCATTACCTTTCCAGACTTGACATCCCATAATTTAACAGTACCATCATCAGAACTTGATATAACAAATTTCCCATAAAACTGTAAACAGGTAACGGCACTTTGATGTTTGTTAGCACCTGCAAATAATAATTATAAAAATGTTGTTATGTCGACAAATTTGTAACATATTCTAGAGCTTCAGTCGTAAAATGTTCAAATAGAACTTCACTGTAACTTCAATACTATTTACAAGCGGCGGTCCTCAAACGTTTGAATAGAATTTCGCTGTAACTTCAATACTATTATAACTTTTGAGCAAAGTATTCTAGATTACTGAAAACTTCAGGGTCACACACAAACAGAAGTTCAAGTGTTAAATAAATTTCCTTTATTTTTGTAGAAGTAATTATTTATGGGTTCTGTTTTTTTTTCTGGAAAGTCACCATGCATGATTAAGCTTGGAAAATGATCATTCCAAGTACTACTTAGCTAATGATAACAAGACAAAATTTCTCAACAAGCATACATGTCTTTCCTATTCTCGCAAGTATTCATCAATAATGCAATGAAATTGAATCCAACAATGAAACTTACCTTCCAAAGTCTTTAAACATTTTCCTGAAACAATATCCCACATTTTTACAGTGGAGTCTGCATTCCCAGACACAAGAATATTGTTTTTCAATTCCATACCAGATGTTAATGATTGATGACCAATCAATGTATGAAGGCAGATTCCAGTTTCAACTGACCATACACGAATTGACGTGTCGAGACTGCCACTAACAACATGTACACCATCAAACTGAATCAAAGAAATAGTATTTTATACAAATATATTTCAACTAAAGAACTTTTCAAGTTGGCAGTAAACAAGTGCAAAACAAAATATCTGAATGAATAACTGAATTAGGGGCATCAGCAATCGATCGCTGGGTACTTCCATTAGTGATGTTGAGAAGAAGATTAGGAGAGATTCTGTGAGCACTCCGGTATAAAATAATATTTTTTTCTCTAGAAACAAATCATACAATTCCATACACCTTATTTCATTAATCTAAGATTCGCGTGAATTCTGTATCCCTTTAAACAAAAAAAATCTTGGGTCTCATACTGGCAGTGACTTCTCGTCAATGCTGATAATTCAGAGTTCTGAACTTCGTCAAACCAACATTCCAGAAGTTGAAACAGACATATAGAAATCAATAGACCTGGAGTTTTGGGCAATAATCCAAATCAGTGCATTCCACTTAGTCATACCTGTAAAGAATAGACTCTATTTGTGTGTCCTTGTAAAGTGTGCAGACATTCTTCCCTTATCGGATCCCACACTTTTACATTATAATCGTAAGCACCAGAGACAACTAACTTTCCATCATAACAAACACATCTGACTGCTGCCATATGGCCGGATAACACATGGAGACATTCACCAGTATCCACATCCCAGACTCGTAAAGTGGCATCTCGAGATCCACTGACAACACTGCAATTAAGATTTGTAGATTAGTTAGGTCCATGGAAAAATAGTGCGATAATTGTGGGTAAAAATGGAAGTAAATTATGTTGTTAACAGAATATCATTTCACATAACGCAACTTTTACTTTAAGCCTGATGAAGCTGGACATTACAGTTTGCTTTTAGTAGGTTAATAAAAACTCTTGAATTCATTTTATCTCAGTGACACCAGTACAAAAGCATGGAACAAAGAAACAGTGTTCGTCACATGACCCTTCACCCTAGCGATACAGTATTGCAATTGGGCATGGATATTGACCAGCTTCCTAGAGCAATTTAAGTTATACCATTGTATTATTGGTCGCTATATTTGCATACAATGCAACAAAGAAACTTAGGTTGAACTTCTGCTAACACTTAATTGCAGCTCATTTAAATATATAGCAAACTACAATGCACAATGACCTATCAGTAAGTAAATATCATTTGAAATATAAACTGCTGCAGATATCAAACTTTGCACAGGTGTGTAAATTTACATATCACGAACGTAGGAGACAATGAAACTTTTACATGATGTCTATTTTAAACTTGCTTGTCTGGAGGCTCAACAACAAGGATAAATATTAAGAGAGCTATAGAAAATATGGCTAAAAACACATATCGATTCTAAAACGTCTTGAACATATTTGCTACAAAACTTTGCCTTGAAAATCAAGAAATAATTTTTGAAGGAAAACCCAAAAGTTTTCCTTAAAAAACAAATAAAAAAACTTACATGTTATCATGTAGAGCCATGCACCGTACTGTGGAGGTATGACCATACAGTGTGTGCACGCAGTTGCCTAAAATAAAATGAAATCTAAATTTATATCAATATTTTTTTTCGATGAGGTATTTCCATGAGATAATATATATTATATAGCATCAGTAAGATGTTAGTGCACATTTAACTAAGATATTGTAATCTTTATTTAACAACTTTCAGTTTCTCAAAATTCCACATCAATCCTAATTTTAGAAAAGTACAATAAAATTTTGTATTATATATTCTAACCTGTATCTGCATTCCAAATTTTTAATGTTCTGTCGGTTGATCCACTGATGATCATATTTTTTCTCATCTGTGATGCCCATACTCCACCAGTATGTCCAGTTAATGTTCGAAGACACTGGCAAAAAGTATTGGAATATTATACAGTAGGTGTACGTACACACATGCTATTAGAGAGTTTAATCAATGCTGAAACATCACCAAGTTGTGTGGCCTTCTTCACAATCGATTTATTCAATAGATATATGCCAGGCTGAATTTTTTAACAACTCGAAATGTTAATTGTATGGAAACTTGAAGTTACCTTTCCAGAAACAACAGACCAAACTTTCAAAGTGTTGTCATCAGATCCGCTGACTATTCTCGTACCACTGAATTGTAGGCATGTGATAACATGGTCATCATGGCCTTTGAGATGCTAAAAAACAAACAATAATTAGAATCGGAAATTTGATTTATAAATAAATTTTACAGTGAATAATATGTATTTTAATCTCAAAAATTAAAACTGTCAGGATATTTTAATTAGGAATATTCTTGAATGAATGAATAATGGACACTATATTAACATATTAGAACCTACATTATGATCTCACAGAGAAAACGATAAAACTACAGTAAAAATTATCGATTCAGTTTATGTAAATCACATTCAGATACTCTAATTTCAATTTCCATATAAACAAAATACCACAAAGTTTTTATGCCACAGTAATATTTGGAAATCGGAATGTTCACTTAAGGAGGAGTACGATAAATATCTTTCCCTCAGTTCACCAAAAACAACCGTACCTTCGCTGATTTGAATTCTCCGTTCCTCCAATTCATTTCGATTTGATGTTGACGCATAAAAGCAGCTTTCCACGCACTTGGTTGCATTGGGTTTCCTAAAATGTAAACGAACAAAAAAATGATGAAATGTTCTTACATAAGCAGTCAATGATTTACTGATGCTAATATTCTTGACGGAATTAGATTCTTTCCAGTTCTACACAGCTTACCAAGATTACTGCATTTATTCACTCATCTTTGCGAAATGCTAAAGTTGCATGTGGACAATGTACAATGGTAGCATGGTAGAAATTCAAACATAAACAATGAATATCATATCAGTTTTCAATATCAATATAAAATTTCAACAATGCATAGTAATGCATACGTACCAATCAGTCCGTTACTTTTTCTTGCTTTCCATGAACTTTTACAAACTTTCGGATAATATGGTTCAGGAATTCCCTCTTCAGCGCATTTTTCTCTCCAAAGTAAATTATCTTCAGTTAGTATATGCCAATACCGACATGTCTGTGCCGCTACTAAAAGATCCTTCGGTTCAAGAAACGAGAGAACATGAAGACCGAGCTAAAAACAGAAAAAGATCGTTAAATGTTTTGTGGTACCGACTACCAATTATTGTCTGGCCATCACGAAGGGCTGAATTTTCAAAAGGTAATTCTGTACTTTTAGAACGAACGAACAGACTTAATGAGTATGTGGTTACTTGAGTATGGGAAAAACTGATTTTTTTTTTCAAGGTATACAAGGATACCCATCGTTTGGTGGTGCCTGTGGTGGGCTTCGTTTTCAAAACCCCTCACCACCAAGGGTGTACGAAATTATGGACAAGGAAAAGCTATACATGTAGTTATATTTTAATTCAACTACTTTGTCATACCTCCGAAGTTTACATAATGATTTTCAAAAGATGATTAGATTGTTAAATCGACAACTAGACATATTTTAAATTTCTATGTGATAGAAAACAAACCTCCTTAGGTAGCAAAGAAATAAAATCTCTTTGAAATTGTGGCTCTATGACTTCAAGCATATGTCGAACTTGGCGAGGCTCACAGACGTCAATCAATTGGTCGATAGCTGTTATTCTATCGCTAGCCGTCCATTTTTGAAATTTTGTTAACCAGTCGCTGAGACCCTCAACGTTAGTGGGCGGAAGTTTGAGGACATTTAAACTTGGTGAGAGCGAAAGTTCAGTAGAAAATCGCCTCGGTGAACCAGGTGACAATAGTTTCCTTGCAAGGCTGTGCAAAATAAAAAATCCAAGCATTATCAAAGTGATCTTCCCTTGTAAGTTGTAATTGAAACAAAAAATTCATAGCAGATGGGTTTAACCAAATATAGCAACCAAACATGTTTTTTTTAATGGTGTCATAATGTCATTCATAGATGACTTGATAAAATTATACAGGTTGCTATATTTTACAGAAGAAAACAATTTAGTAACATATTGAATGGGCATCTAACACGAAATACCGGTAATAAAGAGAACCAACAGTCGGAACTATATATACCTAAGTGTCAATATAAAACATTGTTGATTTGTGGACCGGCTGATAAATATTGCGACTACAAATTTCATTCAGAGTTTTCAAAATACTTAAAATGCTCTTCTGAAGCATATGCTCTCCTTCTCTATAGACAATATGGATCAGTGTTTGGACCTTTCTTAGCATTGCAAGGGAAAAATCTCGGGTCACATCTCATGCCCACTCACCCAGGGTGTAATAAATTTGGTATGCAATGCAGCATTCCGGTCTTTTCAAACAACATATACTATGAAAACTGTTTAATTATATAGGCAATGTTCATAAGTTCAGAATAAAAGGTGTTAAAAAATGTTGTGCAAAAATAATAGCTGAATGATATAAAGAACAGGTTATGAGATAGTAAAACAAATTTTACCTTAATTCCTTTACTTTAACTTCACCTTCACTTAATTTTGAATCAATTTTTGGTGGGGTTGAATCAAGGAGAAGGCTGTTTAATAGAAAATAATGTGGCTTGATATATTTGAAAAGCAGAATTTTTTTTTATTCAAGTATATTTGCCACAATCACAAGATAAAATAAAAAACTAGATAGTACACCAAAATCCAATGCATAAACTAAAAGCTTATTTTTTTCATTTAATCTGTGTTTTGCAATTGCAGTAAGAGAAAGTTTCAAAAGTAGAATTCTCTGTAAATAAGAAACGTATATATACGAGTATATATGCATATCTTTGCTTATGCAGAGAAGAAGATATGTTCTCAAACATGGAACTAACATACCTAGAGGTTTTACAGGCTTTCTTTTCTGGTGATTGATTCAAGTGATGACTGAGATCCAACCTGTTATCTAATTTCCGCTTCATCTGAATAAATTAAGAAACAATATAGTTTATGAACACATATTAATAGCTGCTATTCAAGGTTTTCTTGCAAAAGACTTTTTCGATTGATATCAAGAGAAAGTGAGAGAAGATATAACATAGAAAAATAGTCTTCAAAGTGGAAAATTCTGCTTTTCGAAAAATTTTAAATCTCATTTTGAGATTTTTTCTACTACAAACATTTATTCAACGTAACTTAATTGAATAGAAAATGATGTGCTAATATTTATAGTCTTCCACCCCCAATAAAACACACAACATAAAATTGTAGATATCTACCAAAAACCAATTTCTAAACCAATGACATCAATGGTTCTTCCCTGTATTTTCCCATAATACATTACGCAGTATTTTTGATAGTATTGTCAGTGTATAGTATATATATATTTATAATACTGTTACTAGTACCGTAAGTGCAGAATATAGACGGTGATAAAAAAAGAGCAATCCCTTAGCCTATTATGATAAACACACTCAAGAGAAAGATGAGTCCTATTGCCAGTGGCAATGAATGATTAATAATATAATGCATAAGCAATTGTACTTTGTATGAACTCTAACCCCGATCAATTAATCTCAATATTAAATAAACAATCTTTGGGCCGTGTTACTGTGAGACATGCAATTAAAGTTGTATATCAGATTGCACTATTATTCCTGCATGGCAAACCATATGATGACAATCAAATCCATTATGCATATCTCTATTGAAACCTTTAGGGAATTAATGTTGCTAAGAGTCTAAATGATTCCAATTGTCTCAGAGTTATTCCCAGATAATGAATTCTTGCGGATATGAGCCACACAAAAGCAGATGCTTTACCACATAAAAGCATGTGGTCGTGATGACTCTATTTCCTATAAATATGTGATAATGAATCAAATGCAATTGTATGATGCATCAAAGTGAGACCCTGCCATTTCAATGACTAGGTTAAGGAAACTAGCTAGGCCTGTATGACTCTACTTATTTCAAGCAACTGTATAAATCTTATTTGTGTAGACTGAATATGACAGACCGGATGTGTCTATTGGCATTAAAATCTATAAGACTATTCTATAAGACTAAGTACTCTTTATAAAAAGTGAAAAACAAAGATTTGAAATCCATCATCAGCAATTCAGCATATATAAAACAAGACAGATATGACTCAACTAATTGAGTATTAATCTTGTTCATATATAAATTGTTTGATAAGAACAGTTCCATAATTTAGGATATTTTATAACTTCGATTTCATTTGAAATAGCCAAATTTGAATAATTAATGGTAGGAAATTATGATATGCAGAGAACTTCACAAATTACCGGTTTGATAAATTATGATCCTACAAGGAACATTGAGCAAAGATCCCTCAATAAAAATTTCAACATTTTTCCCATAATCTCCTATAACTCGGACAAATTTGAATGAATTATCACAGATATAACTAGATTGAAACCCGCTGATCTGGTTGGGGAACAACAGACCAACCTATGACATTTCTTGGATATTGATATTAGCAAATAGCCTACTTAAATTTTCCTATTTAATAAAGTATTTAGTAGGGATATTTATCAAACATTCGTTTATCATAAAGGATATATCAAAAAGGACTCAGTACATGGTTGACTTCCTTATTAAACATAATACTTGATATTGGTTTAGCTCAGTAGTCATGACGAAGCATGATAGCAACATGTGATTATGAAAATAAACATGAAACTGAGTAAGAATGACTTGAATAAAATAATGTGCTCAATCAAACTAGCCTGTTGTTGGCTGTATAAGTCATCCTTTACTCGTGTACGTTTTCTTTTAGTTTTATCAGGCTTTCGTGTTAGTTTCTCGGCTGAAGTGATAGACTGTTATATAATGATGAAATTAAAAATTGTAGTTTGGCGTACTACTTAGTTCGAGCAAAATCCCAATAAGGGAATTGAGCTGCATAAGCTATAAGATAATATTCGAACTAAGTCAATAAAATCTTTCAGTAAGAAACAATACGCAATACAGAAATTACACTGATAAATATTCATGCGATATATATATATATCCACATGAACCAAACAAAACTTGAGAATGAAACTATCCTTTCAAATTTAATTCCCATTTACTTCAGTGGCATACTTGATAATCAGAAACAATTGCATCAATACTGGATCTAAATACAGTGAAATCACAGTGATTGTTATAGTTTTTTCATAATATTCAAACTGATCTTACCAAATGCTTTGATGACCCTCTGTGTGATGAATCACCAGATTCGGCAGATTTGAGGTTATCGGTATAGTCCATTTCCATTCCACTAGATTGTGAGATATTATCATCCTCCTGACCTGAATCACGCTCGGAAGACTGATCTGGTGTGGCGATACCTACAGATCGAGTTAATTCACCTCTACGTCTGGTGTTTATTCGTTCAGTTTTATCAATGGTGATTGGATTTGTTCTTCTTGATCTTGACGATTGACCGCGGGTAATTCTAGAGGGACCAGCTTGTGAGGATAACGATAAAGCCCCAACAGCAGTACCCACTGAATCTGGGAAGCCCAGGGAAACAGATCCTGCCTTGGATCTGTTTGTGATTGGCGGTGTGGTGGCAGGGTTACTTCTTGTTGACATTGAAAATGTCCTTTCCTCATTTTTGCTTCGACTTCTGCTACGAATAGATCTCATGATTGGTGTATCTGGAAATGAGAAATTTGAATTCTAATATTGATATGATTTTTCGAGTAAATACTTCAATAGGTAAGAAAAAGGGTTATTAATGGTACCATATAGAGCCACACCAATCAACTGGAAGCCTGCTTTTCTCTACCTGAAATTCGAGATGCAATATCTGCCTAAAGCTATCATTTTCATTATTGTAAGAAAATTTTTTCTATAATAATTCAATATTGCCAAAATTAACAGCTAACACAATTTCCGGTATTTATTTCTAAAAAGACATTTTGAATCTATTCAAGCACAACACCCACTGATGACATCATTTCCCAACTCTCAGCCAGGTTATCATACAACAAGAGAAAATAGTCTTGAATATGATTGATATGATAAATATTAAAGTGAGATTTATTTTCGCTGTATGGCATAAGATGCTATATTGTAGTTTGTGATTCGGACTTATTATTCACATTTTGCTCTGATTTTTAGAATATTGTCTGTGAAATAATAATTTAGTATTTATAAACAGTTGTTACTCGTTATATATATCCAGTATATTCAGTAAATTGTTGGATAAAACTTGGTTCAAAATCCCTGTCACCACCTCACTCAGAGTGTTTTAAATTGAATAGGAATATGCAAAATGAAAAGATTCTTGTTCTGCTAAAAATATTGGTTCTTACGTCCGGGTACTTATACAGAGCCTCATTCAGAGTGAATGCATGAATGCGAAAAGGTGATCCTTGATCACTCGTTTCTATAAGGGTGTATTCAGTGTTTTCTTGTACAGAGTCTTGTTCAAAGGGAAGGTGTGAAAACAGAAAGAGAACCAAGCTGATCTGTGACAGCACGCTGTCAATAAGTGAATAGGTCATAAATTTTATAGACAATTTTTTGATTGTGAGTTATTACCTTGGCTACAATATTCAGAATCGTCGTCCAAATGTTGGATCGAAGTTGAAGGAGTTTCCAGGCTTTGTATGTTGACGTCTTCTCCGATATCTTTGTTATTACTGGTATGGTTGTTACCTCCACTGAGAAATTCTAAGGAAAGACTCCTACTGAGATTCCTTCTACCCCAAGTTACTTGATGTTGCCCATTCAATTCTATATTATCATTCCTCTCACTCTCACCTGAGAAATTAGAAGCAGAGGATAAGCAGGAGGAGAGCAGGAGAGAAGAAGGATCCACTCTTATCATACAGTTAAAAAGAAATGTACATTTTCTTCTCAATTACTTGGATGTTATTTTTTGGGATGGAAATCTTGACATAGTCATTCATTATCAAGAGAATTACCTAATTGATTGATATTTGAGAGCCATTCAAACAATAATTATCATCAACATGTTTGATAGGAAATATCCAAGTCAGTAACATTCCTGCCTTACATACCAACCATACTATATGCCAAAGAGTCTTGTCTGGGGCAAGTTATGAACTCACACATTACAAAAAAAAAATATCAGATACATCTCTCAAGTAGCCCCACTTCACAAATGCCTCTTATCGAGCACTGACTATAGGTAGATCAAACATATTGAGTGCTAATGTTGAAAGCCATAATCGTTAATTACACTTAGAAGTTAGTAAACAATGTTTCATCATTACAAATATTTTGACATGGAAAATTAAGGATATGAATCCATAGCTTTATAAAAATCCCTGCATATAATTTAACATTGTTCTCACCATTTCTTACAACCAAAATGTATGTTTGTTAAATACGGTACATGAATAACTAAATCATGGCGCACTCCATCCAAGACCCCCTAATACACAGCTGTGTATGTTTCAATAGACATTTCCGACCGAGTGCTAACCAGCGATCGCCCCAGATTTCAAGAGAGTGGGTGGAGAGACGAGAATTCCAATAAATTTTGGTCTATATCTAAACCGCGTCAGCTTCTAATTCAGTTCATTTTCTGTAATTGTTAACACCAACTGAAAGCCACCACCTCGTACCGCCATGTACGGAATATCGTACAATATCAAGCGTTCCAATAACAGCAAGAAATGTACTCACAACCGGTTTCTGAAGTCGTGCTGTTCGTGGACGGCGCTCGTGTACAAGTTCTAAAAGTCTACATTATTCTTATTTTCATAGTGTAAAAGTATGTATTTATCCGAGATTATATAGTTCGACGATACATTCCTAACACCAAATTCTCATATTATTCAGCCCAGTACTTAGCGATCTCCGCCAATGACCCTGCATCACACAAGCGTACGATTATACATCGATCGACTTTCAAGATTAATCGTTTTAAAACCTTTTCGACGCGAGCAAGGCTCACGTAAACCGAGCACTAAACGTAAACCAATTATCTTTGCCGACGAAAACAGCCGCCTTACTGTTAAACCCGCGAAGAAATAATACTTTAAATTGTAGGTATTTCAATTTGGTTATGAAGGGAATGTGATACTGAACTGACAAGCAAGTAATTGGTCGTGATGGGAATAAAAGATAGCTTAATATATTACCCAACGGACAAGGTCATGCAAAAAAGAAAAATTGAAAGACAAGAGTGATTTTTACATATAGTGATTAATCATGGACAATATGGTGCGAAAATGCATAAGCATTGGGAACTAGCAACTTTTAAATCGGGAGAATTATTTTATCATTTCAAGCCATATCGACCAAACAATTACATTCTATTGATAACTTGATAAAAACATCTCGAGGGGAAAATTAGTCTCTTGGGGTGTAAACTTCAAGTATCACGATTCACGATTATCCGTAAATAATTGTAATAATCTTGATAAACAATGAAAATCTTCCGGTCAATGAATTAGTTAACATAATACACAAATCAAGACAAATGTATTATTTATTGACGACGACGACAACAATTGAAATAATAGTCCTGAAGATCGCTTTCAATCGCTATTTTGTCGAACGATCTATTTTTGAAAACACCAGAAAAATTTAACTACGGCAATCGAAAAGTAATACCGTGATCGAACAATCACTAATGAAGCAATATCAAGAATGTAAAATCGCTCGGACAAATTCTTCAATTGGGCGATAATATTTGTGTTATTTAATTTCGCGGGTTCGTAAAACTTCTCGGCCGCTCTAAACTATTGCAATTTATAACAGCGGACAAATAGGTTTATTCTTCAATAGGCTACTTCACAATACTATTTGCAATTCTAACACAAAGATTCCAATACAGAAAGATTTTCACCCAAAAATAGAAATATACTGTGAAAATGCAAGTTTTCTCAATCATAACGCCGTTAGCGCATTTCAATACCATCCGTGCGCCATACGAGAATTACACTTTAAATCACAATATTTGTCAAGTTGTGACATCTATAGGAGAATGTACCTGTCTGTAATACGTAACGATTAATTAATATACGTCCGTATACTTTCCAATGATACTACAACTGTTCAGGAGAACAGGACGCTTCAGACGCAATAATAAACATAAATATCGCCTCTAGGTATATTCCCTTTTCGAGATTGAGGGAGAAACAATTACTATGATTGAAACTACCCAAATTTATTTACATATGACTACTTCAAAATTATCGGGAATGAAATGATGCCACTATGAAAATTTAAGCATTTTCTAGTCTTGGCTTGCTATACTGTACTGTACTCGTTTAGATTTCTCACTCAGATCCATATCTAAAAGTTATCGATATACGGGCGTCAATCAACATACAGTTCTAGACATCAGTTCATCACAGCGTGAAAATCTTTACACCCGAACAAAATTTTTATTGAGGCGTACTACGTTGACGAACTAATTTATTGAGCAATTAGAGAGCTGCCAGCTGAAAAGTGCCACGCCTGTTTTGTTATAACGCACGAAAAACCAACAGCTGTCTTAACATGTATCTTTCACCGCAATGAAAATAAGTTAGTTCTGCAGCAAATTTAAAAATTCATTTCAGCCTTGTACTAAAATGCCACTACCATCACAATGCAACCAGCTGCTTTATTACTCAATAAAAGTCAGTTTTTTCGGAATATTACATGCCTGGAATAACGCAGGATTTATGTTACCTTGCACCCAGTCATTGGATATTACTAAATTAATTTCTAGCAACTTCGCTGAGTCTATGAATTGAAATATGATCTGACGAACATAATGCATAACCATAAAGTACATATTGGTAAAATCACGCAATCATAATTACAACTTTCTGTGATAACTATACGGTATAATAAACTATTTACTTTTTTACCCGGACTTAAAAAGAGTGTATCCATCGACCCCTCGGTAATAATGATACCAAATTGTTTCGCTCGTGCATATATATTGGGCATTAATGATCGGTGTTATTGTATACAAATGAGCGAGGACGGCGATGTATTTCCGTTGCCTTTTTCAAAAGCGTTACGCTGGTATAGTTTGATCAAACAGTCGGACGCGACGCGACTTCAAACCAAAATAATTACAAGTTACAGATTTACATTGTTGTTTGACGACGCTAGCAGACGTGGCGTGACGAAACAATGGGTCGGGCTTTTCGTATCTTCGTCTGCCGCCTCAGCCCCAAGAACACAACCGAGGGTTGTTGAGGATAAGTGCAAGAGTTATGAAACACATGACTGCAATGTCTCACTTTAACCATGATTGGCACTGATTTATTATAGCGTTGAATTCGTATGAGTATTTAATTACAGTTGAACTATATAAGATAACATATGGCAAAAATTCCTTAAAATGTATAAAAAAAATTGTGCCGTGTGTTGCCCTAAATCTGATTCCAGGAAGGTAATCATTCATGAAAAAGCTTATTCTTGTTCTTGCGGATAATATTGAAATGAAAATCAGCTCTCCCGGAACAAATCTATTTTTAGACGTTTAAACCCAAATATATGTTTCTACAATTACTTTTTGGGAAAAGTCGGTCCTCTCAAATCTATGTTCGCGCACAAGAACTTCGTGGCTACTTTCTCATAACAATTCCTCCTTACAAATGTTTGAATAAAACTACATTCGTACAAAATTAAGTGCTCGAAAGAGTACATTTTCGCTAAAAATACGTTGACGCAAAAGTTCTTTCTCGTACAACTAGATGTTCCCGTTTTCACAAAATGTTCTCTTGCACGTTGACTTCTTCCGATAACTTTACGGTAAAAACCTGAGCATGGAATTAAAGTACGTGCAGGGAAAATATATTTACCTGTGAACGGGAATAGTGGAATCGATAGTAAATGCATTACCTCAGTATCGACTGAAATTAACCGGAAAGACCAACCGCAAAAGCGGAACGATACAGGTGCCCAATGCCCTGACTTTCCACACTCTCAATAAACGTAAAATCTACCTGACTTTCTTTTGATAATATTGAACAATATCCTGCGAAGAGCAGAGACACAGACAGCGTCCTAGCAGAGAAATGAAATTGGGCTAAAGTTCAACTTGTAGGTATAACCGAAAATATTTCTAAAAAATCTATACTATGACCAAACAAAAATAGATCAAGCAAGATCCCCCGATGAGTCATGAGCTGTGAGTAAATAACTGCAATTTCTACGCTCTTATAAGTTCAAACTACTGTACAGTAACAGACATTCGCTTCTTGGTTAGTTCCGACGATTTCGACAGACAGCATGCAGCTGCCGTGATGTCGGAAATAACAAAGCGTCAGCGGGTTGCCTGCTGCAAAAATTATGACGTCGAATATGCAGCCGGGGTTTTGAGCGATGTCGATGAAAGAATAGTGACTGGAATGTCATCGACTCATCACATAAAAGAAGATCTTAAAAATTGCAATTATCAAAGGTATAAAAAATTGGCGTTCACAAAAAGGATTGGGTTTTCGGAACAAACCAGCCTTTGAAATTGAAAAACATAAATTAAAAGCAACATTACCCTATTTCAAGTCGTTTATTATTTTGTATTATTTTAAAATGTATATAAATTTGAAAATATCGGATATGAAGACATTGGATTGATATATTTTCTAAAAACAAAATGCTTATTTTATTACCGTGAATTGGAAGTTTTCAGACATACTATACTCTCATTCGAGATCAAAGCTTGCCCTCTCCCGTTGTGAAGTATTAGTTCTATACGACTGTACGACTGTAACTAAAAGCTTAATGGTAAAACTCAATCGACCGTATTGACTAATATGTATCTAACACTTTCGCTGTAAACGTATTACTAAACATTTTAGTTGCATAACAACGATTACGTCAAAAGCAGTCCGATCAGTCAACTTATGATATTATATACCAGACGACGATTAAAACATTTTATCGTTTATGTAATAGTATTTCGTGGGTGCCAATAACTGCTATGTTATTTTTTATAGTTAGCAAAATTGTTTTTGTTGAATAAAAGACTATAGAATAAAAGTGTAACATGAAAAAACGCGTAGCATGAGGAACTTGGGGAATTTTTTATGGAAAAATATTTCCTTTTTCGCCGAAAATGGCCAAAATGATCAACAAAAAAAGCAAATACTGAGAGGGTTTTACATTTATTCTTTTCAAGGCATAATTTATCCCGAAACATTGCACAACTTTCGGAAAGGTTCGACACGTTTACATGAAAACGGATATTGCGACGTCATATTGTCGAATCGTAAGTAAGGCGTTCGCCTTGCGAAATGGACGACTTCGCCAGTTCATTGAAGCACGTGATAATGGCGCGTGGTGCGAGAGTCTTACTAGTAACTAAGGTGTGTCGTATGAACGGAACACTAGGCCGTTGACACAAAATTGAAACAGCGAAACTATGGCTTATCATTCATTATACTGCCCAGGCAGGTATGATGCAAGGCAGATTACCCGTTATAGCTGTCATATAAAATCGTTTTCTAAACAGCCTAAAAGCATTTTATCATTGCATTGGCAATATACAAAACATAACCGCTAAGCTAAGTATGAGAAACATGTTGTGTAATAGTATGTAATACATCGTAACCTGTTTTGAATGATGAACATTCCCAATGGGATTATTTGTTAAAATTCAACGCCTTTTATGATGTTGCTGCAATGAACTGATCTTTAATTTGTTCAAACGAAAGGTTCAAGTATGCTATTGCTATGTAATACAAGCTAAGTGGAACTATTGTATATCAATGACCATGTTTTTCGGTCAATTTGAACATTTATACATTAAAAGCAGAAATAGGGATTTTAAATTTTTCACCACATAAAATGTGCAATATAAATCAAAATGGCCAAAAAAGTAATAGCTACCGGCCAATGATCAATCTTTACCCAACCATTTATCATTTTTAATATATTTATGGAAAAAAAAACTTGAGACTTGGTAATTAAAGGAAACCTTATAACCGATGCAAAAACGAATTTGCATATTGTTGTAATGCTGTTTACATAATTTTGATTTAAATTACATAAGTTGTATAATGAACAAAACCTGAATATTCATATGTGAATTTGAATGGATAATAACAAAATTTATCATAATTTTCTCAAATTCACCAGATAGAATCAGTCTTGGCCACGGCCAACCTCCCAAAATAATTCGAACAGAACCTAAATATTCATATTCATCAGATAGAATCAGACTTTGCCAAATTCCGATATAGAACACATTCTTGCACAGTGATAATTCTGTAGTCGAACATAATTTGTTCAGGATTGATATTGAAATGTGTACATAATAAGAATTAAACAAAAAATTTTGTATCAGTTATTATACTGGGGCTCTATAAGATTCGTTTTTGTGTGCGATGACGTCATCAAAAATTGCGCACTTTGGGGAGGTTACGCTTTCACGATAGTCGTGAAGGAGTGCCTTACCGGGTGTTTATCGTGACAGATACTGTAAATACACATACTACTTCATTATGGCCTTAGTGCCGATATTTGAGCATTGCTCTCTTGTTAAATGGTCAGGAGGCAGCTGAAATGCGTGTTTGGGTGACGTCATCTCACTCGGAGGTGCGATCGGTGTTCGGGCACTGAGTTTTCGTTTGAATACCCAGAATTTTTGACTAGATATTTTTGCTCGGCAACTGAATTATTCAAGTATCGACTCGTTCGATTCCAAGGTATGGATGTAATTCCAATATCAGAATGCATCCTAGGGCAGAGGGATGGACAAAGTTTTGATGCAGAGGGCCGCATTAAGAAATGTACCAAATATTTACCTTTAGTTAAAATTTAATATGGCTGACATTGTTGAACCAGGAATAAACAAAAAGAAACATGAAAATTATTTTAACGATTCATAATTTAGATATTTCAGAAAAAGCACATCTAAATTTTGTATATAATTTTTTGAAAATTTTTCACAAATTACTCTAAGAGCAAGCACGCCATAAAAAATGCTTTGGCATGTCGCATGTGACCCGCAGGCCATTGTTTGTCAATCCCTTCTCAGGATGTGGATGAAATTTCTACAACTTGATGTTTGAGCACACAGAATTACAAATTGGGAAAATAACAAAAAGGAAATTTATTCGGTCGATTTACAATGTTATGAAGTGCCATCTGCAACTCATTTTGTTCCTGAAACATCCAATATCAATAGAAATGATGTAACAAAATTATGTCGAAGAGAAACAATTCGTAATTAATTTAGGATAATATTGAATGTTGTGAAATTCAGGTTTAAAGTCGAATAAAGTTTAAGATTGAAAGTTTTGAAAGACTTCAATAATCATACTATACCTGCTAACATCAACTCCGATTCGGATAAATCTCCTTCCTCAAGGGGTTCGTCATCACTTAGCTCGTGTAAAGCCTTGATTTCGCTCGCTCTACTTGATACACAGAGTAATACACCTTGATTTCTTTCTAGAATACATTGTGTGATTCCAGGAACATCAGTCAATTCACACAACTTCTTGAACTTTCCAACAGTCTAATACAAAAATAAAAGATCATATTTCTGTCACAATGTTAAAAATTTACTATAGCGGTATAAGAATTGATCAATTTTTACAATCGAAACAAAAAAGGGACAAAGGCTATCGAAGTGATTTAATTTTTAATCGCTGAAAAATGAGTAGGAATGGAAATGGTTGGGTGAATTGTTTTGGCGCTTAATGTAGCCAAATCTTTCTTGCATTTGCTTGTTCACACAATTCTCAGAAAAAGACAATGACTTTGATGCAAGCTGGCTTGCAATCAAATCACATTTCAAAATTTGTCACTCGGTTCTTGTATGAGACATGATTTTTTAAATAGAATGGTTAGGCTAACCAATTTAACGCAGGCACACTTGCGTGGACTTGAAGCATGTTTGACTAATTCTAGATATAGCTGACACTGACAGTATACTCAGACTGAAGAAAACTTCGACATTTTATTTAGATTTAAAACATTCTAAATTCATACATACTATAGCAATTTTATAAAGGTTGAATTATTATAAAACCACAAAAGCTTCGAGGTTTATGGTTAAATCTGCAATATATAAAATATATTTTTCATATTACTAATAAAAATTTTTTGTACCATTATTAGTGTAATAATTTTGTTATTAATCAGCCATTCTTATTCCAGTATTCATGTGATTTATATTTTAATAAATACAGAAATACTCCAGTACTCACTGTTCTGAATCGAACAATAGCTCGAGCTTTAGATCGTCCAACTCCCTTCAACCTAGTCACAAATTCATCGACTGACGCAGTATTAATATCGACAGCTTCCTCATCGAACTCCATTAAGTTGAGTTGTCAGAAAGTTGGTTCAGTGGTTAGAATCAAGGTCTAAACACAATTAGTTTCCAAAGTGGTACATTTCTTTTAGTTACAGACGTCAATAGCAGAGAACTGTTCAAATTACTGTATTTATGGAGAAGTTTTAGGATTGGCACTATCAGACTATACTGCAGTAATGGTCTGAAAATAGATGCAAACACTTTTGAGTTAAACTAGTCCAATTAAAATTAATACATTTGTAAAGCCATGGAAGTTTTAATAAATGAAAACAATAGCGGAATAATGCTGACATTCAGATTACCTATAACCCAGGTAACCTAAATTTTATCAGGCCGTTCAGGAGGTGATTTGGTAAAAACATTGTGCTGTTGTGAATTGGATTTATCTAGATGTTAACTGGAATGAAAACCGTAGACTAATCCCCTCCTACTGAACTAAATCGCGCCATCACACCAGTCAAAATTTCTAAATCTCTGATTCCAGACTGCTGATGTTGTCTAAGTTTTTATGTAAAGTCAAGTGTATTTTTTCCAACTGGTCAGTAAATAAATAACCTATAGGTAGTCTATATCCGTGAAAATGTGCCTATTCACAGATTTAACAGACGTGAAACTCTGTAACAGCACTCACCATACCTACAGATGATAACATCACTACACCAAGCAATCACACAAATCAACAAGTGAATAAAATCAGACACCTATTTCAGGTCTCGGTGCAGTGGTGGCGAACTGCTTGCTCAAGGCTCATCCTTACTGCCATCTGCAGGACACGCTACTATATTGCAGAAACGGTGGGATTACATACATTACGGATGTCTGTTGTAAAGGCTATTCATGTCTTTATGAGTACATCGTATCTTATTTCTATCAAAAATAACACCGATGCACATCTAAAACGGTCGACCAGAGATGAACTTTAGCTGGGATATATATGCCTGAAATGTATTGTTTGGGACTCCCACCACCAGTGAGGACTTCGATCTGGGATATATATGCCTGAAATGTATTGTTTGGGACTCCCACCACCGGTGAGGACTTCGATGCTTCCACCGACCCGCGCTTCACATTTTGAATATAACCCCTACGGTAAAATGTTTATAATAGAAAATCCACAAGCCATGTTATGCATGAAGTTAAGAGACATCTTTTCCTCGTGGTCAACACGAAAATCAGATCTTAAAATAGCAAACCTGTCTCAAATAGTCATATTTATTTTTATGCTATACATCAGCAGACAGACACAAGCTGAACCAGTGTAAAGACGTTTTCACTTTACACCATTCCTAACTAAATCATATAAACACATCAGAATAGACAATGTTTTATTGCAAAATAACTAGCAGCTTTAATCTGAAGATAACATTATTTCAAGACAGAAAAGTATTCCTTTCCAAACTTTCCTCAAGTCAAAATTGAGTAGCACCAGTTTACGATTTTTCGTAAGCCATGCAAGATTGAAAATATCATCACTTCACTTTCGGACAGAGCAGTGTACCAAGTAAATTTCTACACTTTGAATAGATAGAAATGACTAGAATGCATTATTGGATTATCAAATTGCCTTGTAAAGTTTAAATAATAGGCAAGAGATCAGCCAGCATCAATATTATCAAATTGCTATACCTAGACTGCTGAAAAAACTATACTTTTTATCTCCAATTGCAACATAGATGAAAGTATATTTTTATACTCAAGGAAGCAAAGACTTTTTCGACAAACTGCAAAATATTCAATTCATTCCATTTTGTGTGTAAACATTTGAGAGAGTGTTAACATTCAGAAAAAAAATTGGAAAGCAGAACATAGTCCTTTATTCATATTTATTATTGGAGAATGAATAATGACCTCGTAAAAAATATAAAATGACCAGACGATGATAACACACAATGTGAAAAGATACAAAATGAGTTGTTGATGTCAGCTTTAAACTGGTTAAAGCAGACTACTAGGTACGAGAACCCATAAAATTCCCTATAATTTCAAACTTCAGGTGAAATATCATGGTGTACATAAAAAATTACACATGAAATGCTGAAAAACAGGTCAGAAACTGCAGATATGATTCTTTAAATTCTCCACACAACCAGATAGTTGATGTATAATGAATGACTATAAAAAAACATGCCCACTCTCTCATCTGTTCTGGTTTGCTGAAACAAATGAAGCTCACTGTTAAAATTGAAATTGTTTACTCGGTTCGTGACACTTTGGACTATTTGAAAGAGTAATGTGAAATACTAAACGCCTAATTACCAAGCTAGCCAACATTAATTTGACAGCACAAAGTCAGACACTTCAGATATTTCATTTAACATAAATTGTTGAAAATTGGTACGCAGTTGAACCCCAGAAATTAATTAAAAATAAAAGAATTTGTATTGCATGTTCCTTTACATCTTAGACTCGTACTCCTGTACGAGTACCAATTACCGTACCAAAACGATTGATTCCTAGAATACCTACCTTTAATATTCAGATTCAATGCTGCTTGCTTAACTGAATCGTTCCCCTGAATATCAACAAGGTTGACCTAAAATTGTAGTGGATAAGTTATATGTTAACACTTGAAGTTTATTTTAAAGTACAATTAAGAGGAATTAGATTGGGGGCTGGTAACTAGATTAAATATGAGCTTCAGAAGCAAAGATGCATCAACATTTATTATTTTAAATCAAATTTCGAATTCTCCCCAGCGCATTATGCTGGTATAATCAATAGAAGTAGAATTCAAAATTTTACTACTGTAGCCTTCGTTAGATCTAACAGGCGTGTGTCATTATGCCTAAATCAACACAACTTATTCTATGAAACTTAACTTTGTAAAACCTTGGAACTGGGATATCGTAATTATTGAAATGTTTAGATATTCCAAATTGATGGATATACCGATACATATACCCATTATTCATTTAACAGAAAATTAATTTTAGAAAACTTACCAATGGAAATGATTTTGAAAACTGTGGGTCAGTCATTGAATAATTTTCTGGAAAATTTCGAGCAGAACTGACTGGCATTGTTTTGAGCTTCGATGCAGCAGAATTAGAAAGGTTTGACGAAGACGAGTAAGCAGTAGAAAACGAGTTTGTGTTTGGATTGAAAGAGCTAGCCATTGACGAAAGTAACATTGGATTGAATCCACCACGGATTGATTCCAATTTAATATTAGACGCACCAGATGGTGAATATTGAAGTTTGGGTATTGGAACAGAACAAGAAGTTGAGGAACTCCGTTTGGTATTTTGCGAAAAAGTAGGAGACATTGGTGGAACGTTATGTATGTTTGCTAAATTATCTATGGCTGATTGTGCAATTTTAAAATTTGGGGTATTGGGAGACACAGTGGATTTCTCAATAGAGTGGTGCTGGTTAGAACGCGATCGCTGGCCAGAAAAGTTTGAACTAGATATAGACGGCACAGCAAAGTTTGGTATCGGTCTCATTGTGAGATTTTTTATGGCATGCTTATCATCGAATGTCACAGAATACACAGGCGCTGTTGACGTTGGTGGACATACTTTCTGCTTTGCTATTGAGGGCACTTTGTCAGGTTTAGATATTTTAGGAGGTGTGGGATTTTGAGAAGACCAAGAAGGCCCAATTGCTGTAGCTACACGTTTAGTACCAACATCTAATTTTGGGAAGCCACCCTTTGAAGCACTGCTGGGCGTTACAGCAGCGGATGAAATCTTAAATTTGAGTTTTTCGTCTTGTTTGGAGTTCTTAACACCTTCAGGCAAAGCGTCATTAGGACTGAGACCCAATATTTTTGAAATAGCATCATAGTTTGATAAACCAGGGGATCCGTGGTAAACTGGATTTGCATGTGCCAGTTGGTTTTGATCCATCATAAATTTGATTATATCAGATGCATAACTTTCCATAGCCTGTGAGCTCATCGCAAGTGGAACATCACCAGCAGAGCTAAATGAGGAATCAAACGAACGATTGAAATTCTTATCCGAGTATGATTTTTTATCAACCCTCTTAGTTGAACCAGGATTTATCAACATTGTTGCTGAAGGCATTTTTGTCTTCACAATTGAGCTTGTATTAGAGGCTTTCCAGCTGCTAGTGGAGACTTTTTCATTTGAAGGGGGTGCCTTCTTTTGTGTAGAGAGTGGACTTGAGGTAGGAGAATTTTCACTTTCTATCGACGCTACTAATTCAAAACCACCTCCTGATGTCAAATTTCCAATTTTTATTTTATCATTTGTGCTATATGTTGTTGAGTTGCGGGAACTAACAGCATTAACCGATGGTTTATAATTTTTCGAGTCATTTGTTTCATAAATAAGCTGCTTCTTGAATGACTTAGCAGTTGTGTCACTCTGTCCAGCAGAGTTATTTAACGTTCCGACATATTTTTGTCCAGAAGCGATATCAGCAGCTTTATTTGAGTCTTTGGCAGAACCAAGTACCTTTTTATAACTTCCAGCTGGAATAGAGGATAAGAGTAGAGAGTAAAAATTAAGTTAAAATGAACCAAATGACCGAAGTTCAGAACAAATCATTTTTAGTTTATTGTAGAAATTAGCATTGCTGAAAAATAACACAGCATTTATGAGCAAATTAGCTGTGAGAAAATTGAGGCCACAATTTGCTCAATTCATTATGTGATTCAAAGTGAATTAAATAAAAACCAATATGAAATCATCATATTATTTAAAAACTAAATGATTGCATGAATAATAAAATTGAACCGAAATTCTTCAACTCTAAAATTCATCAGACATAATATTACACATGTTGTGGTTCACATAAAGCCAGTGTGTGCATTTGCACCAAGAACTAATAAGTGCTAGAAATTTGAACTTAGGGACTATTATATATAATGGTGAGTCACCAGTAACACATAAGAGGGCTAATAAAACATTCAAATCTAATATGAAAAAGCAAACCCCCATGACATAGACTGATTTCGCATGTGAAATTAGATTGCTCTCAATTTTAGTAGTTTCGAGAAAACCAAATTTTTCTCCCTCAGGGCATTTGTCAATATAAAAAAATAGGCAATCTTTTAGACGAGGAGATACACAAATCAACTAATATCAATCACAGTAAACTGTCTTACTATCTAACGCATGGATTGGTTTAGTCTGCAGTAAACTTGACTTCTTTTTTATTCGATCCTTTCGCTTCAAACAATTTTTACGATGCGACACAATCATTGGCGAAACTGCTCCCTCATTGCTACTATGAATTAAAGGCTGGGGTTTGGTTATGATGCTCCCTGCTAACTTTTGCGTACTCTTTGAACAGTAAAAATTCTTCCTAGATATTCCTGTTTTGTTTAGCGCCTTGGAATTACTCTGCATGGAATGCTGAAAATCATTGGCTACCTTCTTAACTTTATCTTCCCTTGTGGATTTGCGATTTTTTTTTACTTTTTTACAAGGAGATACATCTCTCATCTCCTTTAAGCTTTTGCTATCTTTTAATTTCAAGTTTTCACTATGGGATTCTTCTACTACTTGAATACACTTTTCTTTTTCATGCTCTCTACGTTTCTTTTTCTTTTTGTGCTTTTTCCACTGGTGATTTGGTGTATGCCTTATTTTTAATTTCCCAGATGACAGCTTTCTTCGTAAAAGAGAGATACTATCTTTCGTGTCCGAACTAAGGTTGTTTTCTTTTTTACTAATAGCCTTAACATGTTGTTTGCTTGCCTCTGCTATCCTATTTTTTACACTTTCTGATAACGGAATACCACTGTTGCCTTTCGATAATTTTTCTTTACTGATATCCTGCATGCTGTCTGTTTCTGATATATTTGGAGAAACACCTGAAACATGATGCAAACCAGGTTACAGCTTTCTAATTTACTACAAAGTAAGATACAATCCAATATAGTGGCCTAATAATATGATAAAATGTCTTGCATCTAGTTACAAGACAGGGTTAAACGTGAAATAAACGCCCGTTTCGAAAGTCGAGCATAGTTTGTGTAGAATTGAATAATAGACCGTTCCTAACATGTGGTCGAGTATGTTATCAGTGGGACCCAATATACAAAAAAATCACCAATAACTTTCCAAAGAATTCAAACTCACTTTTCTTTTGTTTTGCGCTGAAAAAAAAAATCACATTGTTAAATTCAAGTAGAAAGGAAATTAGATTACATAGTAAGAAAAGGGTAATGTAGCAGATAAACTATTCCAGTCATATATTATATACTATAAGTCATAGGAAATCAATAAAATAATGTTTGATTGAATTCAAAGTTGAATATCTTGAAACCCAGACAATCAAGAACTCCTGTTTTATCAGAAATATATGTTGAAGTGAAATTGAACACTATTACTGAAAGAAATATACATAATACATATAAATAATTCAAAAAGAGAATTCTATTGTATGAAATCACAATATTATGAAATCACAATCACAAGTACTAAATAAATACCCACCTATTAAAAGTTAAATTATGATGAGCTGAACGACTCTCCTTGAACAATATCCTAGTTTGCATCCAAGGTTTTGGCCACAGTGGTTTGATCGTCGTTTCAAGAAATGCCTGTGTTTTCAAGTAATAGAGAGTAAGTTATTAAAGAGTTTTTCAAGTGGTTCTTAGATATTCAGAATTTTGAGCTTAGTCACAAGAGCTGTGAAGCTTGAGTCGTATTGTTAAACTCCTCAGGGTCTGGAGTTTTGTTATTAAAAATTGGTTTTATAAAGAGTTTGGAGCAGGAGTCAAGTCAAAACAACCTTTGAACCTGAAGTCAGGAGAAGATTAAAAAACTTTGCAATTCTCCAGTCGGGAGTCAAAGTTGTTTTTGAAATAGCTCAAGAGTTGGAGTCAAATATTAATTTTCCCCAACTCCACAGCCATGCAAGTCACCAATGTACTAATTCAAAAAACTATTCTAATCAGAGTAATAAACTGCCAAGCCATATCAACCTCAGGCAGATGAGCCTGTATATCAGTGGTCGCCAAACTGCGGCCCATAACCAATTTTTTTTGTGACCCTCGAATGTTTCTTCTTTTAGTTAATAAAAACAAAAGTTGCCCACAAATTTATTTTACCTACGCACGGTCGTATGATGTAACAATGGCGGTTGTATGGCGTTTGTTTTATAGTAGTTAGCCGAACGTGCCTCCAGTTAGTTGGTATTACCACACGAATTGAAGTCGCAGGTGCATCCTAATTTTAAGTTTGATGTGGCGATTGTTTATAGACGGAAATTAGTGCGTGCTGATGGAAATATGTATATTTGGCCGAGTAGTTCATAATAAAGTTTGCCAACTAGTGCTGTATATTTTTCTATGTTAACAACCATTGGCAAACAAGAATACAGACTGCTATTAAAAGTATTCTTCCAGATAAAATATAACATGAAGTAATGAATTGTTGCTTTTAAATTTGAATGTACTCTAGCCAGAGTGTGAATTCCAATACACTTACTTTTAAATATTCCTCAGGATTTTGTTTCTCTCGAACCTTGAATCTTTCATACAAACTCATTTTAACAGTAACAACATCACAGAGCAATTTCCTAAAAATGAAAATTACCAAGGCATTGCAACAAAATATCAATTCCAAAGACTTCCGATTATGTTATTCCACAATGCATTTATCTAAAATATAATACTGCCGTAAAAAATACTGTTGTAATTCTAATAAATTTATCCCAGATTCCTACCTAAGGTTATCATCCCACTTAAATTTTCTTCGTGGAGCGTAAGTACGCTTAACTTTTTCTCCTGCTGCCTCGGTACCATCTAATGTTCCACTTAAACTTTTCTCTTCGCATTCTTCATCCTCATCAGTAGAAGCGGCACATGCAGACTTATCAAAAAATTTATCAGATCTGAGAAAAAATAAATTATGTGAGTGATTTATAAAAATTATTCAAAAATGAAAATAAGAAAGAAATATGTGAAACTTACTTGGCATCACACTCCACAACATAAGCTTCAATTTGTGATGTCATAACAGCATCAACTGCTGCTTTCAGTTTTCCTATCGGACCTTTCAGCTGTTGATCCTGATTATAAAGTAACAATAGCCAATAAAATGACAATTGTAATTGCAATTGTAAATACAAAATTGGTTTTTGAAAATTAAAAAAAAATTTAAATTGGCATCTGACATCTTAGCAGATTACCCTGCATAACATTCACATTTCATGGAAAATGATTATGTAAGAGGATTTCTAGAACCCTTGACTGCAAACGACTAAAAGATGACTACGGCACTGGACCCCAGACTCTAATTCGATCAAAATTTTAGCTCTTCCTTACTACTTTAGGTGGTAGAAAAATTTATAGAAACTCTAGCTACCAACTGCGAGAAAACTAAATTTTTACTACAAAATATTTGACATACATAATCTTTTTTCAATTTTATGCTTGATGATTTTAAGTTTCCATCAGAAATTATGACTTCGATTACCATGACTGAAATTTTGAACCCAAATTCCCAAAGAAACTAATACTAGAACGAGTTTGAGAATACAATCCGGCTCCAAATTCAATATGAATAAAACATGCAAGAATCAGACACCATAAACACAATTGTAAAAAAGATCGCATACACTATCATTAACTTGTAACTTCTTCACTCGTTTCAACAAAGTATCTTTTGAGCAAGGTAGATGTTGAGCAATGTGTTGATACATTCCTTGTCTTTCCTTGGTACGCAAACCCTGAGAAGATTCCTCGATACCGAGTAAGATACGATTAACGTTGTTGTTAAAAAATTTCAGTTTGCCCTCTCCTTCTGCAGATTTAGCAATCTGTGATTTTTGAAAAAATTTGTAAATTGGAAATTTTTTTCCCTTTTATTTCTGGTTGTATATAAATAAAAATAGTGTATCCAAATTTATTTGAATATTAAAATTATTAAAACAATCAGATTATTTTTTAGAATATGCTTCACTTTTAAACTAACAGGGATCCACATAAAATTTCACTGCGACATAAATCAAAGACCTGGTAATCTGATAGTGTGGTTTTACCTTTTTCAGAGATTCAATTTTATCTCCAAGCATCTGTGGTAGATTTGGTGGCAGTTCATGATTTTCAGGTGAAGATGTTGTATTTTTCGATAAATCATTTGTAACATCAACCCCATTTTTCACTTCTTTTTCTGAGAGCAGAACATAGAAAAACAAACTTGCTAATTTATTGAAATGAATAATAAGTTCATTGTGTAACCTACAAACTATACATAAAATGCAGTTTTGACAACCATAATTGTAGGAACACATTTTTTAATTCTTTTGATAATAGCTGGCTCACAATTCATTCATCTGTCTAATCCAGTGGTTCCCAACCTTTTATATCTCGTGGCCCCCTTCCGAAGGATTTTTGCACCATGGCCCCACTGCTCATCATTCCAGTGGTATCCATAGTGTTACTTTGATTGGTAGATTCCATATATCATTATGTACAAACAATTCAATGTACAACCATAAGCCTTGTTAGAATAAACCTGATAATTTTCTATATCAATACACATCGATAATATTCCAAAATCAAAAGCAAGCCAATTTTAAACGTTCAATTAATAAAACATGAAACAATGAATGATAACACCTGTTTCTTATGAATCTAGTCAAATGTAAGGTTTAAAATAACAGATTCCATAGGGAATAACTTTGACATTTTATAATTTATTCATTACGCTTACCTGTAATAAAATCATCATTACTTAAACCGATGTTCATCAAATTTCTAGTTGCTTGTTTTGCTACTTGAGCTAAGTCTTTGTTACCCAAGCGAATCAGCTGTACATGAAATTTTAAACTTGAAGTTATATTGAAAAAGTACTATAATTAGGTATATACAGTAAGAGCTATATTTGAAAAAAATATCATTTCGGTCAGTTAAAATGTAGCATGGTAACCAAAAAACTTTGAAAAAGACTTTTATTTAATGTCCAAAAATCCATTTTTTGTAATGAGACCCGTATCTCCCAAATCTAAATTTTTTCAAACGACATTATATTATAGACTTACCTCAGCGGAATTTTTTCTGTTTTGCGAAACAATGTTCTGATGCACTGCAAATATAAGAGAAACAAATTTATTGAAATTATTGTTTATTGGAATGAAGAGCCAAAATACTGCTGTATAAAAACATATATCTTACTATATTACCAGTTTAAACGAGTAATTTATTAAGATACATTATAGTTTGTATGTGAATGTATTGTTTGATAAATTTAAAAAAAACTATTACTCATATGAATAAACAACTGGAAATTGATATTCCAAAACATTTTATCAAGAATAGCTTTGGTAAAATTGACCATCAAGATAGTATGAGCAAAAGGGATAAGGTTATGGTAGCAACACCTATTTCAAAAATAGAGATTCAATTACCAGGACTTCCAACCACGGAAGCACTCATCATTTGTTGAGCTTTAGCTTTTGCTACTAATTTCTGTGCGAGTGAGGTAGGTTTCTTTATTTTCTTACTGCAAGTAACAAAAAAAAATCATATATTTAAATATTTATTGATAGTTTATTTCATATTAAGTGCTTTGAACGTCTAATCTTTTTAAATATTGTTCTACAGATTAGGTGACTGTATTAGACCATCCAACAAATTTTTTACAAATCAAAACAGAGATAAAAAGAATAATATTGATATTTCTAAACTCTTGGGACAATATACTTGATTGCGTGTATTCAGCATATTTTGTAGAATATCGGGTACCTGTAGTGTGTGTACCAGGTAGGGTTAGGCCATAATTTTATTCCGATTTCCCATATTTTAGTTCTATTACGAGTTCGGGAATGTCTGTGTTAGCCAAGTGAATTTACCCACTGCCCATAGGTTTCAGTCCCTTTACACAACTTGATGTATAGTAGGCGAAGAAAATTAGTTACCTCCATATTGGTACACACACTTATGGAGTACAGCATAACGGATTTCTCCATAAATAATACATACTTTTATACAGGAATTCCAAAATGATGGGAGCATTTAATACATTGGTTTAGAAAATCAGCAAAAATTTTCAAGTACAGTATGCAGAGTACTGTTTCATTTTTCAAATAATGTATAGGCAAATTCGAACCTCTTTTTTAATCCTGTAACTTTGTCTTTTCCATTTATGGATATTTTCCGTTTTTTCTTGCCGTCAAGATCTTTAACAGGTTTCAACTTTTTCTGTAAAGCATAAAGAGTGTAATAAATTGGGTATCACGAACAGTCTTTTCTAGGTTCTAGTGATTTTAAAACAAAGTCAGGCGCTCCATAAGTATGTGTACCAATGTTTTTGTTAGTCCAAACAATCCCACCTATAAAATTCTAAACTGATAATTTTATTTATGGTATCAAGTTGGATTTTCTATATATCTTAATTTCTACTTTTGTAATATTTCCCATCATCTAAAAAACATGGATATGACATACCTTTCTCTTTTTCGTTTCGATTGAACCAATATCTTTAAATTCATTTTCACTTTCATCAGTTTCAAGCAAATTAGCATGACGTTTTTTCTTTTTCTTTTTAGTAATGTGATGGGAAAGAGGCATTGTGTCATCTGAGGATGAGTTCTCTGGAATAAACATCAAACAAAAGGTAATAAGAAGAATAGCAGGTATCTTATTGTCTGCTGTGGAATAGAGAAGCATGAAAAGTTACAAGGCTTTGAGTGAAGCTAATTATACAACATTTGTCTGAAATAACCTCAGGGATGTCCTAATCGAATATCCGGATAAACTTGAAATTATTTACCATACTCCATTACTAAAAATCAAGTTTTAAGAATATTTTTAAAAATATACTGATTTGTAAATATTTTTCGTTGAATATGACTTAATTTATGATATAATTCATATGTTATATTCGATAACACTACTTCAGAATCATTCAGTTTAGGTCATACCTGCCTGATTTATTTATGAAAGTAACTAACCATTAAATAATAACGAAGGACAGAAAATGATTTTTTCTTAATCGTATCTGTCTCGATTGGGTTAAAACTTATAGATCTTCATTTTGAGAATTTGAATGTCATAATACCGCAGTTCAAATATTTTTTATTCTGGCTTTTATTATAAAGTTTTATTCACACTATCAAAGACACAAATATTATTGGTATATATTCCATGATACCATGCAATAACAAAAAAATCTAATCAACAGAGAAACCTATTTATTACTTGATTTCGTAATTGGTATTTGTTTACCTGCATCAGATTGATCTGAAACAGCTCTGAAATTCAATTGTCCAGTGTTGATATAAAATCCACCATGCTGTGTTGTAAGAGTTGCAGGAACAATTTCATCATACTAAAAACAAAAGTAAACTAAATTTACGGCATTTTATGGCATAAATTTTTCTCCATAACATATTTTCATAACTGACATCGGAGATGTCCAAATTAAATAGAATATTCCAAAAAGTCATACCGGTATTTGATATAGCAAATATAAGATTTTAAGGAGAATTGAGAATATATTTCATTAAAAATCTATCTTCATAAGCATTTGACATCTGTTAACCAAAAAATGTAAAAAACAGGAAATCAATAGAAAAAAAATGTTCATCCGAATTCTGAACTAGTCTGCGTTACCAAATTGAATTTCTATCATATTCGATATTCCATGTTCAAAATCACTGTTTTAGAATATATTCAAGATAGTAAATTTTGACCATCCCTGGCTTACATTTACATACATATATTTAAAAAGCAATGTATTCATTCACATATACAGTAACAATATCTGATCTAAAGCAATACTATTGGTTGCACATTTTCCACAGTTGTTATCAAAATTTACCATATTCAAAAATTAAACCCAAAAGTGAAATTTGACGTCAACAGCAGTGAGAAGAAAAGCACGAAAAATGTGAAAATTTAGTACAAATTTATTTGATATGGGAAAAACATTGAAGAGTGTATTTGCTCACTGGATTTTACATGCAGGTGTAAAAATATGTACAGTTTGTTTAGCGTCATTTACTTTTGGCATGTCAATTTATATGCCAAATGCATCGTGTTTAGTTATGTTACACCTTTCCTTTTCGTTATATTGTGGTTTAATGTACACTTGTACAGATGTAGTCAGAAAATCCAAATGTCCATACTGTGGGATATAATTTCAGTGAATATTCATGAACCAATTTAATTTCCTGAACAGTGCCATCTGTACCTAATTATTGTAATTCTATTACCGGTAAATATATTTTGTTTTTTACAGCTCACATATTGTCATGTACATATTAAAAAAAAAGATCGACACTATTTGGACTGAGCAGGTTTTCTAGTGAAACTTTTATTCAAAAATAGTTAGGTAAAGATAAATAGATTATTTTATATTTTCTAAGAAAATTCCTCTTCAGATTTCAAATATTTTAAAGAACTCTTGAACTTGCATTTGGGCAAAAATTATTTAACCTGAAACCATGTCATGATATATTTATGTAAGTTGGAATATGACTATAACACATCAGGTTTTAAAAAAAACTTCAAAAGGGTTATCCTAACATCCTTACAGAGTTCACAATAATTTGAGATAATCATTCACCTTCATGCATTATTGATCATGATTAGGTGTTCTGCAACATTGCTGGGCTTTTCCTAACCATGTAGTTTGATTTTTATAATATGGTGCCTCACAGCAATGTGAAAATTAGCTATTTATGGTCTTCATTTTAAAATTTGCTTCGAGGGTTTTTTGACAAAATTGTTGGAATTGAGGGGAATGGTTATCAATACACATCTGGCGTCACTTTGAGAGACAAAGTGAGCAATAACAAATTGGTCGAAAGTCCCCAATCAGCCTGTTTTGATTTTACAACCTGTATTATGATCTATGCCATGGCTACTCAACTGGCGGACTGCGGTCCGAATCCGGACCTTTCGGGTATTCGATTCGGACCGTGCATAATCTTTATTTTGAATCCTTAGCCTCACTTTTGAAGTTTCCTTTCATAAAATCACTTTCATAGTTTTACAAATATATATGAAAAGAACTATAACGCCATAACAAACAATCTTGATTAGCTAATAATCATTAGAAATATAATTTCTGGAAAGTCCGGACCCAAATATCTTTGAAGTTTTGTATGCGGATCTTCGGTAAAAATAGTTGAGTAGCCCTGATCTATGCCATTTACCATACAATCATTAGCGAAATAAGCCTAATAGAATTGCTGAAAACTTCATTTTCTTTCTATGTGAATTTTTGTCAAAACCGAATATTTGAAAACTGCAAGATTGAGTTGGCTTGGGGATTAGCACCAATAAACCAATTAGAGTCTATGGACTATAATCAGGGAGTATTACTCAATGCAGCAACTCAGAATCATCGAAAGAGCGGAATATTATTTCTTTATCTAAACCAGGGTTTTCCAAACCCAATGTAATTATTAATAGGTAGCCTACTCTTCACTGTCTTCAGACATTTATACATCGCTTGTGTGCACCCAAAATTGCTGTAATAATAAGTCACGTGTACTGCGAATTAAGTTGTAGTTGAAGCTTCTACTGAGGTGAAAATATGACTTTTTGAAGAGTTTCCAAACCAAGGTTTTCATATTATTATTCAGTATTACAATATTATCAGTATTACAAATTTTTGAGGCAGATTTGAAGGTATGGAAAGATAATTATTAAACTCAATTTAATGCACCCCCTGAAAAGGCAAAAGTAACCCCTGGGGATACCAGATCCAGAACCTCTGATCTAAACTGAGTTTTGATATGTGAATAAACCCATGTATTGCTATGCAACAATTGTCAGTTAGTTAAAACTTACCAGTAGCCTTAAATCACGTAGCTATAATTATTAACATAACACTTCCTTACCGCTTCTGAATCATCAACAAACGGATCATTTTCATCATATCCATATCCTGCACCAACTAAATCCCTGACTTTATCTTTTCTTTTATGTTTATGTCCTGCCGCAGTCGCTCCATATTTTATTTCGAAATATTTTGCCATTGCTTCGGCTTCATTCCTTTCTTTTTCTTCTTCTTCTTCCAACAGATTCTGGCACATTATATCATTTTCACCCTTCGATTTCTTTTCCTACAAAACAAATATCGAAGCTTAGTAAAACTTGTAAAAAAGTTTGCAAATGACTGTTTCAACTGAAATCAATATGTCATACCAAATGAATTGTTATTTGAATCAATTTGAAATTTTTTATATATCTGATAATCAATGTTCCCTCTAATTTTTTGTAGTATGTGTGCGCAGAAATTTTGGTGTGTGCGCACTTTTTTGGAACTTACTAATATTTGTGCAAAAACAATGAAGAAATTTTGGCGTTCTAACCAGGTAATAAGTGGGCCAACAACAAACTTTCTCAACCTGCCAACCGATGAACATTGTTACATTACATCGAAATACGTCTGTGCGCAGTAAATCTATGCGTGTGCGCTGCCTCTGAAAGCTGTGTGCGCGCGCACACGTTAGAGGGAACACTGCTGATAACTACATTTTTGATTACACAAATAATTTCAAATAATTTTTTTTTCGAATTCTCATTTTCAGCAATTAAAATTACACAGTATGACCAAAAATGGTCTCAGTAATTTCTAAAATCGTGCATTCCCAAACTAACACTGATTAAATTTACGTAGACTTCCATGTGCTTTTTACTAACACAATTTACAATATATATCAGACATTTCATAAATGAAAAATATTAGGTAATATTCTAAAAGGTATTAGAAATAATAAATGATTCTGCTTTGGCCATTTCTGGACCATATTTCATTAAACTAGTCTGAAACTTTTCTCTGTGATCCAGTCATATACCAGTAAGTAAATTCCTGAAATTACTAAGATATAGCAAAATATAACTTTTCAGACGATAAATTGACATGGTTTTATGTTTCAGTGTAAAAATTTTCATTACAAGTTGAAGACTTGAATTAAAAATTGAAATCATTCATAGAAATTGAAAATGCTGTTTCAAATTTCAAATTCATTATCATCAAATTGCATAGGCGATCATATACAAATTTAACATATCATTTTGAACAGAAAGTACGGAATAAAATTACAAATAAGCTAACACCAAAATTCCAATTCAACTTTCAAATTGAAGAAATCGCACACAATTAATTAGTTTCAAATTTTAGAAATTAACTTTATTAATTTCGTTCTCAATTTTAGTTACATAGATGCAGAATAAAAACGAATAAGAACATAAGGACCTACCTTTAATGTTGTACGCACAAGATCAATATATGAGTATTCAGGGCAAGTTGTTCCAGTAGAGTCAGGTAAATCCAGTTCAAATCGTAGCGTCGGCTTTTTCTTCTTCTTATTTTTCTTTTCTCCAGGCAACTTCGCATCTATTAAATCCATCCTCCTTGTACTCCGTTATATGAAATACAGAAAACTCAACAACCTGACTAAAATCCAGAGCTTATTCAGACAGCAAATAACTATCGCTTTCACATTTTCAACTTTATACCATCTAAAGAATATAAGACAGAAATGAATAACGATTTTCTTTTTTTGATTATTGAAAAAGATACTACTTGTTCAACCATGAAAGGAGCATACAGCTAAATTTGCATGTACCATAAACATAAATTCAGTTTTATAAAAATTGCTGCAACTAATAAATATTCCACCATAACCAACCAAGATTGCACAAAAATGATAAAATAAAAAGAAGGCATTCCAATAGATAAATAAAACTAAAAGAAAACAATCCTTTTCTAACCACAGAATATAAAGTATAAATTTCTATTTTTGTAAATAGTTTGAAAGAGTTCTACATTTGTGAATTCTACATCTTTTTAGATCTGTATTCTGTGACTTTTGAACATCACTGTACTATTGCAAAAAAATCATACTTTCAGACAATATATTCCACAAAACAGTTATACCTTTGATATCAAAGATTGATATTCAATTACAATAAGTGGAAATGTTCAACAAAATATGTTGCACGCATCAAAGGATCATTTTTATACACTGTATGGGTACGGTAATTCAATTTGTTTATGGCAAACACTATTTGTGACACTCACACAAACAGGTCTACAAGTCAATATATGAAGAAGTTGTTATAGTCTCAAATTTTGATATAGGTAGTCATTAAAACTATGCTTATAACAAATGCATAACAGCTTTGGCAGTTCAGTTTCATATCGAGATGATTCAAGGCCCAAGGTCTGCACTCTGCAACAACAAAATTATATCTCCAATGACTACTAAATTGTAAAAATAATGTGAATGAGCTAAAGGTGAAATGGCAAGGTGAACAGATATGAACAACACACTTGAAAATAATCAATACTTAACCTCATTTGGATAAACTTAGATCTCTTGAAATAAAATCAATAACTGGCACAAAATTTTAAACTTTTATGGTAACCACTTTGATAATTTATAAGCATATAACAAGAAAATCTAGCATGAAAGATGAGAAAAGCTAACTTGTTATTTAGTGCTAGTTTCTATTAGTGCCAACCGCCAAAACCCTCAATTAACACTTTGAGCAAGTACAACAAGAACAGAAAAAATTTAGTGTTACAAATACAACACCAGCATTTACTAGAATTCGAATATGAATACCCAAGTTCAAAACACACCTACTAGCGTGATACTCTGAGTCTGGTTGATCACACTTTAAAATGACAAAGTTAATCAATAAGAGAAATGAAAAAGACCTATGCAATGACTAGCAGTATTAAATACAGAACTATAATAAAGGCATATAACACGATGAAAATATGGCATATTATCGGGAAATTCTCCTCATGAAATAGGCATGGTAAATCATACATAATGATGAAGATTCAACTTCTGGTACTTAAGAGAATAGCGGATTAGAATATCGTCCTTGCGGTTTGTTACAATTTCAAGTGACACTTGCATGAATCTTCCACACAGAATTATGACAAAAAGTATTTCAAGATCTTGTTTTAAAACGAATGTAAAGAAACACATTATTAAACACAAAATTCACCAAATAAATTATAGCAAACTAATATAACTGAAGTAACTGATGAAAAAAATACAAATTAGGCACTTGTGTTGACTTGTCAATAATGAAAAGGAGATACCACCAAGAATAATTTCAAAATGATTGAAACATGCATTTATGGCCTGATTCGGAAATATTCCAAAATATTAGAAACATCCGTTCATGCCATTATTAACCTCAATTTTTTTTATAAAACTCAAAGTTAAACAAAAAAAATTCAGAAAACAACATTTTATGCATGCTGATTATGATGGATCGCCAAAAAAATTTGAAATAAAAATATTAGATTGCAACAAATGAATGATGACGAAGTAGGCAGTATTTGACAATGTTTTATTAACATGCAATAAACAAATCTCGAGTCATTAAATAAATTGTACCATAGGGTTACTGAAAATGACAGTAATTATAATGGAAAGTTTCCTAAATCTGTTCCAGATCCATTTTCTTCAATCGAAGCGGTAGATGTTCCTGAAGCGCCTGCTACTTCCTTGGTAGACACAAGTATTTGTGATGATCCCGATATATCCCGCCCGTTACCATTTGTCACAAATCTTGGCTTAAATATTATTGCTACTCTTACAGAATTTGTCATTCTCAATGGCCCGTTGAACTTGAAACAAGGCACCTCTGCAGGATGGTCAAGATCATGGGATAGAAAGTTGTAATGAAGATTAACTTCATGACGCTCCATAGGCTGCGATTGTTGAAACATAACAGCAAAATTCATTGGTGTAGGACTGAATTTTGGAGGACCAGCACGAGGTGGGGATTGTTGTGGTATCAGATTTGATGACGATTGCAAAGTGCCAAATTTATTTTGTCTGTCACCGCTTTCAATTCGCATGAAATACTCTTCAGGAGCAAATTTAATGGATGACTCACATAGTAACCTAACTATCTTTTCTTTTTTTACCTGATATAAAGAAACATCAACAACGACATGGTGTTTTATAGGCCTTAAAGGTGTGACCGTCATTACCAGAGGGACACTCTTCTCCATCATGGATGTTGTCGGAGTAAACACATATCCCAAATTTGGTAACACTGTGGACTTATTGCTGCTTGAGCTACGTGGATTTTTTTTCTCGCCCCGAATTCGTATTTGCCAGTATTGTTCTGGCGGAGATAGAACAGGATGATTCACACATGGCACACCAACTGAATTTTCATAAAATGTTTCACCATTTGTATCAACAGTTAGAAAATAGCACCACAATCGATGAGTATAATTCCTTGGACGGAAATTGGAATCCGAGAAAGAATTACTATGAACATCGGTAGCTATTGATCGAAATCTATGAGCATTAGCTAACATAGGAGTGAGTATTTGTTTGTATGTTTGGCAAAAAGTGGATATTTCTATTTCATAAAGTTGCTCAGGTAGCATCATCGGCATTCGAATCAGACATAAGAGAGATTGTAGTTGTTCAGTGGATAAGTCATACTGAGCGGTAACCCATCGAACAACAGCACCAAATATAGTTTTTTCCCAAAGAACGACTAGATCATCACGAGCAAGAAGAGTGACAAGGAAATCATGTTCAAGTCGAAGAAAATCCTCAGAGCTTACAACCTCATCCATTTTGGTAACGACAACATCAACACAAGCATTTTGTAAAACTCCATGGCCGCTTACTTGAGCATATGATAGCCATCTCAATGCTCCAGTGACGCTTCCATCCTTCACAGTTTTATTCATGTACTGCTCGAACTTATTTTTTAGTGGTTGAACATTATATTTATCAGCTAGCATAAGCAATGGTAATGCAGATGTAATATCAACTTCAATATCGCCACAGTATAAAAATCTTAAAAAGCTTTCAAAAATTGGGACACAATCTTCACATTCTTGAATTTCAAGTTCATTATGATCTCCATCCCATCTTTGTGAGCACATTGTCCGAAATACATCACTCATGAGTCCAAGCACAAATTTATGAGCATGGTACCTTGTTTCCCCAAGTTTTAGAGTCACATCGCTCATCTCAGGATTATTAAAATATTTTGACATTGAAGTAATGATTCCTTCTGAGCTGGTCATAGATGATTGGTTATTAGATGGGGTTAGCTGTTTTTTGGTGTCCTCCATATTGCTTTTGTCACAGTCACACCACATAATCATGAGCAATTACCAACAACTAGCAATCAACAACAGAATATATAAGTAAAATATAAGTTATGCAATCCAATGAAAAATGCGCGGCGGTGTGGCTCAACGGGCTAAGCGTTAGGACTGTAGGAATACGCTCGCCACCGCACCTCTAATTACTCTGCGTGGGTTCGCAGGTTCGAATCCCATGCAGGGATGATTATGTGCGAGAGGATTGCTGGACTCCTCGCCGTCGTTGGGTGGTTCACGTAACCGCTGGTAGGTTACGGCTTCCTCCACCACCAAGTCCATGCTTCCGAAAACAAAACAATATAACTAATCCCATACCCGACTTGGAATGGTAATCGGACGAGAGGCCGTGGTTCGCCATATGGATAAGCCGTCTTATCGGCTTTCCTCTCCCCCTGGATAAATATGTAAATCCTATCCTATCCAGTCTGCTTCATCCATTAATCTGACCAACTTTAATCCTATACAGAAGGTTACCTTAATACCGGTACCAGAACTAAATAGAAATTGTAAATTGATGGTTTGATTAACATAATAGATACAGGAATACAGTAATAGGTCTTGCTTGATCTATCGACAGTTCTGTCTTTTCCATACTACCCAAGGGTGAAGGTGCTAAGTGCTTTGTCAGTTTTCCTAGTATTCCGATTATTGCTGATTGCTGTACAGTTGTGTGTATTTTATTTGCCTCAAAATGGGGGACGGACTAAAAGTAGGCACTTGCAAATTAGGCACTTTTTTAGGCACTTATTTAGGCACTTTGGAAAAAAGTAAAAAGGTCGTAATACCTTTTAAAAACATAATTAATTAGTTAAAAATGGTCAAATTAAATGTTGAAAACGCAAATTGCAACGGGCAAACTCAATAGCAATATTTAAAACGCAGTATTAAAGGCAGTCGCACGCGCTTGGTCACCACATATGCTAGGCACATATTTAGGCACTTCGAAAAATAAATAAAATGGCATATTCACTAATAAAACACAGAGAAATAAACATATTACCCACACTGATTAGCCTGAGTAAATATCTAAGAGATGCACTTGAGTCTAGTACTGAAATTTAGAAATAATAAATTGTTACCGGTAGGCACTTTTTTAGGCACATCGAAAAAAAGGTGAAATGGACGTAGTAACTCCTAGAAAGATAATGAATTAGTTCAAAATATTTAAATTAAATGTTGAACGCAAAAATTGCAACAGTTAAACCCAATACTGTAATAATTTTAAAATGTAGTACTAAAGGGAGACGCACGCGCTCTGTCACTACATATGCTAGGCACATATTTAGGCACTTCGAAAAATAAAGAAAATGGCAATTATCACCAATAAAAGACAAGGAAATAAAAATATTACCCACATTGATTAGCCTGGGTAAATATCCAATAGATGCACTTGAGTCTAGTACTGGAATTTAGAAATAATAAATTGTTACCGGTAGGCACTTTTTAGGCACTTATTTGGGCACATTGAAAAAAAGATGAAATGGGCGTAATGACTTTTGAAATGATAATTAATTAGTTGAAAATTGTCAAATTAAATGTATAGCACGCAAATTGCAATGGGTGAACCGAATAACAATATTTAAAACGTAGTATTAAAAGGAGTCACACGCGCTCGGTCACCACATATGCTAGGCACATATTTAGGCACTTTGAAAAAAGAAGAAAATCGGAATTATCACCAATAAAAGACAGAGTATTAAAAATTTTACCCACACTGATTAGCCTGGGTAAATATCCAATAGATGCACTTGAGTCTAGTACTGGAATTTAGAAATAATAAATTGATACCGGTAGGCACTTTTTTAGGCACTTATTTAGGCACTCTGAAAAAAAAGGTGAAATGGACGTAGTAACTCCTAGAAAGATAATGAATTAGTTCAAAATATTTAAATTAAATATTGAACGCGGAAATTGCAACAGGTAAACCCAATAACGATTTTTAAAACATAGTTTTAAATGGGGGGGGGGGGGCACGCGCTCTGTCACCACATATGCTAGGCACATATTTAGACACTTCGAAATATAAAGAAAATGGTAATTATCATGAATAAAAATACAGAAAATGAAAATATTAGTCAAAATAATTAGCCTATTTGAATATCCGATGAATGCACTTGAGTCTAGTAGTGATATTTGAGAATAATAAATTGTTACCGGTAGACACTTTTTAGTCACTTATTTAGACACTTCTAAAAATGCGTAAAATGGGCGTAATAACTTTTTAAAATGATAATGAATTAGTTTAAAATATTTAAATTAAAAAATTAATATGCAAATTGCAACAAGTAAACCCAATGATATCGGTTTTTATATTTTGCATATTTGAAAATATCTTAATTCTTTACTTTGTAATTTTGTTTTTGATAAATTAAAATATAAGACATCCCCCGAAAAAAAGCCCTAGTGGTAATTTTAGGAAGAAATTTGAAATAAGACACTGTCTTAATTTCGGGGAAACACGGTTAAAGGTGTTTACCGGTAACAATTTATTATTCTCAAATACCACTACTAGACTCAAGTGCATCTATTGGATATTCACCCAGTCCCAGGCTAATCATTTTGACTAATATTTTTATTTTCTTTTTTTTATTGGTGATTATTCTCATTTTTTTTTTCGATGTGCCTAAATATGTGCCTAGCATATGTGGTGACAGAGCGCGTGCGTCTCCCTTTAGTACTAAGTTTTAAAAATCATTATTGGGTTTACCTGTTGCAATTTTCGCGTTCAGCATTTAATTTAAATATTTTGAACTAATTCATTATCTTTCTAGGAGTTACTACGTCTATTTCACCTTTTTTTCGAAGTGCCTAAAAAAGTGCCTACCGGTAACAATTTATTATTTCTAAATTCCAGTACTAGACTCAAGTGCATCTATTGGATATTTACCCAGGCTAATCAGTGTGGGTAATATTTTTATTTCTCTGTCTTCTATTGGTGATAATTCCGATTTTCTTCTTTTTTCGAAGTGCCTAAATATGTGCCTAGCATATGTGGTGACCGAGCGCGTGTGACTGCTTTTAATACTACGTTTTAAATATTGTTATTCGGTTCACCCATAGCAATTTGCGTGTTCAATATTTAATTTGACAATTTTCAACTAATTAATTCTCATTTTAAAAGTTGTTACGCCCATTTCACCTTTTTTTCGATGTGCCTAAATAAGTGCCTAAAAAAGTGCCTACCGGTAACAATTTATTATTTCTAAATTCCAGTACTAGACTCAAGTGCATCTATTGGATATTTACCCAGGCTAATCAGTGTGGGTAATATTTTCATTTCTCTGTTTTTTATTAGTGATAATTGCCATTTTCTTTTTTTTCGAAGTGCCCAAATATGTGCCTAGCATACGTGGTGACAGAGCGCGTGCGTCTCCCTTTAATACTACGTTTTAAAAATCGTTATTGAATTTAACTGTTGCAATTTTCGCGTTCAACATTTAATTTAAATATTTTGAACTAATTCATTACCTTTTTAGGAGTTACTACGTCCATTTCACCTTTTTTCCGAAGTGCCTAAAAAAGTGCCTACCGGTAACAATTTATTATTTCTAAATTCCAGTACTAGACTCAAGTGCATCTATTGGATATTTACTCAGGCTAATCAGTGTTGGTAATATGTTTATGTCTCTGTCTTTTATTAGTGATAATTGCCATTTTCTTTATTTTTCGAAGTGCCTAAATATGTGCCTAGCATATGTGGTGACCAAGCGCGTGTCCTTTAATACTACGTTATAATATTGTTATTGAGTTTGCCCGTTGCAATTTGTGTTTTCAACATTTAATTTGACCATTTTCAACTAATAAATTATGTTTTTGAAAGGTATTACGCCCTTTTTACTTTTTTTCCAAAGTGCCTAAATAAGTGCCTAAAAAAGTGCCTAATTTGCAAGTGCCTACTTTTAGTCCGTCCCCTCAAAATGTAGCAGTATCCGCATAATAATTAAACAGTGTAAGAGCCAACAGCCAGATAGTAAAAATGATGCAGTACCTACCGGTACCGGTAGTGAAAATACCATAAATACCGGTAGCCTACCGTTACCGGTACGTAATTAATACTCCTGCCAGTAGAGGGATACGATTAAAGCCAACCCGAGTGACTACAGTATAACATTTTCAGACGTTATAGTCACTTTGGAGCCAACGATATAGAGGTACATGCGTGTCTAAAAGAATATCAAGATATTAACGTGGCACTGGCATCTATTAATTGTGGCGACATAAATGCAAAATCATGTCGGTACCGATGACATCCATCAAATATATTTCTATATCAGAATATGTGTCCAACGAAATGACAGAATCAAGGCAGTGTAATTCATTTCACTGGCGCTCTCACTGAAAAGTGGGCCTTACGACAGGCGAGTACCGGTACCGATACCGTAATCCTTTAAGGATGCTCCATCATAACTGGCTAACTAATACCATACCCGACCTGGACTGGTAACCGGACGAGAGGCCGTGGTTCGCCATATGATTAAGCCGTCTTATCGGCTTTCCTCTCCCCCGGGACAAATATGTAAATCCTATCCTATTGTACTATGTGAAAATACTGAAATTGAGTACAAGTGTAAATATATACTACTACGGTACAAGTAAACATTGGGTCCGGTATAGTTTAGTTTAGTACCACATGTACTTCTAGTTAGCCTGGCTCAATTTTTGCATACGTCATTTCTAACCCCCACCTGACAAGATCACCAAAAAATTACGTCACATGGGCCATGGCCCAACACCAATGGGCCGCGTTTCTATTAGATAGGCCGTGACTCATAGAGAAGTCACAACCCCTATAGCAAGTGCGAGCATATGTTTGGCATCATATATTGACCTTGGTCGGTTCTGGTCTGGGTTCTGGTCAGTTCGCACGGGAAAGGCCTTCAGTTTTAATGACTTTTCTGATTATCTATGGTGGCTAAAATTATTCATAGAATAGGATACGATGAAGGATTAGACGACATATTGATGGTTATTGGTAAAGATTCAGACATTTCTAAAGGTCAGTTAGTACGGTAGTTAAGAAAAGCGGTTTTTTTTATAACAATACGACGAAAAATATCAATAAGAACAACAGTAATAATAACATAACGAACCATGTGTACACTTCC